GTCTTGAGGGGGGGGGGGAAAGGGGGCATGATTCCCCTTGGTAGCTATGATCTCAGCGATCCAAAAAATCCTTGAATTGCTGATCGTAAAAGATCAACAGAACTCGCCCACTGTTACAATAGGATACATTTAATACTGAATATTAGTTTATTGAATAAAGGTTTAAAGTGTACAGTATTAAATAGTGTTTTTCGGATATAGGATACATTCAATACTGAATAGTATATTGAATAAAGGTTTGCAGGTTACAATATTAAATATTGTTTTTTTTGGATATAGGATACATTTAATACTGAATAGTTTATTGAATAAAGGTTTACAGTGTACAATATTAAATAGTATTTTTTGGATATATAGGATACATTCAATACTGAATTGTATATTGCATAAAGGTTTACAGGGTGTACATTATTAAATAGTGTTTTTTTGGATATAGGATACATTAAATACTGAATTATTTATTGAAGAAAGGTTAAACAATACAATGAATAATAATTTAAAGGGTGCCACAGTGAGTTTTAAGGTTACAATAGTGAATATCAACTTAAATTTTGAACATTTAATTTCCTGGTTCTTTTTAAGTTACCACTAATCTACAAAGTAAACAGATTTTTTTCATATTTGGTTCATTGGAATAGGTCGGATGGCATTTGAAAAATAGTAATAAATAGCGAGTCCACTTGTGTATTTTGAAATGTAAGTTAATTTAGAAAACCTTGCAATTTACAATTGTTTGATGCCATGTTGTAGCACATACTGGTTATCAGTTCTTTAATGGTTATTCAACTCAATAACGTAATGGTCATTAATTTAGTAAACGTTAGTTTTAATTTAGTTTATTAAATTTTAAATTTAGGATATCTTTTGAATGTGAATTATTAGCTGGCAAAACAACGTGTTATGATGGTAGTCAAAAAACAAACCCAAGGCATTTATATTTTGATTAGAACTTTTAACATATATTTTGGTGGTTTATTTCGATAAGAAAGGATTATAATTTTGGGAAGTATATATGTTAAATATAGGTTTTTAATGTAAGCATAATAAATTAAAATTTATCGAATTTTTAAAATATGTTCTCCAAACAGAAAATGTAGATTGAACCTGAATACTCAAATAGTCCTAACATTTAAAACTGCAGAAGAAAATGCAAATTAAAAATCAAATCTGAAAAGCAAAAATATTTTGAATCCACCGGTCTCTACATTAACTTCTCCCCAATAAATGTATATTTCTAAAAAGCAGAAAATGCGGTGGAAGAACAATTATCAGTTATTTGGTTAGTTTGGGGCTAAATTGACAGGAAGAAGGGTAGTTAGATAAAACGGATTAACTATTTACTAACTTCATTATAGCAGAGTAGGGTTTAGATTAATCTATTAATATAAACAATATAAGGATCCAGTGGGTTCCGCCCCCCTGTTTAGACGTAATTCTTTGTTACAAAAATTGACAATTTTTTCATTACTTTAAGCTGTTTATTTCTTACAGTATTCAATTGAAAATATTTGTTTTATGGTTTTTTGGATAATTTGGAAAAGAAAAAACATTAGGCAGAGAATCAATAATAAAAGTGAGCAGACGGTATAAATTCCGTACAGTCATCTCCGAAGTCCCATCCTGTTGGGTGACCCTGTATGTCTATAGCTAGATATTTGGCATGTCTGTATGTTTGCAAATTAAGATGTTTGTATCCAATAAATTTTAAAACGGCTGCAACTATCCGGTCCGAATTCGTATTCGTATTAGGAATCTACAGGATTTTGTTAAATACAAAGAATCTGAATCTTTGCAATCTGGTTGTGTAAACCTTTGATATTTCAAACTTAGATTATTTGATATAATACAATTCATAGTTTGAATTATTTAAGGTCTACAAAATTGGGTTGCTCAGATAAAGGGATTAGCAAATCAGAGTTTGTGGCAAAGACTCAATTCCTTTAACTTCTAAAAAGAAACAATAAACTTTTGTTTGTTATTAACTTAAATTGTGGAAAAAAGAACGAGGAATATTAATAGAAAAGAGGGCCAAGAGCATGTATTAGAATAGAATGATGAATGAACATAATATAAATATACTAGTTGATATATCTAATATATATTCATACTAAAAAAGATACTTAAAATGAAAAAGAATAAACAAGCGAAAATGGAAAGGAAAGCAAAAATATACAATGGATGAATGAATATTAAGGATGAATGAATATTAAGGATAAATGAATATTAAGGATGAATGAATATTAAGGTTCAATGAAAATAAAGGGTAAATGAATTTGAACGATGAATAAATATGAAGGATGAATGATTATGAAGGATGAATGAATATGAAGGATGAATAAATTCGACGGATGAATGAATATGAAGGATGAATGAATATGAAGAATGAATGAATATGAAGGATGATTGAATATGAAGGATGAATAAACACAAAGAATAAATAAAGGATGAATGAACATAAAGGATACATGAATATAAAGAATTAATGAATGAAAAGGATGAATGAGTATACAGGATGAATGAATATAAAGAATTAATGAATGAAAAGGATGAATGAATATAAAGGATGGATGAACATAAAGGATAAATGAAAATAAAGGTTGAATGAATATAAAGGATTAATGAATGAATATAAAGGCTGAATAATATAAAGGATGAATTAATATAAAGGATAAATGAATATAAAGGTCAAATGAATATAAAGGATGCATGAATATAAAGGATGTATGAATATACCAGATGAATGAATATAAAAGATGAATGAATATAAAGGATAAATGAATATAAAAGATGAATGAATATAAAGGATGAATGAATATAAAGGATGAATGAATATAAAGGATGGATGAACATAAAGGATTAATGAAAATAAAGGTTGAATGAATATAAAGAATTAATGAATATAAATGATGAATGAATGTGAAGGATGAATAAATATAAAGGTCAAATGAATATAAAGGATGCATGAATATAAAGGATGTATGAATATACCAGATGAATGAATATAAAAGATGAATGAATATAAAGGATGAATAAATATAGATAATGAATGAATATACAGGATGACTGAATATAAAAGATAATGCATATAAAGAATGAATGAATGTAAATAATGAACGAATATAAAAAATTAATGAATATAATAAATGAATATTAAGGATGAATAAACATAAAGCATAAATAAATATGAATGAATAAAATTATAAAAACATGTTCTGGTTTTCTAATCTGATTAAGGTGTAGACTTAGAAAAGACTTTAAAAAGTTTGAGTTCAGTTTTAATAATTTTACAAAATTAATTTTCAAATCTAAAACAGAAAAAGGTAAAAATGGAAAATATTAGACTAAAGGAATTGATTCTTTGTCAGGAACTCAAATTTTCTAATGCCTTATTTCTTGTAACCTGTTGAAGTAAATCTTTAATATTCTAAACTTAGATTATTTGATCAACATAATTCATAGTGTGTAATATCTAAGGTATACAAAATTGGGTTGCAAAGATATGGTATTATAAATAATCAGAGTTTGGGTCAAAGACTCAATTCCTTTCAATGAGATGGTTACATCTTTTCTATTATAAGTCCATAGAGTTGCAATTTATATGATATTGGTAAGTTGGCTATCATCTATTTCAACTTTTAATTGTTGCTCAATCTATCAGCATTTTCTCTTCGATGAACGAAAAATAATTTCTAATTTTTTTAGAGTTAAACTTGGTGGTGACAAACTTTTTAAATTTTGAACCTTCCCTGGGTTCATGGGAGGTCAAACACGAATTTGGGCCCAAACAATTCAGCCGTTTTGACATTTATTGGATGTAAACAGACAAGCAAAGTATATATACAAATGTATAAAGGTATGCATGTTTTTAACCTTTAATGTGTTATTAAAAGATTAAAGGGAATTTAACCTTAATTTCAAGAGACCCGTCATTGATAGAATGGTATGTCTTATTCAAAATGGTAAACTTAAAAGCTTTGAAATTTCTTATCAAGTTTGATAAAGATAATAGATATCCATTTCTTGCTTTACAATTCAATCATGGAGAAATTAATAAAATTAAGTTTTAAATTTAAGTTAAGTATGCAACAATGCAACACTCAAATCTTTTCAAATGATTTAAATAAGAAAGTTTCCATTGAATCCCGCCAGGTTTTCAACTCTTCTCTCTAAACAACAGTATCAACTTTCCGTCCCTGCTTTTTTCTCTTAAAAACATTATAAAAAATATTTTTAAGAATATTTTCTATTTGATATCTTTGAATCTTTCCTCTCACATAAATTTTACGAATTTAAAATTTATTGTTTCAAGTACACAATTTGCAGATTAAAGGGAGTGTTCGCGAAAAATGAAAGGGGCTAAAGGCTTAATGCGATAAAAAATATGTTTTAATTGTTATGATCTGAGAGTTACTTATATCTAGAGCTGTTCAATGTAACATTGGAAGGCCCTTAAAAAAATGCAATTCAATGGTGCTATTTAAATCATAATATCTCATGTCTCAAAAAAAGTGAAAACTGAAGAAAAAATTGGATTTTCAAAGACTCAGCTAGTCATCCAACATGACCATAAGCAATCTGAACAATAATTTAAAAAAGGGTGTGTTAAAAAGTTACTACAAAAAGCATGTTTTTTTAAGGAACAATATCTAATAACCATGTTGAATATGTCAACAGCAAACAAATCCCCTCAAATAATGCCATAAATTAGGTGTACGCAAAACTTTGGCTCCCTATATGCCTTTTAGTTTGGCTTCCTATGCCTTTTAGTTTGGCTTCCTATGCCTTTTAGTTTGGCTTCCTATGCCTTTTAGTTTGGCTTCCTATGCCTTTTAGTTTGGCTTCCTATGCCTTTTTAGTTTGACTTCCACAGACGATACATTTTTCTTCGCCGTAAAAACTAATCCTCCAGCTCTTGATTTTAATTTTTTCTTGATCCAGCTTCATAGAAAATGTGAAATATAGTAATATATATGTATAAAGGTTTAGAATGCAATCTCAATGCTCCTTTACGATCTTAAATGGCTTGCAATTGGTTTGACATAATTTTCTTCTGTTGCTGATGAGCCGAGTTAAAGGTCAGAGTCCGAATTTAATGAATTTAAACCGCGTCTCAAATCCACGTTTCAATTGCGCGCCGGCTTAAATCTTGAAACATTAAATACAATTTTAAATGGAACTAACCATATTTAAGCACCGGCTCTAATTCTTTGAATTCGGCCTCAGCTAGGTAGAATTAACTTCATCTTGTTCCAGCTGACCGCAGAATTTCCTTTATCTGAAAAGGCAGACTCTTTAAGTTTTTTCATCAGGCTTGTATATATTTCCCATAAATAATCTCAATCATCTTGAGTGCTATATACTTTGGAGAAAAAACTCAGCGGGAGCGGTTGAACGAGCGGTTGAGATCTAGCCTAGACTCTACGCAGTTCAGAATAAGAAATTAAGAAGAAATTTACAATTTGTAGAACGAGTAGTAATAGAAGATGTAGTAGTAGTAGTAGTAGTAGTAGTATCGTAATATTTTTAGTGTTTTTATTTTTCGGAACCAATGCCATGGTAAAAATATAACTTTTAAAGAAATATTCACAATAATACAAATAGCAGATCTGATATTTTTAGATTCCTAGAATTATTTTCTGATTTCCGTGACCGGGAATCAAGAGAAAATCTGGAAATTTGATCAGTTTTGTTTCATATTAATTTCCTTTTCTTTTCTCAAATTTGTTTTTAATCTCCTTTTATCTTAAGACGGAGTTGACCAGTTACATAAGTATGGGATAATTCACCAAATTTCAAGTGAACCTCCTTGCCAAGATGGCAATGCCCGATTCTTATGTTTAAAATTCTGATCAGGAATTCAGTTTTTGCCACAAACTCAAACTTTTAAATCCCTTTATCTTTGCAACCAGAGCTGGGAACTTTTGAATGGTGGATAACGGGATTAAGGCTTGATCTGCTCTTTTTCTTAATCTCGAGATTAAATAATGCTTGTTCTCCTCATGTTATTAATCTCCATATTAATAAACCGATCGGGATTAAGGATATCCCATTCTAAAGTTTTCACAGTCCCTTTAATAAAGAGACTGTCAACTGTCAAGTGCTCCTATCTTTAAATAGTTGCAAGTCAGATTCACACGATTATACCCTTTGATTGCATGAGTTGTTTTCTTATCAATTATTTCACATTTCTGCAGAATGATTATTGAGAAAGAAAAACAAGAATATGTCCATCATTTTTGCATAAACAAAAGTGTACTGCAGTTGTCAATCGGAGTGGGGGGGGCGGCGATTGAAATTACGTTTCTTTACCTCTTTTGTTAAAATAAGTTTCTGTTAGGACTGGTAAAATAAGTACCTGTCAGGACTGTAAAGTCTACTGAGTGAATAAGTACCTGTTAGGACTGGTAAAATCTACTGAGTGAATAAGTACCTGTTAGGACTGGTAAAGTCTACTGAGTGAATAAGTACCTGTTAGGACTGGTAAAGTCTACTGAGTGAAGTCCAAATTTCTCTGTATATCCCATAGCCCATTCAAAGTTATCCATGAGGGACCAGGCATAGTAGCCGGCAACCTTCACCTCATCCTAGGCAATACATCACCATTAATCAGCATTTTCAAATGTTCGTTGGATTGGGTAAAAGATGGAGCACGTACGTAGATTCCGCCTGCTAATAAAAAGTCTCATCAGTTTTTAAGACAGGGTCGACTTACTACACTATCTCACTTATGTTTTTTCTGTAACCCTTTACATGTATATTTTTTAACTATAGAGCACTTGAATTGTTAGTTTTGGTTTTTACGAAGTAATTAGGAAAATTCTCATCGATTTTGCTTGAGAGCTTTAAATCACAGTGCAAGTTCACACTGATTTAACAGCAAAGCTGTGGCACTATATCATTCGGCATGCAGTATCATAGAACATGGGGGGGACATCTCCCTACCCCCAATCTATAACAGTCAAAACGGATAGGGTTAAGAAACTGAACGCATCTAGCCTTGGTTAGCTCAGGGCAATTTCACAGAAATCGCGGATTCTTTGGACATTTGGGATATTTGGGATATTTGGGATATTTGGGATATTGCCATCCAGAAAACTGTAAATTTGGGAATATGTAACATGTATTTATAATTTGAACTAAAAGAAGACATTTGACAACACAACAAACCTGTGTTTGTAAAACAGGGAAATGGTGCTATACATAACAAATTTTAAATGATCTTTTCTTAATTTGTTGGTAGCGTGTGTTTTAATTTTATCCTCGTAGAGGTAAAAGAACCTGTAGAACTATTCAATCTCTAAAAATTGATTGCTTAAAATTTGAAAATTGAGATTTATATTTTCTCTTAAAATATCAGATTGAAAAATTGTTTTTGTTAACTTTAATATGTCAAAGCAAAGTTAATCATAAAATAGTAATAGTTTGAAATTAATAACATGAAATTTAAAAGAGTTTTCACAGACAACTTTATATTAAATTTTTTTTCTTAATAAATACTCATATCGATACTTATTTAGTTATTAGTTTCTGTAACGTCTCATTGTTCACAAACATTTTCTGTAGATTTCCTGCAATTTATATTGAAAAGACGACATTTGTAGAAATCGAAGAAATCTGCAAACAAATTTGTAAAGAATAAAAAAATTCATAAAATTATGAAAAGGCAAAAACTGATTCTAATATTAATTTATTGACAAATTTCTATTGAGAAATATGTTCCTAAACATCCAATTAGTTTACTTTCGAATTTTTGTTACATTTTTCGTCGCTGTTATTCAATAATTTAAAAAACGATTCTCAAAATAATCACTCCAGAATGGACAATTAATTGGATTATTTAAAAAATTGAATTTGCACTCTTGCTGAACAAATCTTTACCGTAAAAACATAGGTCTTAAATGCATCCTAAAAGATTTCTTTACAAAACTTCAACTGCTTTATATTGCCGGTCACTCCCTTTAAGAAATATGATACCTCCTTTATAGCTTTCAGGACTTGGTTTAGATAATGCTTATAATAGTAGAGTCTCATTAGATCATCTACATTGCCTTGAAGATCACTTTAGATAGAAAATATACGATGTTATAAATAAATAGCTTGGCAACCCAGCGCTGCCGAGGTTTCTCATAGTTACTCCGTCGTTTACCCGCACTTGAACGATTTTACCATTAAATTTTAGCTATTAAAGTCGACCCACTTAATTAAAAATCTTAAAACCAAACTAAGAACATTCCCGTGGGTTTTCCTGACCCTAGTTCTCCAACTAAAATTTGAGGCAAATCGGTCCAGGGATTCCTGAGTTACGGAGTCATAAAACAGTGGAATAGGATGACGACTGTTAGCTAAGACATAAAATAGTCCAGTGAACATAAAACACTGTAATAGGATGAAGACTGTTAGCTATGACATAAAATAGTTACTGTACGTACTACGTACATACATATTTACGCTTCTAAATTTGATACAAAAAAGAAGAGATTTTATTAATTTTGAGCCAGTTATTCAATGATTTTATTAAAAACGTATTTTTCCCTAAATCCGTTCTCAGTAATATAGATATCCTTGGTGCCGCCGTACTCCTGAACAGTGATTACCAATTATTTAAAATTTGCATAATCAGATTTAAGTTAACAAACCTCAGTTATCCAATTTAGTGCAGATCTGATACCCCAGGGTGTTACCTTAAAAATAGAAGTTTTTTTATACTTTTTAAATTATTAATTCAGGAAACAAAGGAATTGAGTTCTTGCCATGCAAACAGAGTTTTTCCAATCCCTTTGTATTTGCAACCCAATGTCGTAGACCTTAATTATTTCAAACTACGAATTCTGCTGGATTAAAATCTACATTTGAAATATGATGGGTTTACACCCTCATGTTGTAAAGATATAAGGATAAGACAATTTGAGTTTGGGGCACATATTCAATTCTTTTAGTAAAACTATAGATCAAGTGCCAAAGAAGTAATGGAAATACAGGGTTACCCAAAAAGGATGAGACTTCAGAGGCGATTTTACGGAAGTTTTGCTGTCTGATTCAATATTAATGATTCCCTGCAACTTGAACTTATTTCTTCGTTTGCTAAATCTATATATAAATTTGGCTTGTCTGTCTGTTTGTTTGTTTGTCTGTTTGTATCCAATAAACGTCAAAACGGCTGAACCGATCGGGCCCAAATTTTTTGTGGGACATCACGTGACCACAGGGAAGGTTTAGGAATGATCAAAATTTCAAATATTTGTCTCCATCAAAATTCGATCTTCATTAAATTTTTGAAAATTTTGAAAATCCACGAAATTTTTTGTGTAAATCCGCGAATTATTTTTGTTGTGTTTTACGATGTACACAAAGAAAACATGTTCACAATTAATTTAGAAGATGGGCGCGAAGCGCCCTCTAAGGCTAGTTATAGAAAAATATTGAAAGACTATATTTAAGGCAGGAGACTTAATCTAACTTTGGGATCGAAACATTTAAATTATTTTAGGTCGTCTTTACAGTCACATCCTTCGTGGGTAACCCTGTCAGGATGTTCATCAGATTTGAAACCAAGTATTACTTTGTTACTTTATGGTTCACAAAATACGATAAGGGGAGGGTTGGTTAACAAATCCGTTCATTGAAATAAGACCATTGCATGTACCTTGAGCCAGACTGAACCAGCTCCATACCAGGTTGAGTCCTGATAATCCTTAACTCCGTCATCAGTAAAATAGGACGGAGTACTAATATCCTCCTCACCAGGGTATACTAAACATATATATATATATATATATATATATATATATTTATGGGTATTGTACCTATTGGAAGTACTTTTTAACACAAAACTATGATGATTAGTATAAGCTTAAAAGCCTAAACACACTTTGTATATATATATTCTTGTACTTATTGATATTACCAAACATAAATATTATATCTTAATTTATTAATGTACAGGGAACTGTCTTTGTAATTTTTATTCCATTTACAGAGAGGCCTGATTCACTAAAGTATCCTTGACTTGAATGTGAAAGAAAACCTCGTTTTTCTAGTTTGAAAAGTGTTTAATAATATTATTTTCTCTAATGTTTCTGAAGAAAGAAATGCCCAAGTCAAATGAATATAATCAGTGTTAAAAAACAAATTAATTCATCCTCAATTCCTTTAAAAATAGTTCATTTTAAACATTTGCTTTCCCTAGACTTTATGCCAAACGCTAACCCTGGGAAAGATATGTGCAAAATATTTGTTCAAATATTTGTTTGCCATTTTCTTCAATCATAAATCACACTGCATAAACGTGATTAAGATACAAACCCGAAAGATAAAGATATACTTAATTGCTTATGGAAAGATACAATACAGGGAGTCCAGAAAGCATGGAAACCCATTCTTATTAGGGTTCGGCAATATGATCAAGCTATAGTTTAAATTTTGATATTTCCTATAAAGTTTTAATGATTTCAAATATCTTTAAAAAAAGTTGCTTTGTATGTTGATCAAAAAAAAATATATAACTAGCTTTGAAACCCATGGCTTTGTCTGGAAAATAAAATTTCCCATTAAAAGTCAACTATAAACTTGAATTACAATCTTTAACCCCAGCTGGGAAATTTCCTGTGGTTTAGTGAGAACTCAGAAAACAATGGAATAGTAAGACGACATTAAAAACAATAATAAAGTGTTTTCATGCTAATAAAAAGCAATATAGTTTTATACTATTAATTTATTAAATAACTTATCAAGTAAAATGGGGCTGTTTGTATTGCTCAATTGATGTGTATCATGCTCAATTGACTTTTTAAATTCCTACCTTTATATAGTCTATAAGTCGTCTTCCTATTCCGGAGTTTTCTGGTTTTTCCTTCCTATTTCTGGAGTTTAACAAATTGTGTTTTTTTCTCGGCAATAAAAAAATGCTAATATTTTTGCGAATGAAGGAAAATAGTGAAAAAAATCTCAATTGCATGTAGGCCCATTATAGAAGGAAGCCTGATTTATTTAATCTTTACTGATGACCCAAAGTTTATGCAACGAAGTTAAAAGTAAAAATAAATGGTGTTTTAAAAAAATTTAATTTAATCAAAGAGTATTTTATTATTTTTTTTAACGGATTTGTCAACAAATTTTAGTTTTTTGTTTTTGTAATGAAAAATGTACGAATTTGCCGAAAAAAAGGTTGGTTAAAAAATGTCTTGCAGAAATTTCTGAGTATATATAGATTAAATATATAGATGAAAGAATATTACCAATATTTGAAGTGTAGAAGTTTAATCCAATAAAATCTGTAGAGCCAGCAATCATTGCACTTTCCTAAACAAATAAATTGATTTTAAATAGATTACCTTTTTTTTAATATATCTGGAAACTTTTAGAGGGTTTTAAAATAAAGTTTAACTTTTTTAAAGTAAAATATTGAATTCGAAATATCATTTAAAAAATCTGTAGCATTTTATACTTTTTGACATTAGCAAATTATCCTAGAGTGTAAAATGTATAAAAATAATCTTTTGAAGATTTTTATAAAAAGTTTTCTTAAAGTGAAGGTCGATGTAATTTTAAATGATCTTTGCATGAACAATTCACAATTCAGTAAACCTAAATCATGTAAAATTGAAAGAAATATTCTTTGTTTTCTTTTTAAAAATACGATTGACAATTTTTCATTGCAGATATTCGATCTATGTGACTTGCAGAATAAACAAAAAAGAAAATTAACTTATTAATATTTTTTAAAGATTAGAAATCGATGAAATTTTTCTCATTCCTACCCATATAAATGTTTTCAGGGTACAGTTGTATATCGGACAATATTTTGTATTTGATGGGTAAACCTGCAGTTATATGTCCCCGTATAAATGTTTTCAGGGTACAGTTGTATATCGGACAATATTTTGTATTTGATGGGTAAACCTGCAGTTATATGTCCCCGTATAAATGTTTTCAGGGTACAGTTGTATACCGGACAATATTTTGTATTTGATGGGTAAACCTGCAGTTATATGTCCCCGTATAAATGTTTTCAGGGTACAGTTGTATATCAGACAATATTTTGTATTTGATGGGTAAATGTCCCCGTATAAATGTTTTCAGGGTACAGTTGTATATCGGACAATATTTTGTATTTGATGGGTAAACCTGCAGTTATATGTCCCCGTATAAATTAAAAGAACAGAGAAGATGAATTTAATAGGGTGGCTAGTGTGTGACACCAGTTCCCGTCAGATCATTGAAGTTAAGCACACTTGTTCGCAGCCAGTAACTGGATTGGTGTCCAGACTGGTGTTCACGGGTTAGATTCCCGTACTCCACACAATCCCGTGGTTATGACCACCTGACGGATGTAGAAGGACAGAGGGGCGGCTGTCAACATCTCTCGCAGAGAAAGGGTGGGTGCTTTCTACTTTACAAGAAAAAGTGGATTGCTGATGGAGAAATGCGCTGCCAGATTACAACCCCAGGTAGATCAAGAAAAACCCATACAACATCAAACCTTCGCAATAGAAAAATTCCAAGATTTGATAGTAACAACCCGATCATGTCCTGGGGACAAAAAATCTCCTTTAAAAAAATATTTTAAAAATTACTGTTTTAGGCTAAAATAATTTTGTAGGCTTATTTTGAGGTTATGTAATTTTTATTTTTTAAAGATATTTTTACTTCAGAAGACGATTATCGGTTTACTCTTCATACATACATGAATTCCGAATTTTAATCAAATTTCGGGGCAAAAATATATTATTCATGAATATAAATCTGTCTGAAAGCACACAACAAAAGCATGTAAGACTTAAAGAAATGCTCAAATCGTTATCTTATCAATATTGTACACTATAATGAACCGAATATCCTAATCAAAATTATCCCAAATTCTCCAAATTTTAGAATTATATGAAGCTGCTCAAATGTTTAAAGGGTCAGACCGGCTTTGTAAGGTAGTTAAACTCAGTACTCAGTTGTGCACAAATTCTTTAGGATTCATTTAGGATTCATAGCGATTATTTTTCGCTGTAAGCCTATACCCCAATTCACTTTTCGCAAACACGACTTTCCATGTGTCATAATTTGTATTCCCATGTCTATATCTTATCTTTAGCTTGGGACTATATATACTACTTTACCTATGCAGCATAAAAAAAAATATTTATATGATATTTTAAAATAACTAAAATGCCCGGCGTTGCCCTTGGAACAAAAATTTTGAATTTTGAAAAATAAAATTTAGAATTTTGGGGGAAGAAATTTGGAAAATTTGAAACAAAAAATATCTATTAAATACTTTGCTTTGTGTAGTTTGTAGATTATAATTTATCTGTATTAACTGTTTTCATATAAATAGAATAGCACTGAACGTATTTCCATTTATTGATTTTATAATTTAATTAATGGGAATTCTCAAAATACAGGTAAAACAATTGACAATTTTAAAACTTTTTTTTTGGGATCATTTGGGTCGGATATTAACAACAGACAAACAGACACACACTATTACCTCAGGTGTAAACTCCGGTAGCCTGGATATATTTAATCCTTGTAGTTGACTGTTTCTATCAATATTCCTTCTCATAACTTCAGGATATTTACCATCCTTGAATATTGCATGTCCGTACCAACCAAAATTAAACTGCATAAACCTAAAAATATTTCTTTTTCTTTTTCTTGACAATTTTAATTTGTTCACTATATTCACTATATTGTTCACTATATTTCAGCTGATTAATTATGTAACATTTAAATGTTACCTTTGACCAGCTATGATTATTTAAAAAAAATATCTAAAAATTCAAAATTCAAAATAAATTAAAAATTTTAAAAGATATTTGAAAGATTATATTTTCACTTACGTATCTGATGCTTCTTGATGAGCAGGGTTGTTTGGTTCTTCTGGTTCTCCCCAGTTTGTATTTAGAGTTATTCCAACTTTACCCCCCTGGCTTGCGGCAAACTCAGCCTAATGTATACAAAGAATTAAATGAACATTTCCCCCCTGACTTTCGGCAAACTTAGCCTAATTCATACAGAGAGTAAGAATAAACTTTTCCCCTTTGACTTGCGGCAAACTCAGCCTAATATATACAAAGAATTAAAATGAACTTTCTCCCCCCCCTGACTGGCAACAAATGCAGCCTAATTTGCAAAGTAAATCAATGTGAACTTTTCCCCCCTGACTTGCCGCAAACTCAGCCTAATTTATGCATAAAATTAAATTGAACTTTTCCCCCCTGACTTGCGGCCAACTCAGCCTAATTTATGCATAAAATTAAATTGAACTTTTCCCCCTCACTTTCGGCTATTTCAGCCTAATTTATGCATAGAATTAAAATGAACTTTTACCCCCTGACTTGCGGAAAACTCAGCCTAATAATTTTAATACAGCGAATCAAGATTAACTTTTTTCTCCTAAGTTCAGGAAAACCGAACTTAATAATTAACAAAAAACTCGACTTCGAGGAAAAATCATTTCTTTTCAATTTTGCAAGTGAAAAAAATCACTCACATTTATTCTACGTGTTACTGAATCAAAGTGTTAGTGTCAATAAATAGAAATGATTATGCTCTTTGATTTTAACAATATATTTTCCTATATTGAGAAATTTTTCTTTTCGGCAAAAAGGATTTGAGTATTCGCCACAAACTCTGATCTTCTTAACTCTATATCTTTGCAACCAAATGTATTAGACATTAGATATTTCACAATTTGAATTATGTTTTATCAAAAAGTCTAAGTTTGAAATATTAGAAGTTTCTTTCATACATGCGCGCATGTGTTGTGTATACCTGATAGAGTCTATATGCACGCGCATGAGCTCTGATCTGAGAAATATTTATTGATCTTTCAATGGAATTATTGTAAAATCGAATTATCAAAAAATTTAAATAATATGCAGTATTTTTAATTGAAAATCAATAACGTTTGTTTGATCAATTATTGTTCCTGATTATGAGCTGCTATATATGTAAGATCTCCTATACCCTTAAACCCAGGGGCCATTGTGCCTGTTCCGTGTCCTAAACAAGATAAGTTCTGGAAACCATGTTTGGTGTCGTTTCATTTTTAACAAGAAAAATCAGGGAGTGTTAGGTAGCTTTTGTGTCTCGGTGGTTGGTGTTTTAAAAAAATTCAAAAGAGGTCTGTTTGTTATTGGGTCCCTAACGAAAAGGTTCAGGGGAGGCATGTTTCTAACAGGAAATGTTCAGAAGATGCATGTTTGGTATCGGTTTCTAACAAGAAATGTTCAGAAGATGCATGTTTGGTATCGGTTTCTTACAAGAAATGTTCAGAAGATGCATGTTTGGTATCAGTTTCTAACAAGAAATATTCAGAAGATGCATGTTTGGTATCGTTTCTTACAAGAAATGTTCAGAAGATGCATGTTTGGTATCGGTTTCTAACAAGAAATGTTCAGAAGATGCATGTTTGGTATTGGTTTCTAACAAGAAATGTTCAGAAGATGCACGTTTGGTATTGGTTTCTTACAAAAAATGTTCAGAAGATGCATGTTTGGTATCGGTTTCTTACAAGAAATGTTCAAAAGATGCATGTTTGGTATTGGTTTCTTACAAGAAATGTTCAGAAGATGCATGTTTGGTATCGGTTTCTTACAAGAAATGTTCAGAAGATGCATGTTTGGTATCGGTTTAAAACAAGAAATGTTCAGAAGATGCATGTTTGGTATCGGTTTCTTACAAGAAATGTTCAGAAGATGCATGTTTGGTATCAGTTTCTAACAAGAAATATTCAGAAGATGCATGTTTGGTATCGTTTCTTACAAGAAATGTTCAGAAGATGCATGTTTGGTATCGTTGTCTTACAATAAAAGTTCAGGAGATGTTCCAAGTCCTTAACAAGAAAAATCAGGGAAGGCGTGATTGGGTTTCTTGAAGGATTATTTTTTAATTTGGTTGATTTATAAACAAACATTATTTTGTTTCTATCCAAAGGAGTGAGTTTTTTATGACCTTGAATTGATGTTTCTTTTGGCTCATTTAGTGTGATAAACAACTTGACATCATTTCCAAATTCAGCGAAGACGACCCGGGCGTAATCCTCGAACCAGTCTGCCACGCTACTGTTCAACCAACCTCCTGTCAATCAATCAATCAATTAATCAGTTTATTCGAACCTTTACATTTAAACAACTTCAAGATCTGTTGATTATCAAATGTCGGTTTTATAATGAAATATAGAAAACGCATTAAATAATGTAGGATATTAGGTTAAAACCTTATGGCATGGGTTTGTTAACATTTTTATCAAAGAGGCTTCCCTGCTTTTATCTATCTTGTTTTAACTTTTTAAGTCACTATTTAACCCAAAAAGGTTGCAAGTTCTCATGCAAAAAAACAATGAGAATTATGTAAATTACTATTAATAAACAACAGCTATAAGCAAGTGCTTTATATTTATAAAATTTACATAAAAGTAAAATTGTGAGTTTTGAGGTAAAATTGAACGTCAAGGCGTTGCTACACATTTAAGGTGGCCCAGTCTTGAAATTGGTGCAGTTTTTCCTAACAGTCTGGTTCTATGTCAAGTATAAACAAATTTTAATTTTCCAAAGTTAAAGAATTTTTAAAAAGTACCTTGCAATTGTAAAGCTTGAGGAAGATCCCAATGATAGAGTGTGATAGCGGGAATTATACCAGCGGATTTCAACTCACTAATAAATATATACTTATCAGAGCCAACAATTTAAAAACTTATTCTCGAGACTAAATTCCTTAGGCTCAGCTCTTATGTTCAAAGTTAGACCCGACTTATAGAATAGAAGTAAAACTGTTCTCAACTAATAGCGTAGATTCAGAGATGACCAGAGGTCTCAACTTTTAAATTTTAATCTCTTCTTTTCTTAAGAAACACTAATCCGCATTTTCAGCATTCCGACGGATTGAAATTAAATCATTGGATTTTAGTTGATGCTACAAACTCAAATTTACTGTTCCTTATATCTTTGCAACATGATGGTGTACACTTTTTATACTTCATACTTAAATTATTTGATCTAACAGAATTTATAGTTTGAAAAAAAGGGATTACAAAAATTACATTGCGGCAAAGACTTAATTCCTTTGTTTCATAATTAATTAAATATGAGTCAACTGCATTTTTACAGTTTTCAACCTAAAAGTTCTACGGTGGATATCGCGCGTATGGCGTTCTTAGATTAGCTCTTTCTCGTTCAAAAGTTCTTCCCTCAGGATTTATGTTAAAGTTCTGGCCTCACCCCGGACTAACCAGAGTGAGCAGCATTTGGTTTCTTCTATTTGAAATCAAACGTGTTTTGGTCTTTAATTCAATAAGCATTTACTTTACGGATTTGTTTATTATACTTTTTCATTCATAATGTATATGCCGACAAAAATGTATTTAAGAAAAAAGGCTTACAAATTATGTTTAATGGGTCAAATTGTGATCGAAAGTCACAGCTTTCTGGAATATTGACAAAACCGTTAAATCCACGTGGCGCCTCAATTTCATAAATTTGGCTTCTTATCCCACGTTTTCTCTTCAACTGGAGACTTTATGTATTTTAAGTCTTTCTATGGCTTATAAGAAGAAAAAAATCATTAAGATTTTTTAAAAGTGTAGGTTAACTATTTATTAGTTTTTAACCTTCATAATATTGTAAAGATTAGAAGATTAAATCGTCAAATTTGTATTTTCTCGGAATTCCTTCTAGAAAGGTGGATTATATACTTTTATAAAACATAAAGAAACAGATAATATCTAGTATTAACAAATAAATAGGCCTCAGAAAAAATGTGTACATCATTACGCAAATAATGTTAAGGAAGAAATTTTGAAGTCAAACCTTATAGATATCCAAGGTATAGAAACAGCTACGTATAGCAACAAGGGGTATTTTCCGGGAGAACATTTTTTATATTTTTGAGAAATTAAACGTTTTTGTAAAACATTGTAGCTTATCACTATCATTATCATAATTTCTATTTTTCTAACATACCCTAGACATTAAAGGAGCAAAATAGTTTAATATGTACATTTGTAATGCTTTCTATTGTGTTTAAGGTCCCCCAGAGTTTATTATGTACTGACAACATAAATGAATGATTATATGGTTATGAATAAAATTGCGTGTTATTATTAAAAAAAAATATTTTATTAAAATGCTATCTTCAGTTTTAGTTTTAGAAAAAAATAATTTTTTAAGTATAAAAAAGTTCTCTAGTAATGCTAATATGATTTCAAAAAATTCCGTTTTACCATTTAAATGAAAGGATTTTATGAAGATTATATCTACTTTACACTGATTTTTAAATTTCTCAAAAATATAAAAAATGTTCTCCCGGAAAATACGCCTTGTTGCTATACGTAGCGGTTTCTATACGTTGGATTTCTATAAGGTTTGATCTCGAAATTTTCAATTTTAAAGAAAAGTAATCGAGTCTAGCTTAGCTCCGTACAAACTCAAATGGTCTAATCCCTATTTCTTAGCAACCTGACATTTTAAACCTGTAATATTTAAATTTATATTATTTATGGTTTAAAATATCTAAGGTCTATGACATTGAATTGCAAAGATATAGGAATTATAAATTATTAATTCAGAATTTGTGGCAAAAACTCAATTCCTGTAAGATTCTTAATGTAATTGTTTCTAAAGAAATATATTTTGTTCCAATTTAAACCGAAGATGAAAACTTTTATTAATGACCAAGAATAAGACTTAATTGTGACGATATAAAAAATCTTAAAGATAAAGATGTTAGAGACAAATTTTATTTCCTGGTTTATTTAACATTTTTAATGGTGTTCTTAATAGTTTGACAAAGAAAAAATAACTTTACTGCGGTTGCATTAAAATTAAAATGTTTAAAAAATCGAATTTACACAATTTTGCCTATTTACACTTTTTAACACTTTTTTTATCAAAGTAAATGAGAAAAAAACGAAAAAGACAACTCAATAAGCGAAAAAAGTTTTGAACTAAAGACCAAAAACACGATTGATCATTTCAAACGCATCACCCTGTTATTCCATTCCAGGGGGGTACATGCTGTACTTAATTACATTGTACTGAATTTACTTATTGTACTTAATGTACTGTTGCTCTTAATGTACTTACTGCACTTAATGTACTTACTGCACTTAATGTACTTTTTGTACTTATTGTACTTAATGTACTTATTGAACTTAATGTAATTCTTGTACTTCTTGTACTTATTTTAATTACTTATTGGACTGAATGTACTTATAGTAATTAATGAACTTATTGTATACAAAATATACTTATTGTTCTTTTGTAATTATTGTATATTTAATGTACTCATTGTACTCAATGTACTTAATGTACTAAATATACTTATTGTACTTAATGTTCTTATAGTAAATAATGTACTTATTGTTCTTAATGTACTTAATGTACTTAATGTACTTAATGTACTTAATGTACTTAATGTACTTAATGTACTTAATGTACTATTACCTGATGAGGTTTTTGTAGTACTGTACTCCAGCCTGGTTAACAGTACCCACTCCTCTAGGTATAATACGACTCCAGGACACCGAGAATCTGTAATAAAAATAAATTTTAGTCACATTTTTGAAGAATAACTATTTGTTTGTATTCATATGGGTGTTATTGAATTGTGATCGTTAAATAATATTGTTAAAAACTGCAATTTTTCCATCAATAACACATAGCTTATTTTACCACTATGTTACTGTTCATTCCATCAAATATTGGTGTTATCATAATTTTCTGTTATTTAATAAAGGTAACCATTGTTACAATTATAATTGTTATCAAAAATAAATAGCTTATGATAATATATTTGGATGTTGTTACCTATAAGATGTCATGTTCATACTTTTCATAAGGGCCACATCCTCCTAAAAATGTACTATTATTATTATTATTATTATTTTTATTATTATTATTGTTATTATTATTATTATTATTATTATTATTATTATTATTATTATTTTTTTTTTTAAATCGAATTAAAATCGATTTTCATTAGAGTATTTTCAAAATTTAACGGGAAACCCCTTGCACTTCAGCTAGTTATAATTATTACTTTCTTTATTGTTATCGTTGTTACTCCATATCAAACTAGTTGTGTTATAACAACTGTTGTTGTTATAGCACAACTATAAAATGTATAAAATTAAATTAATATCCTACCTTATATTTGTGATAGCTATCACATGCCACCTCCCCAGAGGAACCGTCAATAATATTTCCTTCAATTCTGAAAAGAGAAAAATGGTCAATTAAAAAAAACAATTAAGGTTGAATTTATTTTGAGAAAAAAGAAATTTTTTATTGTTTAAAATGCAAACAGAAGGGTACTGTGTACTGTACAGTGTACAGAGTAAAGAGCCGGAAATCTAAGAGAAAATCGTTGCATCCGAGTTTTCATTCTAAGGTCTGAACATAGCGAAGACTTTAATTCAAGAAATTAGAAATCAACAGGAGAATGTAAAGAAACTGCATATAAAGTTATATTTCTTAATAAAAATATTATTATCTACGAAACTGCCTAACCCCATTAATGAAACCGGGTTTCAATACTGGGTTTCATGACGATACTCTGTCTAAAGTTTCAGACTAAAGGTGTTCGGTGTAGGGTGTACATAGTGTAGGGTGTACATAGTGTACGGTGTACATAGTGTACGTACCTAGTAAAAACATCCCATATACTTTCTCCCTTTCCATCCTCATTCCAACCTCCTTCTATCTAGGAAATAAAAATTGAATTGATAAGATTTCATAATTTGGTTTATAATTTGGATTAAAAATCATTCATTGGATCTAGTTGAGTGTCATAATACCCAATTGAAGGAATTAATATTTGGATTTCAATAGTCTATATCTAGTCTACACTGTACTGGGTATTTGAAAAAAACATGGGAATTAGAGACAACCTGAAAATCGTCTTAAATTTCCGTAAGTTGATGATTAAACAAAGTGTCTGAAAGGAAGATCTTTTAAAAAGGTGGTCTGCCAACTTTGTATTTTTAAAATTTTTAATATTTCCGTCATTCTGAAGGTAAAAAAATGGTAGACTACATTTAAGAATTCCCGAGACTTGCACTTTTAGATTTTAGGATACATACTAAGATTGAGTTCACGTAATTACATATAAATCGCTTTGTACAAAAACGAAAAAGAAATATTCACATTATTCTCAATGTACGTACAATGATATATCTTATGTACAGCTGCTTACCCATGTACGTACAATAATATCTCTTACACGTAGGGTTACCAGTGTACGTACAATATTATCTCTTATGAACAGGTTTACCCATGTACTTCCAATAATATCTCTTATGTACAGGGTTACCCATGTACGTACAATAAAATCTCTTATGTACAGGGTTAACCATGTACTTCCAATAATATCTCTTATGTACAGGGTTACCCATGTACTTCCAATAATATCTCTTATGTACAGGGTTACCCATGTACTTCCAATAATATCTCTTATGCACAGGGTTACCCATGTACCTACAATAATATATCTTACGTACAGGGTTACCCATGTACTTCCAATAATATCTCTTATGTACAGGGTTACCCATGTACTTCCAATAAATTCTCTTATGTACAGGGTTAACCATGTACGTAAAATAATATCTCTTATATACAGGGTTACCAATAAAAGATGAGAAGTTAATGACGACCTGAAACTCTTAAATATGTTAATCCGAAGATTGAATTTTGTTTTGTGCGTTAATCTTAGTTTTTAGGTATAAACTGACTAATTTGAAAAGAACAACTTTAGCTGACCGCGAAAGTAGAAAAAAATTCCGCACAGTCGTCTCGGAAGTCGTTTTCTTTGTGGATACCCCTGTACAGTACAAGTACTATACACAGTACAATGTACATACCTGGTACGCTGCTGTAGCTGTACCCCAGAGGAAACCTTCTGGAAAACTGTCGTACAACAAATCCTCCTCATACACATAACCCAGGCATACACCTGTACAGCATAAATCTAAAGGGAAACACAAAACAGGGAATTCACAATGAAAAAATATGTGGAATGGAAAGAAGACTGTTCCACTCTATTTTCCTTAAAGGGAGTGTTCGCGAAAAATGAAAGGGGGGTATAGGCTTAATGCGATAAAAAAGCGCTTTTGATCGCGTCTATAAGGAGAAAATCAATTTAATTTCAAACAAATCATTCAGATATTAAAACCTATAGTCATTGATAATCTTTCGCCACATTTGTATATATTTAATATTTCATACTAGTTTTGATTTTGTTTTTTAAAATAATATTTAGCTTACAACTTGTTTTCGAACATTCCTGGAAAATATGAAAATGTCGTCTTCATTACCAAAAATCCTCGAAACAGGAATAAATGTTTTTATAAGTAACTCTCAGATCGTAACAATTAAAACATATTATGAAAAATCAACTATATATAAATGTGGCGAAAGATAATCGATGACTATAGGTTGTAATATCTGAATGATTTGTTTGAAATTAAATTGATTGTTTTACGGTCTAAATCGTATGTTGCAATTTTCTCAATTTGTATGGACGCCATGTTATTCGGTATGAGACGTCTTTAACAATTTTCTCCTTATAGACGCAACAGATTGAAGTAAGATTAGCGATCATAAGCGCTTTTTTATCGCATTAAGCCTATACCCCCTTTCATTTTTCGCGAACACTCCCTTTAAATCTTTTCAGCCTTATATTGTAGACCTAAACTATGAGTTCTGCTAGAGCAAGCAGACAAAGTTATAAATATCATCAAAAGGAAGCAGCATTCAAATCAAACAGATAGAAGAACAAGCCAATAAGCCATCTAGCACCTGTGAGTCCTAAAGTGAGAAGCAGAGACACCAGATTCATTTTCTGAATGTCTGGAATAGAAAAACTAATATTCGTCTTTGCATTAATTGGGTTGTTAATAGTTTTTAAAACGATCGAAAAAAACAATCGTTTTTCGTTTGTGTCACAACGAACGAATCATTCGTTTTGATCTTTTAAAAAACGAAAAACTATCGCTAATGCATCTGAGTGTTATGACAAAAAATGTATTTTGCCTGAAAAGGTTGTTCACAATACTTAACGAAGGGTCATCAGTAACGGTCGTTAGTCGTAAGTAACGGTCGTAAACAAATGGTAGACGTTAATGATAGTCAAATCCTCAAAAACTAAAAACGACCTACTTCGTTAATGTAACGACGAACTAAAACTAAAAAACGACTCATCGTTTTTAATAAAAAAAACACTCTTTTAAAAACTGATCGTTTTTAAAAAACGACTGTTTCGTTTTTAGTTTCTCTTCGTTGTTTTTAAAACAAAAGGATCGTTTTTCAAAACAGTGAAAACGATCCATCCTTACATGCGGATATTCTTTAGTAGTTTTTTAAAGCCCACCTGCACGCCACAGTTATTTTAATCATTGACGTAGAAAAGGTATTATAGTTGTGAATCATAAATAGAAAAACGTTTTGTAAAAAAAACACTGTTTTAGATTTCTTTACTCGATTAATGTAAACTTTTTGATGCACGTTCAATTTTTCAAATTTCAATGAATAAGGAAACTTAACCTGATACAGATACTAAACATGAAATTATGTATGTATATTGAAAGACATTTTTTGTTTGAAACTAAACGATCTTCGCGTACTTTTCTCTAAGAGAACACAACGACACTGATTATTTAATTACGTGGATTTGTTTAAATTACACTAATAGATAAATAGATAGATAGATAGATAGATAGATAGACATAAAGATAATGTTATCTCTTTTATGTACATATATTTTCAACGAAAAACGAACTAATTAATTATTTTACTCACTTTAACTTTAATTAACTAACTCACCAGGAAAGGGGCGCCGTCGACTCAAAACCTAGTTTTATTTAAAGGCTCAGAACTATAAGTCCCTTAACTATAAGTCTTTTAACTGTAAGTCTTTTGACCGTAAGTATTCTAACTGTAAGTTTTTTAATCATAAGTATTTTAACTGTAAGTCTTTTAACTGCAAGTCGTTTAACTGTAAGTCTTTTAACTGTAAGTATTTTAACTGTAAGTTTTTTAACTTTAAGTCTTGTTACTGTAAGTTTTTTAACTGCACGTCTTTTAACTGTAGGTCTTTTGACCGTAAGTCTTTTAAATTTAAGTCTTTTAGCTGTAAGTCCTTTAACTGTAAGTATTTTAACTGTAAGTCTTTAACTGTAAGTCTTATAACTGTAAGTCTTTTTACTGTAAGTCTTATTACTGTAAGTCTTTTTGCTTTAAGTCCTTTCGCTGTAAGTCTTTTTGCTATAAGTCTTTTAACTGTAAGTTTTTTTACTGAAAGTCTTTTAACTGTAAGTCTTTTTACTGTAAGTATTTTAAATGTAAGTCCTATAACTTGCAGGAGAACTAGACTGAGTTTAATCTTAATATTTGTCTTGAATACTGAATTTATTTTCAGTGCCGTAGACAGGAATTATCCCCAAGTGAAGGTTAAAATTTATTTATTTTAATTTAACAATATAGAGACAGATTTTGTAATTTGTAATAATTATAATATTCATTTTATATATATAAATAACTTTGCTTGTCTGTTTGTCTCTAATTAACGTCAAAACGGCTGTACCAACAGAGCCCAAATTTTGTGGTGTACCTCATAAGCCTATATGGAAGGTTTATGGATGCTCAGAATTACAAAAAGTTGAATCCAAAATTTTACTCATAACTTTTGTAACATTTTTAAAATGCGCAAACAAATATTTGAAAATCCGCGAACTTTTTTGTTATTGTTCTATACTGTACAAGGAGAAAATGCTCACAGATTGAGCCACAATTAAAAGTTCAAAAAGGATGGGCGCGAAGCGCCCTTAACTCCAAGTATTCATATATTCGAAGTTACAAAATCCCTAAAGAGATTTCGAAATAAAAGGAAAGGAAGATGTCGTTATCTATTTTAGTATATATGATAATCTGATCTGAGCTGGGAACCTTTGAATGGTGGATATCGGGATTAATGCTTGATCCACTCTTTTTCTTAAACTCCATATTAAATATTGCTTGTTTTCCTCATGAATTTAATCTCCAGATAAATTAATAGATCGGGATGAAGGATATTACATTCTATAGTTTTCAGCTCTGGTCAGCGCTGTAAGATAAGAATGTAAATGGACATTTTGTTCTTGATTAGTTCAATATCGCATACTTCCTTCAGTAAATAAATAATATTTTTCCAACTTTTGGAATGATAAAGACGACATTTAAAATCCATCTCAAACAATGGGGAAAACCTTATATTTGTTCTAACCCCTCAGTGGAAAGAGCGCGAAGCTCAAAGTTAAATGTGTAAGATCAAAGGGGTAATTTGGGTAATTTTTTGTTCTTTTTCTGTATAAATTTTCTCTTTCAGGGTTTAAATTTAACATACAGGGTGTCCCGCGAAATATAACAGTTGGTAAATAGTTTTGAATGTCGTCTTCCATACACTTTATTAGATATTAAGGGCTGTTTGCAGTTTAATTCGTTTAAAAAATCTTTTGCTCAAATATATTATACTTTTAAGTTAATATTGCTATAATATGACGCCTATATAAGATTTTATTGTTATCTTTGGTATTAAACAACTTAAAAAATTATGGAAGAAGACATTCTAAACTTTTTACCACCTGTCATGTTTCGTGGGACACCCTGTAGTGTAAGAAAGCCAAATATTTTTTAAATTTCATCCAATAAACATTTGCTTTTCTCACATTTGCCAAATTTTGACCCTCAGATTAAACATATGCGGGAAAAAACTAAAATCGAATGTGTTCAAACGATCTTTTTTAGTTAATTTTCAATTTTTTTTAGGATAAAATAATTCAAAAAAAATAAACTTTTACCGAACATGCACTACACATTGTTCTCAAAAAGACACTTAAGTTTTAAGCTTGAAAAATTTGTCATACTTGATCAGACAAAGGTTTACTGAAACGTCTGCCAAATCTGTGTCAAGATTGCCAAATCTATGGCACGGAAGCCAGACCTGTGGCACGACTGCCAAATCAGTGGCACTGAAGCCAAACCTGTGTCACGGCGACCAAATCTGTGGCACGGAAGCCAGACCTGTGTCATGGCTGCCACCCCCTGTGTCACAGCAGCCATACCTGTGGCACGGCTGCCAAATTTGTGGCACGGAAGCCAGACCTGTGGCTCTCGGTAGCCTAATCTGGAAACAAAATAATAAAGTGTAAAAAAGATTAAAAATTCAAATAGATATATTATTTTTCTTTTCAAAATTAAATTCGTAATAAATCTGTAACATTTTTTTTTTGCTTTTGAAGATTAAATTCTTTGTCGACCTTCTTATCTCTTTTCTGCTTAATAACTTTTACCTTATCTTTATAAGTTGTTAGTTTGTGTAGAGAGGATGGGAGATTTTGTGACCAACCCTAGGAAAATAATTAACTTCAGAATGTAATTTCAGTTCCTGATAAATTTTTGATTATATGTTAATTTAAACTCCGAGTATATTTGCTGATAAATGGGATTGGTAACGAAATATAGCGTTACCCACAAAGGATGAGACTATAAAGACGACGTAAAACTCACTAGTAATCTATTGGCTTATAAAATGATTTGGCAAAGAAAGAAACAAGTTTACAGTTGCAGGGAATTTGAATATAAAGAAACAGCCAGTATAAAATCCGTACAGTCGTCTCTGAACGTATTATATGTCGAATTTGAACACTTATACCCAATTTAAATCTAAATTTTCTTCGGTTTTCTAACTTGAAAACTCTAGATTTTCACTAAGGCACATAGTAGAATGATTTTTTAACAATTTTTGATTTTTTATAAAAAAAATGGTACTAACTCTATTGTTCAGTTTTTTCTCCTTTCTTCACCCGCACGCATAGAGAATAGAATATATATTAGAGGGGAATTTAGACAATCTCTCGGTATGAATTTTTTCAGTCCCTTTCAGCCTGAAAGGGAGTTCAAAGTGTACAAATCATGTAAATGTTCACAAATTATATGCAGTAGAGTACATTAATACAGTATGTTCCCTAGACTATTCATTTCAATTTCGAATTTTTAAAGCTGTTAAATAAACTTTATAATGAATTAGGTGAATAAAAAACATCATTTGATTTATAGTTATAACGAAAAAACATCGTTTGTGAAGTGAAAGGCATAGAGTCTATGTGAAATGATCATTGGTCAATTATGAAACCAGCCTATTTCATAATTTGGTTTTCTTTTAACATTAATTTTAGATTTTCTATAAAATGATGTTCCAGGGTCCAAAAGGTTATATATCGCAAATATGTGAAGTACACCTGCAGTACGGAAACAGTACAACAAAATGGCCGTTTTACACTTTTTTCTAGTAAATTCCCCTCTAATATATATTCTATTCTCGTCTAAAGGTCTAAAGGTTCTTAATTTTTCTAACTTATTTCTTTCCGTCCATTTTTGACGCTGAATTTTCTTTTCGGTGAATGAATAATTTCAGTATCTTAAAGTGTCTAAAAAGTATAAGTTCAAAGTGTACATTGCTTGTAAATGTTACATACTTTAAGATAACTGTTTTTCTCAAAAGAGTTAAAATAGTTCAAGGGGTTTGAGACCACGCGCTGCAATACGGTGACGGTACAACAAAATGGTGGTTTTACACTGTTTTGGAGTTAACACCACTCTATTAATTTTATGCTCTGTATTTGAAGGTTACCATTGTGAACCAGATATGGCACTCTTTAGATGAACGGTCACTTGAAATAACGACTATCTCTGCACCTCCCCCCCCCCCCCCCCAATAGGGAGTGCACAGTGTACACATATATCAAGATTAATATTTGATAAAGCGAGGGAGGGATGCAACACCGACGAATCTCCTTACCAGAGGGAGGGAAAGCAATACAATCCTGTTCTAGTAAAACAGCTGGGAAGAATCATGGTCATTATAGCAAGGTAAAACATCTCAGTTTAATAGTTCATGACTTATAATTGTGCCACGCCCCTTTGTTTGGTATTTTTGTTTGCTCTAAAAATTACTTTAAAGGGACTGTAAGCGCAGATTCGAGTGACCCATTATGAAAAGATTGTAATATTATATACGCAATGGTGCCCTTAACAGCTTCAGCTGATCAATTATGCATTAGAATTCCATGTTTTTACTGATTATTTTCATCTGTGATTTCTCTGAAAAATGACTAACGAATTTCTTCAACACTTTCTGGTTGAGAAAAACAAAGTTATCTTCCACATTTTAGATTATTTTAAAGTTTCAAGGGTACCGTTGTCAATCGGGCAATGCCAACTTTGTACTGCGGGGCACTTGCAATTACTGTCCTTTTAACTGCAACTATTGTTCCTTCGTAATCGTATCTGCTATCTATATATACAGGGTTACCCACGTAATCGTATCTGTCATCTATATATACAGGGTTACCCACGTCCCACAGTGACAGATATGACTGTAACTAATATCTGTCTGTTTCCATATATTCATGATTCCCTGCAGTTATTTTTTTCTGCCCAATTATTAAAATTCCATCAAAAGATTATATGTGAGACTTAATTCAACCTTGGAATCGTGATATTTTAAGAGTTTTAGGTAGTCTTCGGTCGTCTTGTTAGTCTGATCCTTTGTGGGTAACCTTGTTTATATAGTAGTGGTCTCAGTTTATTTTTTATGTCCGATCATAACTCATAAACCCCTTTACTGATTTGTCTCAAATTGATTTGGGAACCCGGTAGAACTGCAGGGAAATGATCTTAGCTTTGTTAAAAATTCTACGTTGAGACACGACGGTTGAGTTTTCTCGAGAAATAGGGCTCCCAAGCTATAATAGTGAACTATAAACATAACAACGCAAAGTTTAGCAACACATGTTACTATGTAGGGTTGATAATCTTTTTGTCGCTAATGAATCTGAGTTTTATTATAATTAATTTAATTTTTTTCCAGGAAAATAAGGTGATGAATGTTTCGTAAATGGTTTTTATAAAGAGAAATATCCTGATTTTTCAACCAAAAAAAGTATTTTCTTTTAAAAAAGTCATTAACGATCGTTACCGAAGAGTCGACTTCCGAAAACGATCATTTTAAAAACGACTGTTTTATTATAAAAAACAACCTTTTTTAAAAATAGATACTTTTTCAAAAAGATCGTTACGTTTTTTTGCTTTCTTTGTCGTTTTCAAAACGAAAAGATCGTTTTTCAAAATAGGGAAAACGACCCATCACAAGAACATTTGCTTGCCTTACACTATGCCAGGACCCTGAGAGATAAGAAAAATTATAAGAAAAAACAAAAGAACAATCGTTATTTTTGTTTTCCCTTGTTTCTCCTATGTCTGATAAAAATTTGGCCTTGTTTTAGAAGCGCAAACTTTTACAGAATGCAGTTTTGAAATTTTGGAAATACCAGAAGTTCACCGTATTTGAAAACGTCTGTCAAAAATCTAAAAAAAAAATTCAAAAACGAGCAAAAAAAAACGTTTTAAATGGATATAAAACCAGGGTCTGCCACCAAATGCACTGCACCTGCAAAGTGAGGCCTCGGAGAAAAGATTGAACTCTGTTGATGATGAGGCGGCTCAGATCACTCTTTTATCCCTAAAGGTAGTTTTAGTTTTTAAAATAGGTGAAGATATTTAAAATGTTTCTGGTCACCAAAATAACTAAGAAAAGTTTTAATTATTTTTAAAACTTAAAATAATCAACACCTTGCAAGTTGCAGAACTGTAAATTTTAACTATATACTTAAAAAATAACATTTTATGTGTTAAATATTTAAATTCTGGATTATAATTATTCTAAATAGCATTAATTTTTGTTTATGTTCATTTTTAAATCCAAATTTTGTATTTAATTTTAATCTATTAATCTTGCTTTAATAAAAGTAGTTAAAGAGCGTTTTTTTGTAAGAATTCGAAATATAATGAAAATAAAACTATAGAAAATACAATTTAAAATTATAACAAACATCGCATATTCTGGAACCCTGTCCTCTTGTAAGGAAAAAAAATTGAATGTTTAAAAAACGAACAAAAAAAGATTCCTATCTCTTGGAAAAATAGTAATTTTGTAACTGGTGTTAGCTCAATAGCTCGGAAAATATGAATAGTTCCATTGATATAACCCCTTCAGTCCTCATACGGACCCAGAGCTAAGTTCGGATTGCAAGTAGTCCAGCCTATTAACAGGACAACATGCGGAGAAATAATTGTCGTTTTAAATTTCCAACCCAGAAAACATACTATAAACGCATGCTTGAATGCGTGGAAAACCAAAGCTACTGTTGCCCCAGATCCTAGTTTAATTCAAGCCAATAGGCAGGAACCACGGCTTAGAAGGAGAAAATAGGATCGGCATGGGCTAAAACCGAAATGGAGTCAGTTAGCACCAAGGGGAATGAAAGGCCGAGAGCCTGCCAGAGAACTCAATAGTGTCATTTTATTTGTTTATTTTTTACCTGTAAATACATTTTTTCCTATAATCTGTAGATTTACTTACATCAGTTTCAGGCTTTAGATTTCCTCTATTTCATACCACTTTTAAATAGTAACAATTTAATAAATTATCTTTAATTTTCCAAATTTAGTCTGATAGAGCAACTCTACACCAAAGAACAGAATTTCAGGTCAATTAATTTAATTTGAGATAATGGTTCTAATGATTCTAATGATTAGATTTAAATTTCTCAAAATTATTAAATTATCTACATAAAACCACCTTTTTTTAACAAAGGAATTGATTTTGATTTTTAAGCCTTTTAAACTTTACAACCCGATGCAGTAAACCTTTGATATTTCAAACTATGAATTCTGTTGGATGTAAATATCAAGAGTTTCCCCCGGGTCAAAGTCGAAAACTAAAGAATGCGCAAAATTTAAGTTGCATAAAGTAAATATCTCAGACTCATAATTGTTACATAAAAATTTGAGAGACTCAAAGGTTTTTTTGGGGTTAAATATTTCAGATTTAGCTTAAAGTTAAGGTTTAAATTAAGTTACAAACGCCATTTAATCTGAAACTTAACATTTCAGTCATATTTTTTAGTTTTGGACTAGGGTTTCCAGCAAACGTAAACTTTCGCTAAAAAATACGAAAATTTTCGTTCGTATTTCACAAAATATTCAAATTTTGTTTTCCCGGGAATTTTTGCATTTGTTATTTCGTGAAATGTTCGCATTTCTTATCTCGCGAAAATTTCGCATTTCTTATCTTGCGAAAATTTCTCATTTTTTCGAGAAACAAATTCAGCGAAATTTTGCGAAAAATGCAAACATTTTCGCATTTTTCGCGAACGAATGAAATGCGAAAAATGCTGAAATTTCGCGAAACGATTTTCCCGTTTCGTTGGAAACCCTAATTTGGACTCAAGTTGATAGGATATGGAAATTAGAAAATATTTGTTGGTGGGAAAAACTTGATTTTTGGTTTCTGCGTTCAGTTGAGTATGTTGATGGTTAACTTAATGATAAACCGGTTTTAGTCTACAAGCTACAAGGGACCATTTATGCATGAAAACAAACTAAACAAATCCCGTTTAATCATCTCGGAAGTCTCTTCCTTTTTGGATTGACGACCTACCTCTGTAGTCCCTAATATGGACTACAGAGCCACCATATTAGTGTAAATATTGAATTGAAACTGGTTTATTTCACGTAACCCTTCAATAATTTCCATTCAAAGATGGCAATCCCAGATTTAGAATGGTAATTTTTACCCTTTTATCTGATCAATAATGTGGAAAATATTGTCGTTTTCTAAGGTTAAAAGTGTTTAACTTTTAACTTTTGTAGAGAATCTTAAATTGAACAAAATCAATTTTCCAAAATATAAACATTGATATATAATTCATACTTCATCAGACAAAGCCTTTAAGGTACCGTTGTGAATCGGGCAGTGCCGGGTCATTTGAAATTTCCTCTAATATCTAGATTCGACAGAGAGAGATTTGTGTTTCCAATATTGTAGAAGAGGTTCGCCATGTTAGAGATTCAATCTTATCAATCCATGATCCTCATTCAACTATTCTTATTCAACAGTTAGACCGACTTCAGGAATACATATTGGAGTTAATCTTTAGTACAAAACAAATTGGAGTTAATCTATAGTACAAAACATATTGGAGTTAATCTATAGTACAACACATATTGGAGTTAATCTAAGTACAAATATACTGGAGTTAATCTATAATACAAAACATATTGGAGTTAATCCCAAGTACAAAACATATTGGAGTTAATCTAAGTAAAAAACATATTGGAGTTAATCTAAGTACAAAACATATTGGAGTTAATCTATAGTACAAAACATATTGGAGTTGATCTAAGTACAAAACATATTTAAGTTAAACTATAGTACAAAACATATTGCAGTTAATCTAAGTACAAAACATAATGGAGTTAATCTAAGTAAAAAACATATTGGAGTTAATCTATAGTACAAAACATATTGGAGTTGATCTAAGTACAAAACATATTGGAGTTAATCTAAGTAAAAAACATATTGGAGTTAATCTATAGTACAAAACATATTGGAGTTAATCTATAGTACAAAACATATTGGAGTTAATCTAAGTACAAAACATATTGGAGTTAATCTATAGTACAAAACGTATTGGAGTTAATCTAAGTACAAAACATAGAGTTAATCTATAGTACAAAACGTATTGGAGTTAATCTAAGTACAAAACATATTGGAGTTAATCTAAGTACAAAACATATTGGAGTTAATTTATAGTACAAAACATATTGGAGTTAATCTATAGTACAAAATATATTGGAGTTAATATAAATACAAAACATATTGGAGTTAATCTAAGAACAAAACATATTGTATTTTATCCAAGTACAAAACATATTGGAGTTAATCTAAGTACATAACATATTGGAGTTAATCTAAGTACAAAACATATTATATTTTATCCAAGTACAAAACATATTGGAGTTATTCTAAGTACAAAACATATTGGAGTTAATCCAAGTACAAAAAATATTGGAGTTAATCTAAGTAAAAAACATATTTCCACTCCTTATATCGTTGCCACCTGATGGTATAACTAACTAACTATATGGTATAACTAACACTATATATATATCTGACATAATTCGTAGTTTGAAATATTAAAGGTCTACGACATCGGGTTGCAAATTGCAATGATATAGAGATTTAAAAGACTAGAGATTGTGGCAAAAACTCATTTCCTCTTAAAGCACCATATAGACTCCATATTTCAACTCCATAATAGCTTCTTAGTAACTCCAAATCAACTCCATTAATGTTTGGTGTAGGATGGATTAGAAGGTTTAGTTAAAAGCAGTCAGTTTGTTGGCCGACTAAAATATGAAGAAAAATGTTCTAAACAAATGGACACGATAAGGTATATTTTATGTTGTAACTGTAAATGCTTTTTTTGCTAAAAATGACAACTAAAGAAAAAGTTATTATTATGAATAGAATAAAGTAAAAAAGTAGAAAGCAGCAACAAAAATTGACGTCTTCAGGGACGGACAAAATGATTAAAATGACTTCCCAATAAAGGGATTTCATGCCTGATTCACAACAGAAACCGTTGTTTAACCAGCAACGAGAACGATAGTTCTGATCTTTAAGATTGTTCAATTCTGTCGATTACCTTTTTTGTCTCTACTGCATATAGGCGGAGGTTGAAACGGTACCGTTGTCAATATGGTATGCTTTTATGTCGGAATTTAATGTTTTAGAATCTATGCTGCGAGTTTGAGTAGAGAAAGAGAAGAAATGAATCAGGAAATGAAAATGCTTGGAGCTAACTCAGAAATTCAAGAAATTAAGGTTTTTTAATTTTTAAAAAAACTACCTTTTTCCATTAATTTGCTTAATTTTTGTTTTATTTCAGAGTCGCTTCAATAATGAAGAGAATTTAAAGGTAATATTGTTTAACACGTTAATGGGAGTGTTTGTGAAAATTCAAAGGGGGTATAGGGCTCGAAACTGAGTCTTTGTAATAAACTCCGATTTTACAATCCATGTTACTTCGCAACCCAATGTCGTAGACCTTTGATATTTTAAACTATGTATTAATTTAGACCAAATAATTTAAGTTTAAAATATCAAAGGTTTAAACCATAAATTAAAGGGATTAGTAAAGGAATCGAGTTTTTGCCACAAACTCTGATATTTTAATTCCTATAACTTTGCAACCCGTTTTCCAAGACCTTTATTATCTCAAACTATTAATTCTGATAGATGAAATAGTCTAAGTTTGAAATATCAAAGGTTTATGCCTTAAGGTTGCAAAGATATAGAGGTTTAAAATGCGAGTTTGTGGCAAAAACTCAATTCCTTTGAGTTTGTGGCAAAGTCTTAATTTTCAAATTTTCAAAAAGGGATTTTACGAGTTTTATTCTAATGTTACATTCAATAATGAAAAAAGAAAACTTCTTATGTATTGTAGTGTCTGAACCAAGGTTATAATGCAAGGATAGTTAATTAAAGTTGCGTATACTCTGCGTACATACTGAAACCAGTTCTCTCCAAGCGGAATATAAAAACTAGAGTAGATGCATAAGTGTTCGTTTAGTATCCGAGGAGGTTAAAAGCATTAAATTTTGATAATTTTGATAATTCACATAATAGTTTCCTATGATCAGAATATTTAATTGATTTTTTTATGTGAAAGATGGATCCCATGTCAGGCTTCGACATCCGTCTTGTGTTTACATTACCACCCAGAAACAGTACAAAAGATGCGTACACCTCTGAAATAACTTTCCTTGCATTATAACCTTGGTCTGAGCAGTCCACAATATATGAAGTATTCAATTGGTTCTTTAGTATTCTCCAAATAGATTATCAAGAACAATAGGTGGCAACAGAGAAATGGACAAATTATACACGACGTCACAAGTGTCAAAAATAACAATTAGGAAAATAAATTTTCTCACATTAGTTGACATATTTTCCAAGATTAAATAAAAAAGTGTAAAAACAGAAAATAAAGAAGACATAAAATTGCAATTATTTTACCGTAAAATAAGCAATTTATTCTAAAATTATAACTATTATTAATAATTTATTAATAATTGATTAATAATTAATAAAAAACTAAGTTGACACTTGTGATGTCAGAAAACAGCTGTACTGAGAGTGTTCACATTCTACGTTGCCATCTATTGTATTAGAATCTATTTGGTATTCTCTGTATAAAAGAAAGATACGAGTTTTAGATATTGCATTGTTGTATACCCCTGTATATTGGAGTTATAAATAAAAGTTTATATTTGCGAGATATCCCTAAAAATATAGGGATAAAATCGCGACTTTTAGTAGTAAAATACAATTTAGGCCATAAAGCAACTGTCAATCTCGGGATTTTCAAGGTGTACGCAGCCATTTCTTGCTTTCTCAAAAATTGACGGGAATATAAAGATTTTTTTTCCAATTCCAATTCATTAAACAAATAAAAATTGGTTAATTTTTGAATAACTCAATCAATTTTAGAAACTGAAGGAAAATGACCCCACTTTGAGAAGCTTTACATGCGTACATTGTTTTATATCCTTGCTGTATTTTATCTTTTTTTTTTTAAATCAAAGACGATATTCTGAGATGTGTTTTGATTCCAATGTTTATTTGAACACCCTATACTATACATTTAGAGTTCTGGAGATTCTAAAATAAATCCCCCTGAGACTCCGGACTTTTGCATCAATTGGAAGGTATTTTTTTAATACAGACGATAAATTAAATATCAACATATAAATTAAAGAGAGTGTCCGGCTATACAGGGTAGTTGAGCAGAAAGTGCAATGTTGTCGAAAATTTTATTAGGATTTATTTGAAACCTGTCAGACGTATTTACGGTGAATATTTGTTTACCAAGAGCCCAAATTCAACCTTTGAAATCCTCATTGGTTGTCCATTTTGGGGAGATGATTCTAAGAATCCTCATTGGTTGTCCATTTTGGGGAGATGATTCTAAGAATCGGTTATTTTAATAACGACCAGGAAAAATGTAACAAGCATACTACAGTAAACTAACAAGATGTTTAGGAACAGGTTAAGAAAATAAAAATAGGTCTAAAATGAATCAAACAAAGTGTCTCTACAAAACTGCATTCTCAGCTCAACTACCATCTCTAGCCAGACACTCCCTTTAATATTTTTGAAATGTATTACTCTTCACACCTTTCTTGTGAGTTCTCAGTATAACATATATAAAGCCAACGTAAGAATTTTCACCTTGAAAGTTATTTAGTGCCAAGGTTATAAAGCAATGAAAGTTAATTGCCGTTGCGAATACTCTGCGCAAATATTGAAACCAGTTCTATCTGGGCGGAATTTGTTAACAAAAATAGGTGTATCAGTGTTTGTCCAGGATGCGAGGAGGTTAAAAGCATTTAATTTTGATAATTTTGATAATTCACAAAATAGTTTCCTATGACCAGAATATTTCATTGATTTCTTTGTAAAATATGGATCCCATGTCAGGCTTCGACATCCGTCTTGTGTTTACATTACCGCAAAGAGACATTACACGGTAGTACAAAAGATGCGTACACCTCTGAAATAACTTTCCCTGCATTATAACCTTGTTATAGTGCTCTACGCCGCTGAAGGTTATATGTAAACAAAGGGATTACTGAAGCTGTCTTGTATTTGTCTAAACTGTCAAAAAAATTCTTTCAGCGTCGAAATTTCTGTGTTAAAGTTAAATGTTTATTTTTGATAAAAATTATCTTATTTAATTTTTGTAAACAACGCAGAACAGTTATCAAACAGATTTTTATAATTGCGCACAGATTTGTTTTGAAAATGCGTACTCAATTCGTAAAAACACAGAATAGCTGGGGAATTTGATCATAAATAAGCTTGGAAAACAACATTAAAAATAAATTCGTTGTCTAATTCTAAATATGGGATATGCTGTGAAAATTACAAAGTTGAAAGTTGTTAAAGGGACTGTAAAGGAAAAATGAAAGGGGTATAGGCTGAAAGCTAATCACTTTAACTCTTGATCGTGACCCATGAAAGTTTTATCTGATGTTCTTGTCTCGAGAAATTGATATAAAACTGTGTTAAAATTATACGAAAGTTCATATATGTAAAATTTTGAAAATCTTAAACTTAAATCACGTGACCAGAACTATCACCAATGGCAGAGCAGTATACTGGTCACATGTCTCCGCCTGTATCACGTGACCACTTAACTGCACTGCCATTGGTGGAATTACTGGTCAAGTAATACGGACGTATTAATGATATTATGAATTAAATCAATTAAAAATAGAAATAACAAATATAAAATTAGAATTGGAGTAAACCTAAATTACAATTAGCTTTCTCTGGGATATCACGGTTTTAAGATTGGTTGCTTATTTGCTGAATTTGATCTATTTAAACCCACTGCTTTTATACAGAATTGTATATTTATTAATTTTTGTACAAATTTTACACGGTTGTATATCAATTTCTCGAGATAGGAACATCAGATATAACTTTCATGGGTCGCGATCGAGAGCTAAAGTGATTAGCTTTCAGCCTATACCCCCTTTCATTTTTCCTTTACAGTCCCTTTAAGGCACCATGAAATTAATTAAGTCGATTCTATCTCCTACAGGTTGCTAAATATAGGGATTAGAACATTTGAAGGTTTTTAAGGATACTGTTGCAAACCGGGAATAACCCCTTTAGAGGGAATATGAAAATCCAAATGCAAACCCTTTAAATAAATTTTTTTTTTTCAATTTTATTGAATAATTGTATGTTTAAATAATATGCATATTGTAAGGTGGAGGGTGCACTGTTCCAAACAATGTCTCTTGAACCTGGCTCTAGTCATCTAAAGAAAATACAAGATAAAAGATCAAACATACTTTCCTTTGATCATTCCATCTCACAGGATGGGGAGCTAGAGGATACAGGCAAATAATCATAATTATTATTTTCAACTTTTTTGAAATATTTACAAAGACATGGTTTTGGTACAAGGCTACCCACAATGAATATATATTTCTACTTTGCTTGTCAGTGGTTTTTTATCCAATAAATGTCGAAACGGCTGAACCGATCAGTCTAAAATTGTTTGTGAAACCTCACATGACCCCAGGGAAGGTTTTAGAATGGTTCGTATATTTTTTTTAATCCACGAATAAAACACGATAATTTCGCAAAATCTTTTTAATTGTTTAAATCTAATCTACATATTTACAAGACGTTTAGTTCAATTTGAATTATTACTAAAAATGCAAAAACTTCTTTTGTTCACCGGCTTTTGACCAACCCTGCTCAAACATTATTTCACTAAGATCGAGATTTGAGTTAGTTTAAAGTCCCCGTGGAACATTTTTATAAAAAAAAAACATTTCTGAAAAAAATATTTAAACTATAATTTTTTGGGAAGTAAAAAATCCGGGTCACACCACCTTTTCTAATAATACCCTTTAAATGTTGCTCTTCAACATGACCATTTTTCTTCATTATGTAAAATTCAATTTTTCGCATTTTTTTTCTTTTAATTGAAACCTTTTAGAGAAATATGTCAAATTTGAGAACTTTGACGGTCCATAAACCTTTCTGAGTCATATGAGTTGCCGTACAAAAATGTGACAAAATCAATTCAAACATTTTGACATTTATTATATACAGACAAACGAAATATAAATAGTGATACGGTGAGCATACATAACAATATCTTTTTGAACACACCAAGCCAAAATAAAATATACTTATTTGCAAAAACATTGTAAAGATAAATAATTTTATACGTATGATTTTTTTAAAGAATTTTTAAAGAAAACATATCTTGTGTAACTGTGTAAATAATTATTTTGAAGAATTTTTGAAAAAAAAATATTTTGTGTAACTGCAGGGTTTAGAATAAATTGTGAACCTCCAGGAGAAAACATATTTTGTGTAACTGCAGGGTTTAGAATAAATTGTGAACCTCCAGGAGAAAACATATTTTGTGTAACTTCAAGATTTAGAATAAACTGTAAACCTCCAGGAGAAAACATATTTTGTATAAATGCAGGGTTTAGAATAAACTGTAAACCTCCAGGAGAAAAACTTCTACTCAGAAGAAGGGAAAAATCAATGGAGGGGAAGAAAAGAGTTTCAGGTATAGAGGTTTAATTTCTATTTATACCAATAAACATGGAAATTATTGTTAAAAAACGTTTCTTCTGTTGAAACAACTGATGAAATATTGCAACCGATTTGACACTCTTATTTGAGAAATGTACATCGTAAAAATGTCACATCGGTATCAAATGAATCCTAAAGTTTTTCTCTACAATACTGCACTTTCAGCTCAACTACCGTCTACCATGTCTCTCCCTTTAATTCTAATATGGAACCAAATAAGTTTGCTTTTATCATACTTGACAAACTACGAGGTCACAAAGTCTTACAAGTCGCATAAATTTCACTTTTTACATATTTCTAGCTTAGTGTGTACTCCTAACCCCAAATATTGGTGTATTATGTAGAACTAGCTCAAGTGCCCGAGGAATTTTGAAAAAAAATCGAATTTTTTTTTGAAAAAATCGATTTCACGAAAAAAGAAAATGTCGATATAAAAAAATCAATTAAGATATTTTAGTCAAATATACCCTTCATTATGTACAGGGTGTCCCGGGAAACATGACAGTAGCAAGACGATTTGAAGGTCGTCTTTGATCTTTGAAATGATTTGCGGAATTTATTCGTTAAACTTATCTTAGACGTAAAGTTCTAGAGTTAATAATAACGAAATACCGCTCAATTAGAAATTTCCAATGCGGTCTTTTTTGTGCTTGATTTTACTATTTTCGTTTTATTTAAAAAAATTAAAATCTGAACGAAATTCTTAATATCTCAGGTAATATTGACAGCACAAAAAAAAGGCAGACCACATTTTGGGAGTGTCTGGACTAGGAGAATTTGGGGTTTTTGTTTTATGAACAATACATGTTATAGTAGGTTGACGACTGAATGTCACAAATAAATTCAATCCCAAAGACGACGTTTAAGTTGTCTTGCTACAGTCATGTTTCATGGGACACCCTTAGTATGTTTGAATAGATGCACAGATAGTTTCAGATAGTTTGATTGTGGCGTGTTCTCCTGGATCTCGATCAGGTTTAGTTGGAACCTGGGTAGCATCTCAGGTTGAGAGACGGTTTACAGAACTCCTAAACCAGATTAAACTAAGAATATCCAACTCCTGGATCCTTGACTCTATAGTAGGAATAGAACTGGAGAAAACCCAGGCACTCAACTTCGCCAGGTTAAAAAAGTTTAAAAATGTTTTGCTTTCTGGCTTGCAGTACAAAAGATTAATAGTATTTTCTGAATGTTAAAGGGACTGTAAGCGTAATTTCAAGAGATCTGTCATTTAAAGAAAAGAGTGGCATATGTCCGATTTTCAACGATATCCTTACAATCTTTGTTTTATCAAGGAGTTCGTGGATATTCTTATTTATATATATAGTTAACACCTAAATAAGCCATACATCGAAAGAATTCATCAAATGTCGTATTCTTCACTTTCTGATGGAATATTGCAGATATTTAGTTTTTTTTATTAAATGATAATATGGAGCTCTTTAAAACTGTTCCCGCATATTTATGGCTATTTATTCATTTTCGCAAACACTGATATTTACGTAAAATTGTCAAGACGACATTTGATAATTTCTTTCCTTGTATGGCTCATTTAGGGTTTAACTGTATATAGAGTGAAATTAAGTGCCAAGAAACCGTGCAAGTGTACACTAGCACGGAGAGTATACATACATACATTGCACACTTTAGCATCAAGTCTCCCCTAATCAGGGTACTAATGCAAGGAAAGTTATTTCAGAGGTGTGCGCATCTTTTGTACTGCACTGTACTCTCTCTGGGCGGTAATGTAAACACAAGACGGATGTCGAAGCCAGACATGGGATCCATCTTTCCCATAAAAAAATCAATGAAATATTCTGGTCATAGGAAACTATTATTTGAATTTTCAAAATTATCAAAATTTAATGCTATTAACCTCCTCGGATACTTAATAAACACTGATGAATCTATTCTTGTTTACAAATTTTGCCCAGAGAGAACTGGTTTCAATATGTACACAGAGTATACGAAACTGCAATTAACTTTCCTTGCATTATAACCTTGATCCCGAACTAAATCTTTAGCAATACGTAAGGGTGTATTTACCTCATCATTGTCCAGGCAAATGTTGTGAATCTGACATGCCACTCTATAAATGGAAGGCCACTTGAAATTACGCTTACAATCGTCCCTTTATAAAATGTCCCGATTTTGTTTAGGTATGGACTGGCGACTGTCCTGTTGTTAATATCTATCTATCTAATCCTTCAGAGTTTGTTTATTTTCTATTTTCAATCAGTATGATTCAAAATACGACTCAATAGTTTAAAACCTCAGAAAAAATTGAGTCTAAGCCACGAACTCAACTGTTCTTTTCTCTATATCTATGCAACCTGCTGGTGTAGAAAATTTGATATTTAAAACTTTTTTTGCTAACAGAATTCCTAGTTTGAAATATCAAAGGTCTACGACACCTATGTCGGGTCTCTTTCAATGCATTATTATTTATTCCACAGTTTTGTGAATATCTCCTTTACTCCACCCGTCCCCCATTGGTTGTTTTTTGATAAAATTGTTAATCCATGTCTATTATTAATAAACGTAAACAAATTCTTGAAAATTAACTGAAATAGCGACGTATGAACGGACTTCATAAAATGTACTTAAGCCCAAGGGTTTCTATTCGCAAAACCTTTTTATATGATTTAAGGAAAGTTTAGCGTAATTTAGTTTTAGAATATTTTAAATGACATTTAAAAATATGTTCCTATTTTAACCTTATCTGGTATTTTAGTTAGGAAGCTCAAATTTTCTGGTTTTTCTAACAAATACATGTCCCTCACTAAAGGCTGATTTTTGTAGCATGCAAGATAAATTTAGAGTTTGTAAAGAGAGATTAACCAGCTCAGCTCAAGTTTTACGCTATTTTGTGCGAATTAATCACTACTAGATGTGCCCCTCCCTAGCCATATCAATATCTAACTGAAAGATTTGTTCTGGATATTTATGTTTAATTCTGAAAACTGAACTCGTGCTTTATAATGAAAAAGAAAGAAATTGTTAATAATTTTTAATTCTTTTGAATTTCGAAATACACGTTTATATTGCTTTTGTTTTTTAATTGTTTTTTTTTGTAACTTTTAAAGTAATTTGCATTGACTTTTATATTTATAGGTGTGAAGTTAGAAAAAATATCAATCTCAAAAAAAACAATCTTTAAAAGTTTTAAGTCTTTGTAAAGATATTTTCGACTCTTTTTGTTTATGTTTCTGTCATCGGCTGTAAATAATGTTTTAAATGTACTTTATATGTAGATATATGTATGTATGTATGTAGGTGTAGTATGTATGTAGGTAAATGCAAAGACTTTGCTAATTAAAGATAGCGCATCAGAAAATCTATGCAAATTTGACGCATTTTCTCGGGTTACCATAAATAGTAAGTAATGTCGTCTTCTCCAGAAATCCGGTATATATTTACGTTTCATAATGTCGTCTTTTGTAATGAATAGATATTTAAAAGGAAAACAAGGAAACCACTTTAGTTTATCTATTATGAAATATTTAATTTGTCTCTAGTTCATGAAAGTACCGTTGTTTTTAGAACCTTTAATGGGTTGGTAACTTGAAATTACAACTATAATCAGTCCCTGAGAACATTTACTTTTGGTTTGAAGTATTAATTGTTTATAAAAAAAAATAACCTACAAGATCTTGGTATTTAAATTTCAACCATACACCAATCAAGTCTCATATCTTTTATGCAATTGTAACCTTGAACTTTTTAACAGTAATCAATTATCTCATTTTTTTCATGTAAGAAGGAATTCTCTCCCCACCTAATTTAAATGAATTACTAAATTAACGTCGTAATATTTATTATATTATAAATTACTTTTAAAATCAGAGGGTTTGAAATGTTTTTCACATACTCTTGGATCTTTTACTGTGATTTACTCTTGATTTAAATGAAGGGCCTTCAGCCACAATTTTTTTCTTGCTGGAAATCTAAACCGTGATCCTCATACTCTTGGATTGCAGCTCTGTATTATACAGGTTGGAGCTTTGATTGGCACTGACAGACCTGAATTTATCAGAATTATTCAAAGAATTTGTAAACATAAAACTATGGAATTTGAAAATGCTGACATAATTTATAATTAGACAATCTACTTGTTATCTGCTCAAAAGAGTTATTTTAACGTTCATTAAACTATTTAATCGTAAATTGAGTCTATAAGTCGTCTTAGTATTCCTTAGGTTTTTTTTCACCAATGTATTTATTTTTTTCCGTCTTTAAACTACTCCAATAATTAATGCCTCAAAACTTATGTAATCAATTTTAAAAGACTTCTAAGTAAAAGGTCGTCCTTTAATTCGCATTTTTAAAGAAACTTTCTGTGATATATTTTCTTTAATGGTATTATTTTTGAAACAAAATCCTCATAAATCAATTGAAGAATAAGATTAACACATTAATTTATGCAATATTTTTTCTTTGCCTAAGATTAAACAGAAGACTACATTTACACCAAATTTATTTACCGTTTATAATATTGGACATTTCTGGTCCCCTCTCTTCTTCATCGCCTAAAATTCCATTCCATAGTACCTCAGAAAAAATATTAGACGACATCTGAAAATTTTCACAAACAATTATCGGCTATTTTTGATACAAAATAGATGCGTAACTTTATCACAAATTCAGCTATAATTCACCAGATGATCCTCATATCCAACAAATGATTAAATAGATTTTAAAATAGAAATTAATATCATTAATTTTAGATAAATTTTAGCACAAAACATTCACAATTGCGTTAAATATCTAAGGTTTTAATGTCGATCGTTTGACTCTGAAGCAACCAAAATAACCAATGACGTCAAAATACAGCTATACTGGCGTACACAATAGTCGGAGAAATTTCCAACGCCTTGTCTTTATAATTAGCAAAGTCTTTGGGTAAATGTATATATGTCTAAAACATGAATTTATAATCATCTTTAAAATCATTAAAGATCGTTCATTTTCTAACGAACATGAGAACTTTAAATTGAATTCTTGGAGTTAATTTAATTTGTTCTAAAATAGGATTTACAAACATTTAAATTTTAATTTGGTTTGGCAAATTTTATATTCAGAATCTTTCATGGTTTCGGATAGTTTTTCATTTGGCATCTTTAGAATATCTACTCGATATAAAGCAATATTTATCAATACTTATAATAAATTAAGAAACATATGTCGGTTTAAGAAAGGTTTTAAAAGATATTTGCAATCATCCAGAACAAACAAATACTGCACTACAGTCCTTTAATTATCAAAAATTTTCATCTTTCAAAATATCCCTGCATCTTCTTTTCAGTTTCAGAGACAGAGAACCGATCCACATCAGAGACCGTAGATACCATCTTCATTACAGATTTACAGGGCCGATCCACATCAGAGACCGTAGATACCATCTTCATTACAGATTTACAGGACCGATCCACATCTGAGAAACTATGAGAAAGATAAAGTCGGTTTTCTTTCTTGAAAAGATTTAAATTCTGTCAATTGTCTACAATTATCAATTCGCTAAAGAAATTATAATTTTTTCAGATAGAAAAACATGAATGTCTTCATAATTTTAATACAAAAAAGGTAAATCGGAGAGGTAAACTTTAAAATGGAGGATCAATTGCAATGACGTTGAGAGGATTGAATTTTTTCTCTTTTCTCTGGGTGAGGTTAGACCACGGTTTTGTTCTCTGTATCTCTGTAGAGGAGGAGAAAGAAGGAACTTCTCCGTCCTATACCATAATTCGCACATATACTCAGAAAACCTGGTGTTTTCTGGCACTCTGAGTGCAAATTATTATTTAAGGCTTATACAATTTTAAGAATTATTCGTTCTTTTGAAATTTTCTGATTAGTCCCTAAAATCACAGTTTAGAGCCATAAACATCCGAGATATTGTGGGACACCCTGTTATTCCGGTACAGTGCTGAGCTACAGACGTAAAATATACAAATAGACAAATAGACAATGTTGTTTTTTAATTATTTAAGGAACCGTTCACGTCTTAATAATTTAAAATTCGGTGATGGTGATGGACCAAACCTCTGTAGAGTAAAAAAGTAGATGTTAGTTCCACACTTATTGAATTGAACCTTCTAATTTTCAAAAATGAGAAAAATAATATTGCAACATTTTTTTTCATATTTATGTCAGGGATCTTTTTAAGTTAGAGCTTTAAAAATAAAAAAATGTTATGAGGTTGGTTGACATGTCCGTAACTTTTAAAAACACTTAATCCATTTCTTTTTTTTGTCTGCGATTAAGTTAATTCCTTTTAAATATCTGTAAAGGTGCGACCAATCAAAAGTGACATTTGCTGTCAGCCAATTAGAAATCGTGAATTTATAAGTCCGTCAAAACAGCTGACTCACATTTTCACTGATTAAGCACTTCAAGTTAGAGAAGGGCACGTTCGACATTTTTTCATTTAGTTCGTTCGAATTCATTGTTCATGAACGACCCATTTCCTAAGTTTTTTTCTTTCAATCGTTTAAAAAATAAAGCTTTTGTTCTTTTATAACATAAACACGTTCATTTTCCATCTGGTTCGTTCGTTTTCTCCCTGAATGATCGTTCAGTTAAATTGTTCCTTCAATAAAATCGTTCGTTCAGTTAAAAACGATTGTTCTTTTTCCAACCAAAAACGTTGTTTTTTTTCCCAAATCTGTTTGAAAATTCGTTCGTTCAGTAATAAACGATATTTTTGTCAAGTTCGTTTATTTTAAAAACTTCAAGTTTAAAGTGTCTGCTACAGGCAATTTGGATTAGCGCTATCACCCTCCTGCCCTTTAATGTCGAACATTCATATAAATCATATGAATTCTTCAATTTGAATTTTCGAAAATTCCTGATGAATGTTTTCAAAAGTAACACTCGGATCAAATCAAATAAAAAATATTATGAAATATTAACTATAAACAAATGCATCGAATTGAATTCTTCTTTATAGGTTGCAATATCTGGATAAATCATTTACAATCTGAGTGGAATAATCTGAGTGGAATACTACAACTCTGTGAATTTAAATTGACAATACACTCTTTGGTAAAACCATTTTCTCCATAAAGACGCAACAGATAGAAATTAAGTTTTGTAGAAATCAATATCGAATTCAATTCGATATATTCCTAGATACCCCCTTTCCGTTTTCGCGAATACTCCCTTTAATAGGTCAAATTTTGGTCGAAAGTAATAGGTTGATAGAAAAAGGACCTAGCTGTTAAATCAAGGTGAAACAGCTCCCAAAAAAGCTCTCCAACCAAATAATATTGAACAAATTTTGTTAATGCTTTTTATTATCGCAGAAAATTAGTAAAAAGCTTATACTCTTTATATTGAGGTATAATGGGTCTTAGCAATAAATATTTTATAATAAGTTTTAAATATGAGTATATAAACATGTATGGCATGCTAAAACTTTTCAAAAATAAAGTCTTATCAATATATTTTCCCGTGGTTTTTTTAAAAATATATTTTCAAAACGTCCCCAGAAGGCCAATTGAAAAGAAAAGTTATACTAATGACATGTATTTAAAGTTATCGGGGAGGGGGGGGGGGGTGAAGGGAGCGAATCATCCCCCACCCCGCTTTCTTTTAACAAACATTAGACAAAAAAACCTATCAGATAGGGTTCCAATGTTGATTATCAAGGAAAAAGGATTTATTTTACCAATTATCGAAGATGAGGGTCTTTAGTGAGTTAATCAATTTCTAAGAAAAAGAAAAAGTGTCCTTCTGCCAGATTGTTTTTTTTTTGTCTCCAAACTATATTAAGACGAAATAGATGATTATTTTTAACAGACAAAACTTTTCAGAAAAATTTTAGGATTTTTTTTATGATTATAATCAATTGTTTATTAAATTCATGTGAACAAAAAAGATATTTGAGAGTTTTCACAAAAACAAGAAGTGTTGCCATGAATTAATTGGCAGTAATTTTTAAAATGCAATCTATATCAAAACTATTTTTCTCTTAAAGGGACTGTAATTTCAAGTGTCCCTTTAATTGTAGAGTAGCTGTATCTTTTAAATCTTTCCCTGAGCAATGATGACGGAGACATCTTTTTTTTTAGCTCATAAATCAGTGAGTGTCGGTCAACTCGAATGTGCAGTTTACACTTCATGTCAGTGCACTCTCAAGTTATATTTGCAATTAACTGCGTCCCTTTTATTTTTGAATTTTCTATTTAATTACAGATATGGGCGTGGTGTCATCTGTGTCTCGATCACGGGAATGTAGGTAAATATATATAAGCAGATATCTCACAAATTGTCGTCAATTACATTTGGTATTTGTAAAATAACCAGCTAGAAAGGTTTTCCTTGATATGAATGACAAATAAAAAATTAAAAGTTTTAAAACAACGTTCTTTAGACAAAAATAAATGCAAACAATTGAAGAATGAGATAAGAAAAATGAACACAAAGAAACTGAGTTTAAGCCACAAACTCTAATTTTATATTCCCTATGTCTCTGCAGACTCTCGTAGCCTTTAGATATTTCAAACTGTAAATTCCATAGATAAAGATAGATCGCATAAGACGACATTTTTCATCTTGAAAGATATAAATGTATGCAGAGATGCTTTAAAGATATTCCTATTATATAGATTAACTAGGTCGGTTGTGAACATTAGCTGTTCTCATGTCATTGAGTACTTGTAGTGTACATGAGTTCTGTAGAGAGAAATTTAAGTTAGTATAGTCCTTCTCATGTCCTTCTTCAGTGAAATATTGTTGTTCAAATAGTTCCATTCCCGGAGTTGTTTTACACTTATTCTATGAAATCCATTAAAACACCAAACCACCCCGCTTATCATTGAATTACACTTTGACTCCTAGAAGTACGAGTTCGTGGACTGTACAATTCTTGGTGATTTTGCGTGCATAAGCTATCTATGTTTATTTGTTTATCTATGGTAAATTCTTTTGGAGCAAATAATATAAGTTTGAAATATTAAAGTTTTACTAATCAGATTGCAAAGATATAGGAATCAGAAAATTTTAATTTGTGGCAAAAACTCAATTCCTTTTTGTCGTGAATTTTTAAAAACAAATTCCGAGGAAAAAGTATTGTAGCGGTAAATTTTTGTTTTCAATCAATTAATTTCTAAAGATTAAACAAATTATTTTAAAGCACATTTTATGATATAGTACAGATTACAGTAAAATAAAAAATAACAATATAAATTTTTGAATGGAAAAGAAGCTCAGTGTGAAATCCTGTTTTTTATTGGTTATCTTATATTAATGTTTTAACTAACTATTAACGAAGAAAAAAAAGATTAGAGCGATTTTCATTGTAATTCAGAGCGTCATTAAAGGGGCCTTAAACGCAGCGCTCGACCTTCTAGCCATTTCTAGCAGCAGCGCTCTGCCCTTTAGCTATTTTTTGATGCAGCGCTCGACCTTCTAGCCATTTCTAGCAGCAGCGCTCGGCCCTTTAGCTATTTCTTGATGCAGCACTCGACCTTCTAGCCATTTCTAGCAGCAGCAATCGGCCCTTCAGATATTTCTTGATGCAGCGCTCGACCTTCTAGCCATTTCTAAAAGCTGCGCTCGGCCCTTAAGCTATTTCTTTATGCAGCACTCGACCCCTAAAGCCTAAGAACTTATGATCTATGTCAACTCAGATAATAATTTGTAGATGGATAATATATCCTATACAGTAATATTCGTATTGGCAATAGCGTAAATGCTATACAGAGAAAATTGTTAACTAAGTTGTAATTAGTAACATTTCCTTGGATGGTATAATGAACACTGAAAAGTCTCTTCAATTTTATTATTTAGTTTCCGACAAGGCAAGGATGAAAAGATATTTGAAAACGGAAACAAAAGAAGTTTGTCAAATAACGAGAAGAAGGGAGGGAAAAGAGAAGGAGGAGGCGGAGGAGGAAGACGAGGTGGAGGGAAGAGAGACGAATGGGTGGATAAAAGTATTCATTGCGGAATGACGCATAGAGTTGATACATTTTTTCCAAGCAGTAGACTTCCTAGAGGTTAGTAAACTTCCAAGAGGTTAGTAAATTTCCAAGAGGTTAGTAAACTTCCAAGAGGTTAGTAAACTTCCTAAAGGTTAGTAAACTTCCCAGAGGTTAGTAAACCTCCAAGAGGTTAGTAAACTTCCAAGAGGTTAGTAAACTTCCAAGAGGTAAGTAAACTTCCAAGAGGTTAGAAAACTTCCAAGAGGTTTAAAAATTTCCAAGAGGTTAGAAAATTTCCAAGAGGTTAATAAACTTCCAAGAGGTTAGTTATAGACTTCCTAGAGATTAGTAACCTTCTTAGAGATTAGTAATCTTCCTAGAGGATAGTAGACTTCCTAATAATGGTTAGTGGACTTCCTAGTGATTAGTAGACTTCCTAGAGGTTAGTAGACTTCCTAGAGGTTAGTAGACTTCCTAGAGGTTAGTAAACTTCCTAGAGGTAAGAAGACTTCCTAGAGATTAGTAAACTTCCTAGAGGTTAGAAGACTTCCTATAGGTTAGTAAACTTCCTAGAGGTTAATAGACTTCCTATAGGTAAGTAGACTTCCTAGAGATTAGTAGACTACCTAGAGGTTAGAAGACTTCCTATAGGTTAGTAAACTTCCTAGAGATTAGTAGACTTCCTAGAGGTTTGTAAACTTCCTATAAGGTTAGAAAACTTCCTAGAGGTGATTATACTTCCTAGAGATTAGTAAACATCCTAGAGGTTAGTATACTTCCTAGAGAATAGTAAACATCCTAGAGGTTAGTATACTTCCTAGAGATTAGTAAACATCCTAGAGGTTAGTATACGTCCTACAGATTAGTAAACATCTTAGAGGTTAGTATACTTCCTAGAGATTAGTAAACATCCTAGAGGTTAGTATACGTCCTACAGATTAGTAAACATCTTAGAGGTTAGTATACTTCCTAGAGATTAGTAAACATCTTAAAGGTTAGTATATACTTCCTAGAGATTAGTAGATTTAGGTAAGTACTTCGTAGAGATTTTAAAGAAAAGAAAGATATTTGGTGGAGTTTTTAAAATTTAAAAAACTTTATTATTCTAGGATCCCAGTTTACTAGCGCATATTCAGATTTTAACAAGGAGAAAAGCGAAGGAAAATTCTACGTTTTTATCATTACAATTTACAATTGTGTGTATGTATATTTCTAATATTGAAGATAAGAGGCGCAACTGGAATATTTTACAAGGGGGGGGGGGGTACTTTTCATTTGAGAAAAAGGAAGCGGGAAACATTCGATTTTTTTTGACTAAAACTTCCACTTTCTCACTCTCTTCCCTTCCTGGGGAAACTAGTTGCACCCTTTTTTAAAATCACAAAAATAAATAGAAAATATGATAAAACTGTTGAATTATGGGTTAAAGGAAACCTAACTGTTATATCTGAAGTGACCTGCCGGGATTCTGAACCCAACCAATGTAAATATATTTTTATATCTTTACAAAATACCATGTCTTCGTTAAAAGAATTTATACAGAGGAAGATTTGTATTTTCTGTATCTATGTTCACATTAAAAAGGATAATGAACGAGTACCGTTGTGAATTGTCCTTGCAGCACTTGAGAATAACTTGGCACACATTCTCAGCCATGAATAAATCAATTTCCAAAATCTTCAAAACATCTTTATTGCTTCCCTCCAATAAGACCTATAATGCAATATTACAGATACGACTTTATAATCTCGTAGTTCGTCTCGACAAAAAAAAACACCTCACACTATATTATAATAGTAATCCTAGTTTTACGGAATAGACAAAAAGGTTTTTTTCCAGAATATGTAATTTGAATCAAATCAAAACTTAAACAAAGCTAGCACATAAAGTGCAGAGCATAGCTTAGATTTTGCATCAATTAACTGATAGAAGATCAATCCTTATATCTTTACTCATCATGATTATTGGACTACAATGAATCAAATTATTTTTTTATATTTTGTTTATTTCAGATTCATCACAGCAACTGGAGTGCACAAATCACGTAAATTATCTTTAAAAACATTTTTAAAAATTTTTATTTCTAAACTTGACTAAATATCTCAATTAAAATAAATGAAATATAACCGGTCACAAAAACTTACAGAATAATAAAGGGTTACCCTAAAGTATAAGTTTGGTGTGTGGTTTTCTTCTATATATAAATTTGGCTTGTCTGTTTTTTTTTTTTTTGTATCCAATAAACGTCAAAACGGCTGAACCGGTCGGGCCCAAATTTTTTGTGGGACATCACGTGACCACAGGGAAGGTTTATGAATGATCAAAATTTCAAATAGTTGTCTCCATCAAAATTTGATCTTCATTAAATTTTTTAAAATTTTGAAAATCCACGAAATTTTTTTGTGAAAATCCGCGAATTATTTTTGTTATGTTTTACGATGTACACAAAGAGAACATGTTCACAATTAATTTAGAAGATGGGCACGAAGCGCCCTCTAAGGCTAGTTAAAATAATTTTTTAAAGTTACCGAAAATTAATATAAAAGTGGTAAAAACTAAATAATACTATTCGAAATAAAGATGGTGATAGTTTTTTTTGGTCTGAATATGAATGTGCAAAAAATTTAAAAAAAAACATTTTAAAAGAGTAAAAAAAGATAAAACTTTACTAATGTTTAAATTGTTTAGTATGAAGGGAATCCTGTCCTCTACCTTTCAAACAATCCTAGATTCGAGGAGTACAGCGGAGGTACAGTACAATACTAAGCAGTACAATGAAATACTAAACAGTTCAGTACAATAATATGCAGTACAATGAAATACTAAACAGTACAATAAAATACTGTACAGTACAGTACAGTACAATAGTATACAGTACACTACTGTACAGTAAACTACTTTACAGTAAACTACTTTACAGTACACTACTATACAGTACAGTACAAAACTATACAGTTTAGTACCATCCTTTACTGCAGTACAATACACTACTTTACAGTACATTACAATACTAATACAGTACAGTATAGACTAGTTAAGTACAGAACAATACTATGCAGTACAGTACAATACTATACAGTACAGTACAGACTAGCTAAGTACAGTACAATACTATACAGAATATTACAGAACTTCAAATCAACACAGGACAGCACAGGACCGACAGCACAGCACAGGACACGACAAGCGGAACAGTACATTAAAACACAGTACAGTACATACAGCACATTACAGGGCAGTCCAGGGCAGCATACACGATCAAAAACTTTTTTGGAAATCTAATTTTGAGCTTGTGGTATTTTATCTAATTAACTAACTTATCTTAAATTGTGTACCAGGGCCAGTAGCACCCTTCATCTGCTCACCTTCCACTAACCGGAGAACACTTCAGGTAACATCATAGAATAAACATTTTAAAGACATCAAGGCCAGATTCATAGAATAAGTATATTACAGGCATGGCAGAAATACATAAAGCCATAGAATATGTAATTAAAGACATTGCATTGAAGCACTGAGTCTAGCTTTTATAATGAATAAATGACAAAATGCGCAAGAGCGCTCCAATGAAGGTAAATGTCGTCTTTTTGCAAGCAAAACTCTAAATCCTCGTACGACGTCACTGATACTTTAATAAGATCTTCGAATTTTACAAATATTGATTGGGCTAACTAGTGTGAGACTAAGAAATGTAATTTTAATTCAAGTTTTCAATTTATGAGTTTGCTTATGTCTAGTGAGTCGCACAATTTATTATTCCTTAAATTAAGCCGTGACGTCATATGAGGCTTTACAGTGTCCATTGCTATAAAGGTCGTCTTTACCTATACTGGAGCGTATCCATAATATCTAACCTTATTTTACAACCTTGGTTCTAATTCTAGAATCCAACCAGCCTTGCAGACCTTCGTTGTATTGACTCAGCAGAATTCTCGGTTCTTATTCCTGCAAATCCATTAGGAATAATTCATGATTAGATTATCTGAATATTCGCAATATTTTGCAAGAATTTTTGCAAAATAACAGTTAATAATTTGATTTAATCTGCACAATGTAGGTATTAAAGAAATTGTTCACAAAAACATAAATGGGAAAAGGAAAGAAGCAGAAGTAGGTTCCGCTCTCAACATAGAATTAAATATTTGTTTTGCTAAACTGGTATTTACTGGTATTCCATTTGGAAATGAAAATGTTTAAAATTTAGTTTTTTAAATGTTGCTTAATACACTTAATAAAAGTAACCGCTGAATTACGACAAATTGTTTAATTCCGTTATATTATCCATTGTATCTTAATCAAGAAATGCAGAAGTCACTTTGGTAGAGAAATCTAAAATGAAAATAAATCAGTTTTCAAAATAGAAACATGTTTTTAAATCTAATGTTTACTTTCTCAGACGTAGCTTTAAAATGTACTGTTTCAATGTAAACCTTGAAATTAGACGTCCCTAAAGAATGAAATGAAGCAATAAAGACACAGATGTAAGATTTTTAAGTTTAAACACTTAGACTTGCAGTCTAATCGGCCTTATCTATATTTATATATTAATTAATATATTAAGGAGGAAGGATACCCCTGATCGACCTGATCTATATATATATATTAATTAATATATTATTAAGGAGAAAGGATACCCCCCCCCCGATCTATATTTATATATATTAATGAATTAAGAAGACCCCCCTGATCTATATCCTTCTATAGAACAAATCTCTTCGCTCATATATACAAGGCTACCCACAAAGGATAAGACTGTGAAGACGACCGAAAACTCTTTAAATATGACAAGGTTAACTTAAGTTTTTATTTTTAAGTGCACTCTTTTATTAGCTTATTTATTAGTTCGACAAAGAAAGAAACAAGTTTACCGTCGCAGGGAATCAGGAAGACAAGGCAAAGGACAGTACAGTACAGTACAGTACAGTACAGTACAGTACAGTACAGTACAGTACAGTACAGTACAGTACAGTACAGTACAGTACAGTACCAAGTCCGTACAATCGTCTCTTAAGTCTCATCTCTCTCATCCTTTGTAGGTAATGTGTACACTCGGGTAACATAGGTTTAAAAAATAAAAAATATCTATATTTTCAATCGAATTTTTATTCAAAACTAATTTTTTTATATTTTTTATAGTTTTCAATCGAATTTTTGTTCAAAAATAATTTGTTTTTAAAATTCGATTTTATAATTTCACGGGTAACGTCGAGAACTTAAGCTATTTACAAATTAATGATTTTATGGAGGAGGGATACCCCCTGATCTATATATTTATATATTAATTAATGAATTAAGGAGGAGGGATACCCCCTGATCTATATATTTATATATTAATTAATGAATTAAGGAGGAGGGATACCCCCATGGCAGAAGACCAATATCAGCTCATCATTATCAGACGATGAAAAGGTGACAGATTTCAGTAAATAATTGTTAACAAGTTAGAACAGTGAGAAAGAGAAAACTGTAGAAATAATAAAAAGACATTTACATTAACAAATAGTGCAGTGTAAACAGACCCAGTGTACTTATGAAGTGATTATATCAGTAAAACGGTTTCCTTTCTAACAACATCAAATACACTTAATTAAAATAAATCAAATCAAACTAAGTCCTCTAGATTAAGATAAGAGAAGAAACTAAGCACTGTAGATTAAAAAAGGATAAGAAAATAAGTACTGTAGATTAAGAAAGGAAAAGAAACTAAGTACTGCAGATAAAGAAAGGAAAATAAACTAAGTACTGTAGATTAAGAAAGGAAAAGAAACTAAGTACTGCAGATTAAGAAAAAAAAGAAACTAAGTACTGTAGATTAAGAAAGGAAAAGAAACTAAGTACTGTAGATTAAGAAAGGAAAAGAAACTAAGTACTGTAGATAAAGAAAGGAAAATAAACTAAGTACTATAGATTAAGAAAGGAAAAGAAACTAAGCATTGTAAATTAAGAAAGGAAAATAAACTAAGTACTGTAGATTAAGAAAGTAAAATAAACTAAGTACTGAAAATTAAGAAAGGAAAAGAAACTAAGCACTGTAGATTAAGAAAGGAAAATAAACTAAGTACTGTAAGAAACTAAGTACTGTAGATTAAGAAAGGAAAAGAAACTAAGTACTATAGATTAAGAAAGGAGAAGAAACTAAGTACTGTAGATTAAGAAAGGAAAAGACACTAAGTACTGCAGATTAAGAAAGGAAAAGAAACTAAGTACTGTAGATTAAGAAAGGAAAGGAAACTAAGTACTGTAGATTAAGAATAAGCACTGTAGAAAATATTAAGTATCGTGAAAACAATGTTTATTCTAGGTTGTGTCAATCTACTATACTGAACCACAAAACAATAAAAAGTAAGATTAAAGACGCAATGCTCTCATTAGTTTTCTAAATGTAATTTGTTTTAGTTCCAGAGAAAGGGAACGAATCAAGAACAGCCTCAGTTGTATTTAAACACCATCCTTGACGCTTAAAACGAAACATAGCTCTATTTCTAGCAATATCAAAGAACAAGAAAAAAAACTCCGCTAAATTCATTTTAACTTGAATTCTTTTCATTTTTGATCACACAACTTAAATCTTTTACCTTTAATTATGTTTACGTAAACTTGTTTGAAAGTAGCTCAAAAACGCCAACATTGAAACATAAACAAAACTGTAAAAAGCAGAAAAATTTAGACGTATTTTCATGCCTACCCTTATCTGGAAAATTATATGTACTTTTTGTTAATTCGTGTCAAATAACCAATTATGTGATGTACTGTAAAATGAACAGTTTAATAATGTTCTGTTTTAAAAGTTTATCTGACTAATCGTTGACTTACAAGGCTACCGTCCTACAGTGATACCGGAACACTCTGGAATACTAAGACGACTTTGAGAATCAAGTTTTAACTCTAACAAGTTCAATTACCATGAAAAACAGCAATGTCGTCTTCTAAGACGACCTGAGGCTTTTTAATTCTAAAGATCTGTGTGGTACTTCAGCGGCCAAAAAATAAAGTCTTTTTTCATATATCAAATTATTTGACAAAGTAAGAAAAAAGTTTACAGCTAGAAGGAACCATTAATTTAAGAAAAATATTTACATAAGTTCTGAACAGTGTCACTGAAGTAGGGTTTCTAGCGAAAAGGGAAAATAGTTTCGCGAAAAAAAATGTCCGCCGAATAATCCGGTTTTTTTGCATTTCGTTCGCTCGCGAAAAATGCGTCGCTTTATCCGCTAGAATCTGTTTAGCGAAAAAAAGCGATTTCGCAAACATTTTTGGGAAAACAAATGTAAAAATTTTGCGAAAAAATAAGGGAGAAAGATTTTTTTGCGCTATTAATTGGTGCAGCTACAAATTTCACAAAAAGTATATTGGAGAAATTTTGCAGTTTTTGCCCGCATACGAGCTCCTAAATTGGTAATATGACCGCCTCAAATTTGTCACTTGCATGCCACATATTATCTTTATTTTGTCTTCGGGCAGCCATAATAAATGGTTTCAAAAAAAGAAAGTGTCCAACCCTACCACAACAATAACAAAAAAAGATAAGCAGAAAATAAAATTTTCAAGATAATAAAAATATATTTAAACATAATGTAAGAAAACTAAAATAAATGATATTTACAATGATTAATAGGCCCGTGTGTTAGCAGGTCCAAATGGCCGAACTGAATTTTGCCCATATCCATCCTTCGCTCTGTCTTCCAGATACGGATTGTACTCAGACCAGGGAAATGATTGAAAAACAGAACTTGGACTTGAATAGGGTATAACCGGGCCCTGATATTGACTGGAATGGCCACTATAAGGTCCTGGTGGACCAGCATACTGGACTTGACGGTATGAACTAGTATCAGGGAGGTTGGGACTACTAAAAGGATATTTGGGACTAGAATTAGGGCTTTTGAGACTAGTATCGGGGCGGTGAGGACTATTATAAAAGTTGTTAGGACTAGTATATGAGATGAAGGGATTAGAAGGACTGGGTTGAGCTGAATATGGACTAGGTGAGCTGGTAAACTGGGGAGGTATGGGTCTGATCAAATCTTGACTGTTAATGAACTCATGAACCTTCAAGGCATTACCCGTCTCACAATCCCTGCAAAACAGTAGATTTTAGGGATTGTCTTTTATATTTATTTAAATATAAAATAGACCAACGAATTTATGGAACTCGAGAGAAGAATAGAAAACTTATCTTTATTTTACAATTTGAAACAATTACAATTCTACAAATCCTTGTAAAATTTTAGGATTTAAAGATTGAAGTGGTCAACGAGGTGTCAAACAAATTACTACTTTAAACTCCATAAAATTGATTAAGTGCTGATTTAGGAACAGAGAAGAAAAAATCTTAACATTAGTTACAAACTAAAAGTATTATGTTAAAATATCGCATTTCTTACCCTTTCATTAGCATTTTTTCAACGCTCCCCAGCACCCAAAACTATTCAAGTTATGGGTATAATTTTTATTTTTTAATGACCCGGCCTTGCAAAATTATAGGGCTATGAACATGGATTTTAACCCTTTANTAGAACGTACTCCCACAGGCTATATACATAGATTCAGACAACTCCTGCCTTTATAGCGTTAAAGACCGACTATTTGTCAGCTGTGTCACTGTTTCCCAACATTTGACCACAATTTAAAAGATGAACACATATTGTTCTCTGTTGTCGATGTTCATTAAAAGCTTTCAAGGGTACCATTGTAAGTTAGACATTACCCTTAATCCAAGGAAAGTAAATTGAAATTTCGCCCACATTCCCGTTAAAAACTTCTTACTTGAATTTCTTTTTGTCCTCTTCCCTGGTGAATGGATTCGGTTGTAATTTGGTGATATCTGTGTTGTCGCAGATTAAATCTCGAATTCTTCTAAATAATGCAAAATATACAATTTTGTTTTAATTATGACAAATGAATGTACAAAGAGGAACATCAAAATATTTTAGAAACAATTATATATTAGATTTTCATCAAAATACATCAATTCAACCGTAATTGTCCATCTTCTGTTTCAATTGTAAACATTATTTCGTTGTAAACATTGTAAAACAAAAAAAAAGTTTGCGGATTTTATTAACAAATTTCGTGGATTTACAAAATTTTATGAAAATCGAATTTTGTTAGAGGCTAATTTTTGAAATTTTATTCAGTTGAGCCTTTTTTGACGTTCATTAGATACAAACAAATAGACAAACAGACACCCAGACAAACAAGCAAAGTATATATATCAAATCAAATTATATATTTATATTATAGATAGATATGTATTAAGAGTGACATGCGAAGAGCACCATAAAATGAATTCAGAGGTCGTATGGGTCATGTGGCCAAAAGTGTTTTTTGGACACAATTAAAAAAGCCGGGTTTTAGGTTCAATAAAATCGTAAGACAAACAATTAAATCACATCGTCTTAAAATTGTGAAAATCAAATTACAATAATGATTTCATATTTAAAATTCAAATTAATCAAATATGATTTTTTTTCTGGCATTACTTCCATCTAAATAGAGTTATACCCATTTTTTGGCATTTCAATGTTAAGGTTCATTACCACACAACACATATTTAATTTTATGATTTGTACTAGTAGTGTGACCCTGATGTACAGGGTGATTTTTAAAAGTTGATATTTTTAAACGTTCACCAAGCAAAACAAGGTACAACAAAAAGATTATTTACATATTTACTAACTCTTTTTTATACATAAAATTTAATTATCTACTGCTTTGTTAATCTTTCGATGCTTAAGGAGACTCTAAATCAACTTCCAAACTTCGATTAACCCGATATTTGGACAATTTGACTTTGACAATTTTACATCACATGGAGGACACGTTTAATATTTTACAAGCTGTAATCGTATTTTACAAGATATTCTCATAAATTAAGGGTCATTTAAAGTTATTACAACTGGTCAGAAACCATAATTAAAATGTTTAAACTATTTTAAGGAGAAAATGAAGAAAAACGGTGAAGAACGTCGTATTTTTGAAACTGTTTGACCTGTTTAAGTTTTCTTGGAGTAGAAATAGTTGCTTCAGGAATTATCAAATGTAAGACTGTACGTTTTTTGTCTTCAAAATCGCGGATTTTTCATCGAATAAAGCACAATTATCTACAAAGGAAAAAATCGACTTTTGAAAATAACCCGTCATTCGATACAATTTTCTACTGATACAAATTGATGTAATACATAACCCTATGTACAAAAATACATATCACAAAAATGCTAAAACTAACCTTGAATACAACTGTTCTCGCTGACTGGTTGTGAACACAGGTTGAAGCTGAGAAGGATCTCCACTGAAATAAATAATAAAGAATGGAGTTTAAAAGAGATTGTTCTGAATTATGCATTCCATGCAAGCCTATATTTAAGGCAGGCCATCGATAATCTGCAACGGAAGCTTTGTTTACATCGCTTACAAAAATTGAATTACTTTTTTTTTAAAACAAACAAAGTGGCGTATCCCCTTCCCATTGATTGAATAAAGAAGCTCACCCAAATTCATTCATACTGCAATATTGCATAACAATTCAATAAGAAATATTTAAACAATAGTAAGTTTTTTCTCCTCCCTGCAACGAAATTCGCTAAAATGAACAAACAAAATTCGTTCAGTTATGTCTATTTTCGCCAATTTCAATGTACTTTCAATGAAATTTTCGACCGAATTTTAATTTTCGCGAAAATTTCGTCCATTTTCGCGATATTTTCGTCCGATAAAAATCGAATTTTTTCCCCTTTCGCGTCAAGATTCGTTGGATTTGTAACGGAGTGTCTGGTGAGGCCCCCGGTAAATGTGTCGCACATTTTCATGTTATTAAATAGATAAGGAACAACTAGCGAATAATCCCAGTAAAACAATAATTTCTTAATATATCTTAGTTTAAAATCGTACGCATAAAAATTGATAATTGATAAAATAAATAGTTTATCGGTGATTTTATGCATTTCTATTTCCACATCTATAGTAAGGAAATTGTTTTAGTATTAAAACTTGAATATACAGGGTTACACACAAAGGATGAGATTTTAATGACAACCTGAAAATCTTTAACCCTATCACGGCTGCCGGGGGGGGGGGGGGGAGTGCAAAAGTCCTCCATTGGTAATCACCGCCACCCAAACGTGTTTTGCGGCATGCGCGCTTCTACATTGGTAATGAAAAATAAGAAAAGTTAACATTAAACCGTTTATTTCTTAGAAATAAGACCATATTGAACTCTGTTAACACCCCTATGGTGTACGATATTGTTACAGCTTTTTTTTATTGTTACTCAGTTTCGAAAATAAATCTATCAGTACGCCGCATGAAGCACTGGAAAAAAATGCGAATCTTAGATCCAACTCGCCAATTTAATTTCTGCATTTCACGATTGGAGTTGAGATACTAGGCAGGTCGAGCCGGCCTGTTTACTAAACATTATCTACAACAAAACAAATAACCTGCATAGAAATAACAACAAAGTAGAAAAATCGGTCGCGTCGTGTCCACAAGTGAAAATGAAGTGTTAAGTTCACAAATTATTTCTAGCGCTTCATTGCTAATTGAGAAGCGCGCATGCGCAAAGGTTCAACTTCCAGACTTTTTCAACATCATAATTGTGAAAAAAAACGTTGGCAAATACAGGGTAGTTACAGGCAGGGTTAACAACAAAAGGATGTAACTTGGATGACTACTTATTATGCTCACAAATGGTCATAAAATGCAGTCTTCATTTGTATTAAAAATCTTTTCTACTGATCGCTAAAAAAGAAAAGAACTGGAAAGTTAAGCATTTAAATCAAATGAAAGATCAAACCCAACCCGTCATAAAACAAAAAGAAAAACGTTTAATTAGAAGCAGTTATTGCAACAGTTAATTATTTTTAATAATAAAAAGAAAGACTAAGATAAGTGTCAATAACCAAACTGGTCTTTTGGATTTTAATTAATTACAGAAGATGTCTTTTGTTGCTAAAAAATTTGGTCCTTTTTAATTTTTCATAGTTTGCAACTAGCCATTGTTCACTATTTTTATAAGCTCATTTAGTTTAATGTAATATTCACTAACAACTAGGGTTTCCAATCAGAATTTTGCTGCGCGCAACTGTTCGGAATTGTGGAGAATTGCGCAGAAATTACAGGGCCTGCAATTGCGGCAAGTAAAATCTATTTGCGTTGCGTTGGAAACCCTACTATACAAAAAAACAATCTGCAAATATTAGAAATAAAGTTTTTGGGATGAAACAACTTAATTATACCAGAAGTAATTAAAGATTTATAAAAATTTCAGGGAAAAAAGTTGCAAGCTTAAGATTTTTCCTGTTTCTTTTCGGTAAATACCTGTTTCGGAAGTTTAACATGAGTGTCCTGACACTTCTCATTGGTGAGGGAAACTGTACACATCTCTGTCTCAACCTCATCAGCTGACTCAGCACGTGGTACGGCAGGACAACGCTTTTCGGTTATCTGAACAACAGTAATCCTCAGAATTGAAACAAATGTTTAATATTTTTTTTTATTTATTTTGCTGCAGAGCAAAATTTTATATATTTGAAAAGCTCTTAAAAATGTAATAACATGTGTCACATAATAATATTTTTCAAAATTAAAATCAATTATTTTGAACATTTTTCCGACATACTTTTTGAACTTATTTAAAATCCTCCCTTGCACCCTATAATCATTAAATTTAGCAGGCATTGAAAAGTTAGACTAAGGACATGTTTTACACTCCACTGTCTCAACTCGATAGGGCAAAATGCCCACCTCCCCCATCCGGCATTAGACAAATATAGCCCAGCCAGGATAGGGTAACTATGAAGATCTGAAGGTTAGAGTTGGCTTTTCTTTAAAATAGTTGGTGAATGGTATATTCAATGATTTGGCAAAGAAAAACTAAGTTTACAGCTGCCTGCAGGGAACATTCAATAATTAAACGAAGACCCAACAAATTCTGACTCTTGTTTCTGAAGTCTCATCCTTTGTGGGTAATACTGTAATATATTATCTTTAATTATCTAGATTGTTAGTATGTGCAAATACTATTCATCTATTATAAGGTGTTCAGCTGAACATACAGATTAAAAGATGACTGAGTATCATGTTTGATGAAAATCTTTGGTTGATAATAATCTCTGAGAGTTCAAATTTATTTAAATATTTCGGCAATGAATTCTTTGTGTAAGGACTGTTAAAATCTGCAAATTTGACCTCAATTTAAACAGTTCTTAATTAAAAAGTTTTCACGAAAATTAAAAAATTCTTAATATTTTATCAAAAATGGTAAAGTTTTAATTTCGCGTAAATAAGTTGTTAAACATTTTTCGAAAAAAATACGAATTTAAATGAAAGGTCTAACTTTTTGCAAATTTCGCGAAAATTTCGAACAAATTTAACAATCATACTTTAAGTTAAAGGGGTATAAATTAAAAAATTACCCCCACCCAATGGTCAAGGAATGATTTTCATCGACTTTAAGAAGTTTCACCCAAAAAATTAATTTGCCCCCTATTTTGTACCAATTCATTAATCTTTACAGAAAGGTGCCTAGGTGGTGGGAAATGATTTTACAAATTAAATTATTTTCCCACATTTATGATAACAAATGATGACTTGCAAATTTGATATGCAATCACTATTTAACTGAATAAATAATACCGACCTTTTCATGTTGTGAGATATGAAAAATCTGTCTCCTTCAACAGTTTTCTGAAATTGGTGTTCTAGGAGACATCTCATAGTTTCCCCTACACACCCTCCTTCCACAGGAGTTTCAAGGAGCAGAGCAGGATACAATTCTTAATATATAGGATACAGTACTAGACTAATAGCAGGATACAATTCTTAATATATAGGATACAGTTTTAGACTTATAGCACGATACAATTCTTAATATATAGGATACAGTTCTAGACTTATAGCAGGATACAATTCTTAATATATAAGATACAGTACTAGACTTATAGCAGGATACAGTTCTTTATATATAGGATACAGTTCTAGACTTATAGCAGGATACAGTTATTAATATTTAGGATACAGTTCTAGGCTTATAACAGGATACAGTTCTTAAAATAAAGGATACAGTTCTAGACTTATCGCAGGATACATTTCTTAATAGAATACAGTTCTTTATATAGGATACAGTTCTAAGCTTATAGCAGGATACAGTTCTTAATATAAAGGATACATTTCTAGACTTCAAGTAGAATACAATTCTTAATATATAGGATACAGTTCTTGGCTAGCAAAATACAATTCTTAATATATAGGATACAGTTCTTGGATAGCAGGATACAATTCTTAATATATAGGATACAGTTCTAGACTAATAGCAGGATACAATTCTTAATATATAGGATACAGTTCTAGACTAATAGCACGATACAATTCTTAATATATAGGAATCAGTTTTAGACTAAAAGCTGGATACAATTCTTAAAATATAGGATAAACCTCTAGCCTAAAAGCTGGATACAATTCTTAATATATAGGATACAGCTCTAGCCTAAAAGCTGGATTCAATTCTTATTATAAAGGATACATTTCTAGACTAAAAGAAGGGTACAATTCTTAATATATAGAATACATAGACTAATAGCAGGATACAATTCTTAATATAAAGGATACAGTTCTAGACTAAAAGAAGGATACAATTTTTAATATATAGGATACAGTTCTAGACTAAAAGAAGGATAGAATTCTTAATATATAGGATATATAGGATATAGAGGATACAGTTCCAGACTAAAAGAAGGATACAATTCTTAATATATAGGATACAGTGCTAGACTAAAAGCTGGATACAATTTTAATATATAGGATACAGTACTAGACTAAAAGCAGGATACAATTTTTAATTTATAGGATACAGTTCTAGACTAAAAGCTGGATACAATTCTTAATATATAACCTACCTCAGATAAAATACTAATATTACCTATGTCTGCTAGAATACTAATAAACCTACCTCAGATAAAATACTAATATTACCTATGTCTGCTACAATACTAATAAACCACCACGTAATATAAAATTGAAATATTTATATTCTCTAATGCTAATTTTGACAAATTTTAAATGAGAAATCTAAATATGACTGAAAATATTCCACACAGGCTTGCACTCGTTAGTTTTACATGATGTAAGACGCACTTATTTTTCAGTAACCACTGCGTCCGTGTATTAAAATCACTTTTCAACTCTCTTAATATTATTCTTGAGTTTACCTCAATAGTTGGTCTGGGGCACAGGTATAATCATACTGCTTAGTCCCAGCAAAATAATCTATCAGATTTCCACTAAAATAGAAAATGCTCAAATCCACCTTGCACCAGTTTTCTTTTATACACTAAGATTACCTATCTCAGCTAAAATACTAATAATACCTACCTCTGCTGATATACTAATATTACCTACCTCTGCTAATATACTAATATTACCTATCTCTGCTAATATACTAATATTACCTACCTCTGCTGATATACTAATATTACCTACCTCTGCTGATATACTAATATTACCTACCTCTGCTGATATACTAATATTACCTACCTCTGCTAATATACTAATATTACCTACCTCTGCTGATATACTAATATTACCTACCTCTGCTGATATACTAATATTACCTACCTCTGCTAATATACTAATATTACCTACCTCTGCTGATATACTAATATTACCTATCTTTGCCAGAATACTAATATTACCTACCTCTGCTGATATGCTGATCTGGATACAATTCTTAATATATAGGATACAGTTCTAGACTAAAAGCAGGATACAATTCTTACTATGTAGGATACAGTTCTAGACTAAAAGCAGGATACAATTCTTAATATATAGGATACAGTTCTAGACTAAAAGTAGGATACAATTCTTAATATATAGGACACGGTTCTAGACTAAAAGAAGGATACAATTCTTAATATATAGGATACAGTTCTAGACAAAAAGCAGGATACAATTCTTAATATATAGGATACAGTTCTAGACAAAAAGCAGGATACAATTCTTAATATATAAATAAATAATAAAAAAAAAATTTTCATTCCGTGAAAATCAAGGACGAGATTACTTCAAAAATAACCGCCAAAGGACGAAAATTAACGTATATCCGTTTACTGACAAAAGTCTAGTGTGAATCATGAAAGTTCTGAATATTTAGGATATATTCTAGACATATGGCAGTATACATTTCTAAATATTTCGAATACAGATGTAAGACTAAAAGCAGGATATGTTCCTAATATTGAGGATACAGTTTTAGACATCAGGATACAGTAGTGTCTAATAATTGGATGTAAATTAAGTCTGAAGTTATAAGTGCTATGGAGCAATCTCAACGAAACTTCGAAAAATACTGACTATCAATTCAGGATATATATTTCGATAAAAATATGATCATCATCATTCCCGAACAATTAAAAATGAACAAAAACAAACTGACAAAAAAAAAAAAATAATGTTTAGTAATCTTTGAAACCCCAAATAAAAGAAAGAAACAAAAATATTGGATGTTTTTACCAGGAAGAGTGACTTCAATGATTATATTAATGATGAAGATTAAAAAAGTCTAAAGATGGGAAGGAAAATGAGACTTACCAACAAGATCGCTGTTCACATAGGCCTCAAACACAGGATTATCCAAGGGGGCATCCCTAGGCAAAATTAAGTTACAATGAAGGTTAAAAATAACTAAATAAAAGTGTAAGTCAATCAAAATAAATCTGTAATTAGAAAAAAACTGATTTCTCGCCACATCCTTCATTTTATAGAACCAATACCTTTGTAACCTGACAGTGTCAAACTCTAATATTTCATAAATTGATACTCTTAACTTAAAACATAAATATGTCAGGTTTCAAAATTTTACTAACTAAAAAAATAGAGTTTTAGGCGAGTACTCAGTTCCCTTTGAGAGGGTATTCCGCCATCAGAAAGACGCAAGATTCGATGGCTTAGAACTTTTTGGGGAAATCTTTTACTTAAAAATAATGAACTGACCCTATTGCTTTAGGTTGAAGTCCGCAAAACTGCCTGAAGGTATTGTATCCAGGCAGACCATGATCTCTTCCTAGTTGTATCAGGCGGGCAAACAGATCCTCCTGTAATAGTATAAAAAAAAAAAAAATGTCGTCTTCAATACTTTGATAAGCTATGTGAAAGTAAAGAACATATTTAATATCTAAGGTATGGGCAGATCTGAGTAGGTAAGATTTTTATGTATGTAACTTGCTTATTATATAATGTTTAAAATAACAAACATGCATTATCTATATATAAATTTGGCTGTTTGACTGTCTGTTTGTTTGTTTGTATCCAATAAACGTCAAAACGGCTGAACCGATTGGGCCATAATTTTTTGTGGGACATCACGTGACCACAGGAAAGGTTTATGAATGATAAAAATTAAAAAAAATGTTTTAAAGGTTTTTAATTTTATGAAAAAAATTAAATTCTTGAAAACCCGCGATTTTTTTTAAAAAATCCGCAAAATTATTTTCTTCTTTGTTTTAAAATGTAAACAAAAAGAACATGTTCACAATTTAAATAGAAGATGGGCGCGAAGCGCCCTAAAAGCCTAGTGCTTTTATATTTAGTATTTGAATTCGTAATTTTACCAATGATATCAATCATGCATTATATATAATCTATATACTCTATAGTCCCTTTAAGTCGAAAAAGTAGAAAAAATTTAAACATAGAATAAAAACACAAANTATACTAATATTACCTACCTCTGCTGATATACTAATATTACCTACCTCTGCTGATATACTAATATTACCTACCTCTGCTGATATACTAATATTACCTACCTCTGCTAAAATACTAATATTACCTACCTCTGCTAATATACTAATATTACCTACCTCTGCTAATATACTAATAAAACCCATGTCTGCTACAGTGGTAGGCGATAACATTAATATAATGAAGACGACTTTCGATATAAATTTTTATTTATATTAAGCTTTTGAATAGCAAGGATACCCAAACAATGGAAACAAAGAAAATCTGTCAATTTAAGAAAGCTTCTCCTTAATTACTTGTTAACTTGTAATTCAAAAAAAGCTTGTCAATAATTAAAACTTCAATAAAAAATCGTCTCCATTATATTGGTATTATCTCTTACCACCATAGAATGCTGATATCTCCTACTTCTCTGCTAGAATACTAATATTACCTACCTCTGCTGGAATACTAATATTACCTACCTCTGCTAGAATAATAATATTAATTACCTCTGCTGGAATACTAATATTACCTACCTCTGCTGGAATACTAATATTACCTACCTCTGCTGGGATACTAATATTACCTACCTCTGCTAGAATAATAATATTAATTACCTCAGCTAAAATACTATTACCTACCTCTGCTGATATACTTATTTTACATACCTCAGCTAAAATACTATTACTACCTACCTCTGCTAGAATAGTAAAAATACCTACCTCTCCTGAAATACTAATATTATCTACTCTTGCTAGAATACTAATATTAACCTATCTATGCTAAAATACTTATATTAACTACCTCTGCTAGAATACTAATGTTACCTACCTCAGATAAAATACTAATATTACCTATGTCTGCTACAATACTAATAAACCTACCTCAGATAAAATACTAATATTACCTATGTCTGCTAGAATACTAATAAACCTACCTCAGATAAAATACTAATATTACCTATGTCTGCTACAATACTAATAAACCTACCTCAGATAAAATACTAATATTACCTATGTCTGCTATAATACTAATTAACCTACCTCAGATAAAATGCTAATTTTACCTAACTCTGCTAGAATACTTATATTACCTACCTTTGCCAGAATACTAATATTACCTATCTCTGCTAAAATACTAGTATAACCTTTATATGCTAAAATACTAATACCTACCTCAGCTAAAATACTTATATAACCTACCTCTCCTGGAATACCAATTCAACCTACCTCAGCTAAAATACTAATATTACCCAAGTCTGCTACAATACTAATATTAACAACCTCAGTTAAAATACTAATATTACCAAAGTCTGCTACAATACTATATTAACAACCTCAGCTAAAATACTAATATTACCTAGCTCCAGGGGTGTATATAATTCCAATTTTTATTCTTCCCCCCCCTCTGATTTTTTTTTGATTTCCTTCCCCAAATTTGATACCCAAAAATACATAATTGTTTGAATATTTATACTGCAGTGCATAATAAACCCCATAAGGATGCATTTTGCATAGATGGCGCTCTAGGCAATTTTTTAAAAAACTTTTGGTATGGTGGTGGTACTGGCAAAGAAGTTTTGATTGATTTTTTGTCAGTCCAGGAATATTTTTTTTTCTTTGAAATCATTTCCCATCATTTTAATGGGGTGGTGTTCAAGTTCTTAAAAGAATACCCCTTAATCAATAATTTTCTCAAATAGTCAAACACATTTAAAAAAATTCAGAACAAGTAAATTGTTTTTCTTCATATTTTTTAATGAAATTGTGAAATTTTTGTAACGTTTTTTTATGCTGCATATAACTATCGTGGAAAATTATTTATGAAAGTTGTCTGGTTTCAGAGAAAGTTAGATATGAAGAAGTTAAAAGCTCTAACCCTTCACTTCCCTAAATTCCCCTTTCCTTCCTTATCTCCCAACCTTCCATCAATTGTTTCCCTCCTCATTCTCCATACATTATCCTTCTACTTCCCTACTTTCCTTTTCCATTCCCTCCCTTTCCTGTCCCTTATGTGGTTCCCTAATCCCTATTTTTGTCGTTCCCTCTCAACCCTCTCAACCTTCCTCGTTCCCTATCAACCTTCCCGTTTCCGTCGCAATCCTCTTCCTCCCAACCTTCCCTTTCCCAACCTTCCTATTCCCTACTTTACCCCTTTCCTACCCATCTCCTTCCCTCCATACCCCATCACCTTCCTTCCCTCCCTACCCATATCCTTCCCTCCCCACCCATCTCCTTCCCTCCCTACCCATCTCCTTCCCTAGCTCCCTACCTACCCACTTCCCTCCCTACCTATCTAGACTCGCACAAAAAATCAGATTAATACTTTATGAAACATATGTGCATTTGACCTACAAAATAAGGTATCCATCCTACCCTAAAATATTGCTCCTCCAACCATAAAATATTGCTCATACGACCTATAATAATTATTGTTGTTAATTAAAAATATTGCTCATTTAATCTAAAATTATTTCGCAACCAACCAAAAATATGACTTCTTTGACTTAAAAATTGATCAACTGACCTAAAAATATTACTCAACTGACCTAAATAAATAGCTCATCAGACCTAACAATATATTGCTCATCCGTCCTAAATTATTGTTCATTCGACCTAAGAATATTGCTCATCCAACCTAAAAATATTGCGCCCGACCTAAGATATATGTTAGCTCAACCGACCTAAGATGTTAGCTCAACCAACCTAAGATGTTTGCTCAACCGACATAAAATTATTGCTCAACTGACCTAAAAATATTCCTCAACTGACCTAAAAATATTGCTCATCCGACCTAAGAATAACTTGCTCAACCGACCTAAAAATGTTACTCATCTAACCTAAAAAATTCAAACCAACTAAGAATTGTTGCTCAACTAACCTAAAAATGGCTCATTAGACCTAAGAATATTGCTCAACCGACCTAAAATTTTAGCTCAACGGACCTAAATTGGTTGATCAACCGACCTTAAATTGTCACCAACCAAACTTAAACTTCCAAAACTTCCAGGTAAACAGACCTAAAATATATGCTCATATTGCTCAACCAATCTAAAAATATCTCTAAATCTTAGGTCGGAAAACTTATATATTTCTAAAAGGATGCCTAACGGACAAAAACCTTTTTTAACCAAACCAACACGTGCAAAACTACTCGATATTTAGATCATTAGATATAAGGTTAAAATATCTAGGTCGGTTCATACTGCATCGAAACACTTAAATAACTCCGCTAAAATACAAACTTCTGCTAGAATACTATTATTCTCTACCTCTGAGTCTGCTGTAATGCTAATATTTCATCTACTATATATTTCTTACCTACGTATGCTGGAATACTGAGAGGTGTCCACCCCACCAGTTAACACTTCAGGCTAAAACGTATTTAGAAATAAACATAACACCAACATTGCTTTGTTTCTCCTTAAGTTGCAGAATTCGAAAAAATCTGTCAATTTTGCGATATCCAACTTGAAATACACAGTCAAAAAAGAAAAACAAAATAAAATGATTAAATATTTAAGATAAGAAATTAAGGAAAAAAACTATTTTCGACTTAATAATCATTGAATAAGAAAACAATTGAACTAACTAATACCGGTATTACAGTATAGATGAATCCAGATACAGCTGCAGCTATTGCTTGCTCCACACCAGCATTCACAGTCTAACAAGTAAAGCCTTTAATAAAATCAAATGTCCGAAATTTTGTAAAATTTAAGAAAAGGGATTCAGATTTGCTGGCTCCTTTTATCTAGATCTCAACCAGCAGTGTATGATGCGAATCCTTTAATCCTACGGAAACATTTGCACCAAATTATACAGAAAAAAAAACTTTTTGTGCTTAAAACACAAATATTAATGCTGGCCTACTTAAATGTGTAAAATCACTATGGCAAAAAAAGTTTGGATTTATTCCAAAAAAGAAGAAAAAATTCCGTTTAACAAGGAAAGGAACCAGGAAAAAAATGGATTTGAATCCGCATTAAAATGCAATGGTTCCAATGGGATAGAGTGAAGAATATCCTCTTGATCAACTATATAATTCTTATTATTAAAATCAAAATGTACAACTTACTGGATTGTATTTAGTATACTGTTTCATGAACTCCGGTGTTCTACCCAAAATCATTGGAAGTAAATCTAGAACGGTTATAGACTGTAGCTCTGCGATAGTCAGTTTCCTGGCCAGCTCGTAGATCTTCTCATCAGGATACCGGGTTAACCGTCTACATGGACAATAACAATTAATAAATGGAACAGTAGATGTACCAGGTCAACCGTCTACATGGGACAATAACAATTAATAAATGGAACAGTAGATGTACCAGGTCAACTGCCTACATGGGACAATAAAAATTAATAAATGGAACAGAAGATGTACCAGGTCAACCGCCTACATGGACAATAACAATTAATAAATGGAACAGAAGATGTACCAGGTCAACTGCCTACATGGGACAATAACAATTAATAAATGGAACAGAAGATGTACCAGGTCAACCGTCTACATTGACAATAACAATTAATATTTAGGGAACTGTATGTAGAGTGTAGATGTCGCTAAAAGTGACATGTCTGAATAACAACAGTACCGTTTAAACCTTGTCTTTTATCAACAAGGAACGCAATATTTTTACAATTGCAGTTGCATAGAAAAAAAAACCTGCATAATGCAGTTTTATGTTACACAATGAACTAATGTGAAAGAATTTGTCACTTATTTGGATATTTTCTAATTTCCACTCAGATACAGGTTTTGAATAGACTTAAATTGGTTCTTACTGTTGCCAATCCGACATATCACTTTTAAAATAAAGGTTAACTTCAACACTGATCCTAAATCTCTCCAGTCCCTTTTATTAAAACGGAAAATATACAAATCCACGCATATTTACTAGTTAAATTTTGAACTGTGATTAACAATAAAATATAAATCCTTTTCTTAATACATTGGATCCAAATAATCTTCTATTGCAAACAATTATCATATCTTAAAAAGTTAACATGTTAATCTTTAAAATCAATATAATAAATGCGAGTTTAAGACATAACATAAGTTAAAAAATATCTTACTGTATCTCTCTTGCTATTCTGTTATGCTCCCTTATAAAAAAATACAATCAGAAATGTTTACTTCATTAAAAAAAGAATCAAACTCAGCTTTTAGTTAACTCATAGTTCCCTTTCGTTTCAAAAACTGCAACAAAAGAATTTTACTGAAAGCGCATTGAAACGCAGGAATTTTTACTGTAAGAATTTTGAGAAGAATTCTGGAATAGACCATCTGCTTCATAGCTTTCATTATTTCGATATTTAACGCAAAATCTTGTGTTTTTAAAATTCCTAAGTCATATTTTCTAAATCTTTATTGAAACTAATATAAGATTGTAGAATGATTCCTGAGAAAAAGTGTATGTACTGCCAACAGATGTGGAAAACTTGTCACCCTACTATCGCCTAAAAGTTGGAGGAAAAGAGAATAATTTCTAAATAAGTTAATAAGGATAAGTTTTTACGGTTCGATACCATTAACAATTGTTTTTTACTCGGCAAGAATTTGAATTCCTGGATCAAAGGGGGCAAAATATTAATCAAAAACGGTAAAAAAAAGCTTTTATACACTTAAAAACCTAAATCTGAACTGTTGAAAAAAAGAGATTATAACAATTTCCTGATCTCTGAATGGATCCGTATTTGAATCCTAATAAATTTATTCCAGTGCGGATCCAGATCCACATTAAAATTAATTGGATCCTAAGCACTGCTTCTGACGCAATAAAATAATTGATTCCAGAAGCCAAATTTTCTAATCTTCATTAAAATAATTAAATAAATTATTTGAAAATTTTTGAAGATTTTATTTTTAACGATTATTATACATATCAAATTTTACCAATATTTTCACAAATAAAACGACCTACCTGCTAAGTAGAGATATTTTTCCTTCGGAAGAAAATCTAATAACAATTTTAGAATAACAATTTGTGAAAACTTGCACAATAGTAAAATAGTTTTAGAAATCTAAAACCTTGAAATTTTTTGTAAAAATATTCTTATCCTTCACTCCTAAGGGGATCGAGAGAGGGGGGGGGGGGGTCACCAAAATATGATGAAAGGGAAGCTGATAAGATTTAATATTACCTGAGCACATCCCACCTGGAGCATGCTTCAGTAGTCCACCCTGAACAAAACATGGATAACATCTATTACAGTACAATGTTTTCATATTTCAAACCAGGGGAAAATGCAGAAATTTGTTGAGGGGGGGGGGGTTATCTTTTTTTTTGACTCCAGGAGGGCAGGTTGATTCCCCCTAGAATTTAAAGTTTTCACTTCTCCAGGGGTGAGAAGGCCTCAGTTTCCATAACTCCCGCCCCACCCTGTGAATGCCTCTGATTAAAAAACTTGACATAAAAATCTTTTCGTCTTCAGTAAATCAAAGCTTTTATCTAGATAACCAGATTAGCTAGCTCAATATAGACCTTTAAACAAACAAAATGAAGAATGAAAACCGATGTATGTGCGGGTTAAGAACATATATAATTATTCTAATAGGGTAAGTTTAGTGATAACTTAAAAAAAATAAATAGTAGGGTCCTCAACATTTTAATAAATAGTAGGGTTCTCAACATTTTAATAAATAGTAGGGTCCTCAACATTTTAATAAATAGTAGGGTCCTCAACATTTTCATCCTTTTTCTAAATGATAATGAGATATGCTGTTTCCAAGTTTGAAAGTCATAGGTTAACTCTTTTATAGTTGCCTAGGCACTGTCTGAAAATAATCCCAAAACAATTAAATTTTAAACTGCTTTTATACAATTAAGGGTGAAAATCTACACATTTGCAAAAATTAATTATACTTAAGCATTTATAGAGCTTCTGGTAGCAGTCCTGGTGCTTTTGGTAGCTGTCATGGTGTTTCTAGTAGAGTTCTGTTTCTTCTGGTAGCTGTTCTGGTGCTTCTAGCGCTGTCCTGGTGCTTGTAGTAGCAGTCCGTGTGCTTCTGGTAGCAGTTCTGATGCCTCTGGTGGCATGCAGTCCTGATGCTTATGGTAGCTGTCCAAATTTTTCTTGCAGCAGCCCTGATGTTTCTGGTAGCTATCCTGATAATTCTGGTAGCTGTCTTGACACTTCTGTTAGCTGTTCTGAAGATTCTGGTAGCTGTCAAATGCTTCTGATAGCTGTCCTGACACTTCTAGTAACAGTCCTGGTGCTTTTGGTAGAACTCCTGTGGCTGCTGTTGCTTCCCGTGCACTATCAGTCAGTGAGCTTTTAAAGATTAAAAGAAATCAGACTTTGTTTGAACTTCAATATTTGGATCTCAAGCAAGAGGAAGCTTCTCAGAAGGGAAAAACTTCATTGCTTGGTTAGCCATAAAAATCTGCTAGTAAACCAGATGTTGAGAAAAGCTGCGAGTTCATTAATACTACACCACTTGTGTCCTAACTTGAAGGCAGCAACAAAAAAAAGGGGCAATAACTTTTCAGGTCAATAGATGGAATATGTGTAGTCCAGAGCGGGAAGTTATCCTAAAAGGAAGGTGAGAGGCGGAAAGACTTCAAGGTGTCAAAGCAAGAGGCTGTGGACAATAAAGAGTAAGAACCAGCTTAGGGTAAAGATTCCCCTTCCTTTTCCATGAATTCATTTTATTTGATTTTTGAATTGTACAGCAAGTTTTATTTCTTAATAAGTTCCAATTTTGAAATAATATATTTTTGCTTTTGATACATTCATAAAAACGTTTGAATATTAATAGGGATAACATTATTATTTAGTTGGACTGACATAGCTGTTTATCCTTGCATTTTACTAACAAACTTATTTTATAAAATTTTTGCCAAGTAAAAGTGGACTTTAATTTTGTATCTATAAACATTTTTCAAGGTGGCATAGTTATTCTTCAGTTGTTGATTAAAGTTATTTTATCATATGAGCACAGATTATTACAGTTCCTTGCACAATTATCATAATTGAGCACATGGCTGAAACTCTAATAAATCGCAAAATTTAAGTTTTAAAACAATTTTTACTAGCATGTGTTCTTTATTACTTGCTGTCAATGAACTAATATTATACATTTAGCCAAATTATATTATAATGCCGTTAACTGATTTTATTCAAAAATGAAAAATTAATAAGCTTACAATTATTATAAAGCACATATTACTATATATAATTCAGAATAAATATTTTGCGTTCTCATTCAGTAAACAAAATGATGAGGATTGAGGAACACTTCCCTCGCTTATTTAATTAAAATTAATTAAATATAAGTTACTGAACTAACCTCAAAAAGTCTCAGGTTATGACTGGCTTTTAAAGTTGATCCATAAATAGCACTTCCATCCAGATATCCAGTATTAAAATTCTCCTGCTCACGGTAATTTAATCTAAAATAATGCAATCTCATCACTGGTGCTCAATTATGGGGGTAAAAATAATGACAAATTATTGGAATTAATTTTAAAATCTATAAATTATACTAACCCAGGGGTACCATCATCATTGCAGATGGGCAAAGATCTCTTGTAATTCAAACAGGATTCTCCTAAAAAAGATCAAGTGATTAAAAGTTTATTGATTATAATATATTTGATTATTGATCAATGATCATGAGTATGTGTATTCCAAAAAAAAAGGTCTTTCAAGTTTTATTGCAACAGCAATTCTGTCTGTTCAATTCCGATTTTTTTGTGTGCAAAAATTAGAACACTAACATGTTGCTAGTAGACTCTTAACTAAAAGGCCAATTTTTTTAATTACTCATGCAGACAAAAGTTTAAGTGTGTGGATGGTATTTTGGTAGACAATGAAGGTGTTAAATGTTTGTTTGCAATGAATAAATTACCTTCCAAAGAAGAGACGAACAGTCTGCATAGTGTATATTGTGGAACCTGCAGATATATACTTCAGTTTTTTGTTAAGTGAGCCCTTATCCAGCAAGGAATAGTGCTCTATTGAACACATCTATTTTCAGACCATTATTATAGGAAGGTACTGAAAATGTGTCAAATAATGCTATTGTGTACATCTGGAAAATTGTAAACTGCAAAGATAAACAAACTCTTTCCAGGTGGGTTAATTACAGCTGCATTTAAAAAAAACTGTTTTCCAGTATTCATGTAATTATCTTGAAATTACACAGTTATTCCTATCAGAAGTGGCAATCATTAAGCAAACTAGCGCAAGCTGTGGTTTAGGGGATTCTTTAATATAAAAAATAAGACTAAAACATTTATCTGAAGTCATTTTCAAGAACCAAAAACCTTCTAGAATTTCTAAAACATGTTTACAAAAGATATTTCTCTTTAAAGTTGATCTTTACAAATGGGTTTAATGAACCTAAAAGTGAAAAAAATCTTTAAAAAAATGATAAGTTTGAAAGGCATATTTATATGGTGTCAATAAAATCCTGAGCTCAGTTTAGAAAAAAAATTAATAGTTAATGAAGTTACGAGAAAAACATGTTTTTCCTTAACAAATTTAAACAAAGTTAAAAAAATGTTTTTTCCCTCTCCCTAATTCAGTCAAATTTTAAAGCATCTTTACTCTGTAAAATTATTTGACCTTTCATAAACAAGATGTTTTCAATTATACCTAAATCAATATGCTTCCATTTTAAATTTCTACCTACAAAATACATTTTGCAAACATGTCTAAGAGATCTTAGTACGAGTACTATTCTTGAAAATGATTCCAGAAAAATGTTTCACCCTTAATGTATAAAGCTCAATCAAAAATATAAAATAACTTACCCCTTCTCCACTTTCTGGTTTTCCCCAGATCCAGACATTATTTGTGTCCTGATCCTGATCCTGGTTGACAAGTGAAACTCCAGCATCAGCCCGAATCACAGGATCAAACCAATCAGAGTCATCAAAATTAAACTAAAAAGAAACCAGTTTTGTCACATAATGATAAGTGGAAGGTTAACTGGTTAAATTATAGAAGCAGCTTTTACTCGTCTACTATTTGTGTATAGTTGGAACTTGGAACAGAACTAGAGTGAACACTACATTTCAACATTTAGAAGTGAAAAACCATAATTTCGTCATTAAAGTATCTGTAAACATACTTTTAAGTGACTCTCCAGTCTCCTTAGATTAAGTGGCAGGTCAGATTCACAAGTTTACCCTTAAAAGCTTTGTCTGATCAAGTATGAATCATAAATCCACGTTTCTGTTTCAGAAAACTAATGATTTTATCTTTCATATCATTGATCAGAGATGAAATTTAAAAAATTTGAGCCGCGGTTTAAATCTTCCAAAACCAGGTTTAAATTAAGCGCCGGTTTAAATCTTGAAACATTTGACACAGTTTTAAGTGGAACCAACCATATTTAAGCCGCGGCTTAAATTTAAACCGCCACTCAAATTCTTTAAATTCGGCCACAGGTTAAGCTGTTAAGGGTTCCGATTTGAATCGGCATAACCCTCTTTAGATAGAGGGTCACATGAAATTACAATTACAATCCCATTAAAAAGTTTTCAAATTTGTATATTTATATTATTCTTAGGTAAATTTGTGTTCAGCTTTTAATCAATCTAGAATTCCAGATAAAATAAGATCCAGACTCTACAGGGACCAAATTAAATTAATTTAATATACGTCCTGAAGTACATACTGCAGGGTAAAATTTGAACTATCAATTTACTGCAGGGTCAAATTTGAACTACCAATTTACTGCAGGGTCAAATTTGAACTACCAATTTACTGCAGGGTCAAATTTGAACTATCAATTTACTGCAGGGTTAAATTTAAACTACCAATTTACTGCAAGGTCAAATTTAAACTACCAATTTACTGCAGGGTCAAATTTGAACTACCAACTTACTGTGGGGTCAAATTTGAACTACTGATTTACTGCGGGGTCAAATTTGAACTACCGATTTACAGCAGGGTCAAATTTGAACTATCAATTTACTACAGGGTCAAAATTGAACTACCGACTTACTGCAGGGTCAAATTTGAACTACCAATTTACTGCAGGGTCAAATTTGAACTACCAATTTACTACAGGGTCAAATTTGAACTACCAATTTACTGCAGGGTCAAATCTGAACTAGCGATTTACAGCAGGGTCAAATTTGAACTACCGATTTACTGCAGGGTCAAATTTTAACTACCGATTTACTGCAGGGTCAAATTTGAACTACCAATTTACTGCGGGGTCAAATTTGAACTACCGATTTACAGCAGGGTCGAATTTGAACTACTGATTTACTGCAGGGTCAAATTTGAACTACCAATTTACTGCAGGGTCAAATTTGAACTACCAAATAGAAGTCAAAGATTGAGGAAGCATTTGAATCGATGATTTGAATTTGAACCATTCATTAATTTGGTCCCGGTTTGAAATTAGTGAAAAGAATGAATGAGCATAAAACAGTTTGTAATCTGTTGATCCACAGTTCAGTTTTAAACTAGAATTAAGTTAATTCTTACCTGGGCCCAATCGTCATCTGATTGTTCACTGTCTAAACCTACACATTTCCAGTTTTCAGCTCCAGTACTCAATCCATACCCTGATCTAACAAGGATTCCTGGGGTAATCCCTACAGCATTTCTAGCCTGAGCATCCCCCCCGGACAGGGGATGGAAACAAGAAATGGCAACCAGGAAAGGCCTAAAATTAGATCTCTGTAATTGTTGTATTATTTGATGTCAATAGTGTTACTGATAATTCCAATTAAATTAAATCAGACTTTCAGGGGCACCCAATCCTGAAATGACTTTTCTAAATCAGATTTAAAATAATGATATACAATTTTCAATGAAGCTGCTTTTTGTCTTAAAACAATTTTTTTACTGAAAACTACAATTCCAAGATAAAAATGTTCAGTACTTAGTTTATTCAGCTTAAACCCTATAAATAATCATTAACCACATAAATACTTCTTTAAATTTAATTTAATTTAATTTAAAAATTTACATGTTTTTGGTTTTACTATTTGAAAAAATTCAAGGAAAACAGAGGAAAAGGTTCAGTTAAAAGTTTAGTCTAATATCAGCATATTTTAGAGACGTTAAACAAAACTTATGTCCAGTTAAACTGTGGTTCAAAAAAACTAGGTTCTGTGACCAATTTTAATAATTAGTAAGAAGTACTTGAACTACATAGACTAAGTTGAACCACATCTCTTGTGTGCCCTTTTAGAGAAATGGTTAATTTTGTCCGTGAGATTTGATCCCTCTACATAGTTCAGCTTGGATCACAAAGGGGAGTACGGTTTAATTTATGGTGGGTCAAAAATCAATTGAAATTTCGAAATATGGTGACTTATTGTATCTTTAGATTTCAATCAAAATTTTTTAATTTGTGCTTAGTAAATATTCTCATGTATTTTGTGTCACAGAACAATACCTATACATTATCATATATTTTAAGTTAAGGGAAAACATTTAATATTATTAACTGAATATTTTTTATAAAATAATGTTATAGTTTACAAAATCTAGGCACAATAATTGCAATAAACCCAAAAGTGAAGTTTTCTAAGGATGCTTAGTCTGGCAATGCCATTGTAGCGTTTTCATCATAAGAGAGAATCTGACCTTGAAGATAGAATAACTTGTCCAATGTACATTGTATAATAAGAGAGAATCTGACCTTGAAGATAGAAGAACTTGTCCAATGTACATTTGTCAACCATTAACATTAAGACTAATAGGAAAATAGATCGTAAGAATCTTTTCATTATAAATTTGTAAACCCTGTAATAATTATTTATCATTATTCATTTCGTTATTTTTTTTAGGAAATAAAGAGTTTTCTGCATTATCGATTTTGATTCGTGGATTATACCTTGTCTATCTGTTCATCGTCAGAATCTTGTTCCTTTGCGACAACAACATTGCATAATAAGAGAGAATCTCACCTTGAAGATAATAGAACTTGTCCAATGTACATTGCATAATTCTCAAAAGGTATTGCAGTTTTAACTCCATCCACAAAAACCTCAATTTCATCAGTACATGTTGCCTCAAACAGTGCTTCCTCTAGAATAAAGACTTATTGGTAATTCAGAAACAGACTCTTTTTCACACTTAACTTATTTTTATTTTTCCTCTGAAGCTCTATATTATTGGAAGTGATCAAAATGCTTAAAACTATAGTTACTACAAAGTAACTGTACATTGAGCATGTAAATGAGTCATTAAAACGGCCACCTTTTACCTTGTAGGGGCTAATCAGTGGCGCAACTGGCACTTTTGCGAAGGGGGGGGGGCGAAATAGAAATTACAGGGTCTGGGGTGGTAATTAGTAGCTTAAAACTTGCATATAAATTCAAGGAGAAATAAATTACTAATATAAATATCAGCAACAACTATGAAATATTTACCTATAATTGGAGCTGAAGTCCATCTGCATACAAGATTGTTCTAAAAATAAATTTTCCCTTAGAATGTCGGAATATAGGAGGTTTATTTAATATATTTTTCATAATCTTCAAATCATCTACCTCCGAAGGTAATTTTATAGCAGAAGAAAATTGTCCATCTACCATTGATGGCATGAGTTCTACACCATTATCCCACATTGAATCATCAAAGTCAGCCTAGAAAATAAGGAATTAATAGTAGTTTTAAAAAGATAATAATGTACTGCAAATTTTATTTATCAGTGCCAAATACAATTTGCCCATCCCAAGACATATAAATACTATCTATTTATTAGAAAGATAGTAATTTAAGTGTTTAATTATTGGGACAGCAAGAGAAGTTTTGCATCTGACGGGCTCTTTATGGTCCCAGAAACTAAACTTTTCTAAAATCTGAATTTTATCAAAATTATGTTAAATGACACTTTAGTATCCTGGGATCTTAAGGTCACAGAAATGCCCCCCCCCCCCCGACAAAATTGCTAATATTTATTGCAGTATCAAGTTAGTAAGCAAAATATTAGCAAAAATAAAAAGTGCAAGAAATATGATTCATTATACTTTTTTGGAAAGCTATTACCACCGCAAATACAAAAACTTTTTAAAAATTTCAAAAACTACATTTTTAATCAAGAAAAACTGAAAATGTGAAAAAAATTTCAATGCATCTGTGCAAAAAACTATGCAATCTGCTTTCTTTTGTTCAAGGTTTTCAAAAGAGCTGTAAAAAGTTAAATTCAATGACCAGAAGTAGATTTAAATATAGATTAAGTTGGGTAAAGATAAAATAAAGCATTCAGGCAGTAAGCCTGAGAACTCAGGCAGTAGGTATAAAAGCCCCACTTTGAGTCTAGAGTGGGGGGTATGTTTTGGTTAGAAATGTTAAACAAATTGAACAGCCTCAGACCATCACTTTCTTTCCGAAAAACGTCAGGAATAGGGTTAAGGCTCTCTAAAATCAAGTAAGGAATATTTTTCAAATTTAACAATTTCTTAAACGCCCAACTACCCTGGATAATTTTACCTCAAGCCATGCCTCCTGTAATGGACCTTGATGACATTTCCAGACAGATGAGGTTCCTACTATATCAGAATATGCAGCTACAATAACTTCAGAGGATGCTGTTCTAACACAGTTAAGCACTAACACATCAACATTCCTGAACAATTTGTGTGAATATTATTATCAGAAAATAGTGACTTGGACTTAGTCCTACAGGTGACAGAATCGGCTTGAACAATGCATACATATATATATGTGCATTTATTGTATAGTTATACAGAGAGGGCTCTGAGAATGAGTTATTGAGTGAGTACAGGTCTTCATGTAGTAAACACCTACTCCATAACAATTTCTCAAGATGTATCTATCCTGGTCCAATCCGTCCGCTATCAAACCAAACAGGACACAAACCACACAGCAACAATCCCGTGACTAATCAACACCACTACACAGGGCGCAATCTCATCAGCTATCGATTTCAATACAGACACTAGCAATCAATTGATCAATGTCTCAACCAGGACACAATCCACACAGCTACAATCCTGTGACTAATCAACGCCACTACACAGGGCGCGATCTAGTTAGCTATCGATGTCAATACAGAGACTAGCAATCAGTTAATCAATGTCTCAACCAGGACACGATCCACATGGCTACAATCCTGTGACTAATAAATGTCACTACACAGGGCGGGATCTAGTTAGCTATAAATTTCAATACAGACACTAGCAATTAATAGATCAACACCAATACTCAAGGCACGATCTCCGCTCGTATATGTTAACTAGAACTGTATTACTTCTAATACCGTAATCACAGGCTCTTCTATTACCGTATTCAGCAGTCTCATTTAACTGAGGTTTATTTAGTAGTTCATATGAGAAATGGGTCAGTAACAGAATAATTACAAGTTATGCGCTGTTATATCTACAATGTAGTTAACATACACAATATGGGTATAAGAGTATATATATTTCTACGTACATGGAATGGGTTTATCGCATTACAGGATTTGCGTAATAACTACATGAGCAAGGTATGACGGAAATTACAATAGGCCACAATTTTGCTAAATACACAAGGTTCAAATCAAATCAGAGAGATTTTGACATCCTACCAACCAACCATTTTCAAAATTGAATTGACTAATAAATCAGCATTGAAAAACAATATTGTATGATTTTAGAGTCCTGACTAATTTTTTTGTGTTTGTTGAACTGTTAATGATGTCTTGAATGAATCTTTTACAAAATCATGGAAAGAGGATATTTTGATACATTTGATGCTAAAGTTTAAATCTTTAATGCAAATGCAATGTAAAAACCATCGATGAAAAGATTAGAAACTGACCTTGAAATCTCCACTTTAGTTCCTACACGCGTACCAGATAAAGAAGTTTCAGTTATAAGGGTTACACCATCAGCAATTACGGTTAGTTCTTTTTCATCAGAATCAGAAGACCCACACATCACAGTCAATGGTATCAAGGCAGCATCAGGATCTTAACAAATATACTGAAGGGAAGATGTTTTTTGGTTAATATATTAAGATAGGAATTATAGGTTAGGTTTTAAATTCTTGATATAGCTTAGGGAAATAAATAAAATCTTGGTTACTCAAGTTTCTACGAGAGATAAATAGTTGTAATTTCAAGTTAAATTTTAATGTTTTTAATTGTGTGATATCTGCAAATTAAAACAATCACCCCCAACAGTAAATGGTATAAAATAAAATTGAGAGGAAAATGAAAAATTGGGCAGCAACAAAGTTCTTCACCCTTGATTTTAATTATGCAAAAATACTTTACAACTTTGTGAGCAAACTGTTCATCTTTAACCATAGACAATGGACAATGGACATTTAAGACAAAAGTATTTGCTTGAAAACTTTGTTGAACCGCTGATATTTCGTCCGTCCCCAGTGTACAATTAGAAACATTAAATATAATAATACCTATCCATGGATCCAAGCAATAATCTTCAACATCATCACAACTCTGAATATCCTCCTCTATATCAAATTCATCAGCTGGAATAAACTGGAAAACCTCATTGGGAATCGTCCTGAAAACAAGGAAGCTTATCAATACAAATTAAAGAGACACAACTAAGTTAAAAACATAAAAACTTTCAAAACATTTTAAACATTATTCTTAAAATAAATTGTTTAATTTAAACTTACTGTAAATTATCTCCAGTGTTGCAGAATAGTTTCTCAAAAGATGCTTTTTCAATTTCGTTAAGTTGTTCAGGAGTAAAGACTCCCGGGTTCTCAAACCAGAACCTTGATTAGAAATGATACTTAAAATACAGGGATTGCAGCAAGATACACAACCCTGTAATATAAAGAAAAAATCGACAAAATTCAAAAATGACGAGTCCATCCTTTTTGTACAGAGCGTCCCACATCATATTAGATTATCTCCAATCATTAACACCTAAATACGCACATTATACTAAAAAAATCTAGCATTTTCTGCAAAAAAAAATCTATTAGCCTTATTAAATTTTTCAAAATGATTCATTCTTCTTAAATTTTCTGATTTGTCCCCCAAATCGTAATTTAGACCCATTGACGCAGTCTAATTTGATGTGGGACACCCTGTAGCTCAGACTAGGGTTTGAAGCGTACCGTTGTATTAGGGAATGCAACTCTAAAATAAAGAAGTCATTTGAGATTACTCCGTGGACCAACATTTAGAGAAGTTCTGGAGAAAGTTTAGTGGTCCCCTTAAGGATTATAAAAATGTTGGTGGTCCCCTAAAGAATCATAAAATATTGATATAAGAGCCAAGAGCCGTAATTGCATGTAATATACTGAGGCCCTTAGATGGAAAGAAGTTGTCCGTTAAAAATATTTTGCTTTTGTTTTTTATGAGGAATTTATTCCTTATCTTTGACCATTTGGTCATTACTGAGGTGGTGGGATGGGGGTCGATGATACATGTGCTCTTACCCCAGTTTAAAAAAAAATTTAAGGCGGAATAGGTGCATTTTACTTTGTAAAAGGGCATTGCCCCACCCCCTTTATCCAAAAATGTACAGGACTGAGTGCAACCAAAATTAATCAATTTTAGTGGAATAAAGAACTGTGGAACACATAAAACAGTGGACAACGTCTTTTAAGACATGATTTAAAACGTACAATGAAAACACAAAAATTGTGTACTGGACAGTGTACACAGTACAAAGTACAAACCCATTTCAAGAATACTTTAAAATTTCCAAATTATGGGTAAAACAATAATTGATCAAATACACTTCAGGTTGTTTAAATGTCGTCTTTAGTTAATTGTATAGGTCTCAACTAAATATAAAATTTTAAAAACTAACCTGTCTCCAGCACGTAGATTTTTGAAAACCTCAGCTGAAAAGCAACTTATTTTCATACATCAAAGAAAAGTAAACTATAATTCTAATCAAAATTGGGTCTCATGGAAAAAAAATATTTCACAGGCAACAGTGCACATCCAGATTTAAATCCTGGATTCATCCTAGAAACAATGAACTTGAATCCTGCTACATATCCTGGATTCAACCTTTAAATATTGGAATTGAATCCTGATCAAGAAACTTTCTTCCAGTTACTAATTTTTTACTATGTTCTTAAATGTTCTTTTTACTCTTTTATTAAATTAATGTAGAAAAAAACATTTTTAAATTTAGGATAAGAATGGTTTTTATGATCTATCATTAGTTCACATTTAAATTTGTGTTTAAAATGAATTTGTGGATAGATCATAATATTTTTGTGAAAGGAACTAAACTGTTGCGTATATGATTAATTTGGATCTTATGCACTGAAAGAAATCAAATTAATATGTTTGCTCATTCCTATAATGCAGGCAAAGGTGGGACCAACCCTCCCTTGGGGCACTGGATCCTGAAAGAAAAAGAAAAAACTAAAAAAAGTTTTGTTTTTATAAAAAGTAGAAAACCAAGATATAAAACAGTATCGCAATAAAATAATATAAATGAAAAACTTAAATATTTCAGGTAGAAACTTTTTTGGCAGATAATTAACATATTTAATTTAATTTTTAGAAACTTCAGAGCAGGGGCGTTTGCCATAGTTCTTGATCTACAACTAATTGAGTTTGAGCTTAACATAATAATCGCCTTATAAGTTTTCACCTAAAGATTAACATCTAGTTCATTAAATCTTATTACCTCTAGAATACCTCCAGCAAATAGATCAACATTATAAATACTTCCATACAATTTCTCCAACTCATTGATTTTCTTCACATCCTGTAATTTAAAAGGGATTGAAGGGGGTATATATTTTTCTCTGCTGAGTTACGGAATTAAACATTTTTGAATGTTAAACATTATACAAATTAATTATAATCTGTATAAAAACTTTTGTTTCCTGATTATTTAATTATTAAAAAATTCTGAAACGTTCAACTTTTGATCATAATATTAGGGAAAACCTTTCAAAACGTTTATACACAAAAATGCATTTTTTAAGTTCTGCAGCGTCACACTTTTTGAAGTTTTAACTTTAAAATAGAGATCCTTCCATTACTACATGCTATTTAATCACAATGGATGATTCAAACGTTAAACTTTCAAGTAGGGTTTCCAGCAAAAAGGAAAACTCACAAAAATTTTGCTCTTATGCGAAAAAAATGTTTCGCGACCATTTTGCCTCATTTTCGATTTTAGTTTGCTCGTTAAAAATGCAAAAATTTTCCCTTTTTCGCCAAATTGTGCTTCGCAATGCGAAAATTTCGTGAAAAAAAAATTCCGAAAATTTTGCGAAAAAATAATGAAAAAATTTGCGAAAAAAATGCAAAAATTTCGCGAAAAAATTCGAAAATTTCATGATAAAAATGGTAATTATGCAAAAAACGAAAATTTTGTAAAAAATAAATGCAAAATTTTAGCGAAAATGCATCAAAAATACTAGGGGACATCAGACAATTCATAGATTTGCTTGAAAATACTTTCTCGACTATTAAGATACTGGGTACATGATACTGGGTACATGATACTGGGTACATGATACTGGGTACATGAAACTGGGTACATGAAACTGGGTACATGATACAGGATACTTGATACAGGATACTGGATCCAGGATACAAGATACTGGAAACAGAACACAGGATACTGGATTGATACTGGATACTGGATACAGGATACAGGATACAGGATACAGGGTACTGGATACAGGATACCGGATACCGGATACCGGATACCGGATCCAGGATACTGGATACAGGATACAGGATACAGGATACAGGATATTGAATGAATACAGGATACAGGATACAGGATACAGGATACAGGATATTGAACTTAATACAGGATACTGGATACAGGATACTGGATACTGGATACTGGATACTGGATACTGGATACAGGATACTGGATACAGGAACCTGGATACTGGATACTGGATACTGGATACAGGATACTGGATACTGGATACTGGATACTGGATACTGGATACTGGATACTGGATACTGGGTACATAATTCTGGGTACAAGATACTGGGTACAGGATACTGGAACATCTTCTTGAATAAGCAATCAAACAAGTACTTATGGAACATATTCTCAAATAAACACTTCTTGGACATATCTCGAAAATTATGAATGAATTTTGATTGTCAATTGAAACATTAATCAATCTAATATTATTTAGAATGCAGAAAATAAGTTAAACTAACTTCATTTTGAGGAGAATTTTTTTTTTATTTTCATCAAAAATTTGCTGAAATGAGTGAAAATTTAAAAAAACGGTGTATTTTCCAGGATATAAATCCGTACAATTTGAAAACAAATCCGTACAATCCGTACAATTTTAGGGTTAAAAAAACAATCCGTACAATCCGTACATTTTGGCCACCCTGATAATTCTAACAACAGAAAAACAACATCATCTTCAGATCATTCGATAATGTTTCGATAAATTTTGTATTTCAGTGAATGAAAAAGCATGAAAACAGATGGGAAAAAATATTTTATAAGGGGGTGGGGAAAAAGACTTCAACAGGATCTGGTAAAAAGAGGGGTGATAAGGAAGAGTGTAGAGGGAGAATTATAAAGAAGACAATAGAGGAGGAATTATGAAGAAAACAGTAGAGTAGGAATTATAATGAAAACAGTTGAGGAGGAATTATAAAGAAAACAGTAGCGGAGGAATTATAAAGAAAACAGTAGAGGAGGAATTATAAAGAAAACAGTAGAGGAGAAATTATAAAGAAAACAGTAGAGGAGTAATTATAAAGAAAACAGTAGAGGAGTAATTATAAAGAAAACAGTAGAGGAGGAATTATAAAGAAAACAGTAGAGGAGGAATTTTAAAGAAAACAGTAGAGGAGTATTCTATAAAGAATAAAATAGAGGGGGAATAATAAAGAATGGAAGAAGAGACAAGAAAATATATGTCTCCTGATTATAATGTTGTAAAGTTTAAGTTATATCCTACCGCTCTCCTGCCTTGATCTTGTTTGCAATCTTGGCAACTATTTCTGCTGGGATAGTGTGGTTACACAGGGTCTAAATAATAACAGTTAACATCACGAATAAGATAACAACTTCTGAAATTTTTTTTAGGAGAAATTGTTTGCTTTAAAATTGTTTTAAATATAAACGAAAAAAAAGTCCAATATATAGGTCGTACTAAGATTAAAAGTCGAGACTTACAGGCATTTTTCATGCATTGATACAAGATGATTTGTCGTTCTGTCTGTTTTATACTTTTTTGGAATAAACTTTCAAGTGTAAGAAAATAAGATTAATAAGTTTTAGCTCTTTAGTAGACAGTTCCCTTAAACCTGGCTGTCACCTGATTATCTTACAGTTCCCTTAAACCTGGCTGTCACCTGATTATCTGACAGTTCCCTTAAACCTGGCTGTCACCTGATTATCTGACAGTTCCCTTAAACCTGGCTGTCACCTGATTATCTGTATCCCACTCGTAAGCTGAACCCATAAAATACTGGTTTTCAATGTAGATAAAATTTTGCGCATTCCTGTAGAACAAATATCATTTATAAAAAATTTACTAATTTTTCCAGCTTTAAAAAAAGGTAAAATCAGAGCTAGTGGCTGGTTACTTTTGTAAACAGAGAAGAATGTTAAGAGGGGATAAAAGTAAAGCTCATTCAAACAAATTTATATTTTCTTGTCAACTCAAAATTTCCGGCTGAAAGAAACTCTAAAAAAGCTGGATATAGTAAATTTTTAAAAAAGAATGAAAAAAATCTTTTTTCCGTTTTAAGATTTTTTAATACTGGACTGCTTAATAATGAAATCAATCTAAATCCTTACCATTATAATATTATTCATAATAAATAATAATTAACAAATAATGAATATTTTCCTGATCATCTGAATATACGCCTGTGTAATACTCTGCTCGATAAACCGACCTAAACAAAACAGATTTTTTTTTTTAGAAAGAATCATAAAAGGAGAAGGTTTTTAAAAACTTAAAAATTACTAAGCATCATTGAAAAGGCTAGGAATTAAATAAAATAATTCAGAAAAAAAGAAAATTTCTTTTTCAATTTATCTTAAGAAAAAAAGTAGGACAAACTTTCGATATGAAAACCTAATTTGATTACGAAAAACAATTTTTAACTTTTTAAGAGATTCACAATTTTATCCTAATAGTAAAAAACATCTAGAAAAGGGTAAACTGAAGCTATAATAAGTGATTCTCCATTTAAAGTAAAATTAACTCAGGTCTACTTTCCTTAAAGAAAGTGTTGGCGAAAAATGAAAGAGGGTATATATAGGCTGTTATAGAATTTATTCCGATGTTTATCGCACTAACTTTACTTCTATCTGTTAAGGGGGATACTTATGCTTGACACGTTTTAATTAATGACTTTTTAAAAGACTAAAAAGTTCCACATAATTAAGAAATTCTAATCTTAAAACGAAATCGTCTTGTGAAAAAAGATTTCTTTTAAAAGGAGAAAATGTTTAAAAACGTCCAACACTCAGGAGCTTAAGAGTCCATACAAATTCACGTAGTTGTATTTTTTCACTCAGATTGTTATTAATTAAACTAAATTTAAAACTACTCATTCAAATATTATAACCTACAATTGTCGAATTCCATTCGATGTATTCGCATATAGTTGATATTACACCCCCTTTAATTTTTCGCGAACACTCCCTTTAAAATACTGCTACCTTTTTTTCTTGAGAGCAGCATTTCATCGTTCATCTTCTTCTGATCGAACACAGCAGAGTCGGAGGTTATAGATCGGAAGAACTGAAAACACAATATTGGATTATTTATATCAATATTCAGTAACGTGTCTCTTTAAGTGTGCTATTGAAGCAACCTTTTTTCTTGCATTTCTGGTTTAAACGGAAGGGAGCTAGCTTAAGCCTGAAATCTCAGATTTCAGGATTGACAGTTATTATAATAATTAAAGAACACATCAAGATTATTTCATCTCGTTTAAGAATTTCCATTATTACATTTTTTTCCTCATAAGATTATCATATTATAAAACAAGAAATTCGGATATGTTCCGTCTGGCCGGCCAAACGGCTGGACCTAATGGACTGACATTTTTTGTGGACATTCATGGGTAGCCCGGGGTTGACATATGTTAAAAGAATCAAATTTTTTTCTTACAATTTTTTTTTGATTATTTTCTTAAACTTTTTTTAACGAGCCCTTCAGCTAGTTATTGAAAAAATTTAAGCCAGATCTGAAGCACAAGATCCCATGAGAGTTTTAAAGCTTAAACCCGAGTAAAAACCGGTTTAACGTCTACTAAGACCTAAGTAATGCTCAAGTCAAGCCTCGGGTTTCAGATGGCCTTGGGTTCAGTAAAAATTAACTGCTTTTGGGGTTTTCGCTCTTAAAAGCTCGGATCTTCAACTGCCGACGATCGTAAATTTCGTAAAAGCTATTATTTTTGTACATTAAATCTTGGGAAATTTAATCAAAGGTTTGATATAAGCATACTTTGAATAATGAACATAATGTATCTTTGAAAGTTCGAATTTTCGTTTATGAGTGTTCAATCAATAAACCTGTCAAGATACAAGTCAATATTTTGTTTTCAAGTAAAGTTGCAGCGGTTTCTAGGAGATGTATTATCAAACTCTAAGCTGCTCACTGCACCAGTGCACGGGCACAATTTAGTTTTCAATCCATGCATAAGCTGCAGTACAGTTGTTTTGAAAATAAAGCTATTCCTAACCTGGACATTCCATTCTCTATCAGGGCTGGACACTGGGCTCACTGCTACAGGGTTCAAACTCCTAAATATTAAATTAAATATATTTACTTTGAAATAAAAACCTCCAGAGAACATTAAAGGGACTGTGAGCGTATTTTCAAGTGATTTTTCATACTTCGAGTGGCATGTTCAATTCCCAAAAACAGTATCCAACGGCACAATTCTGCTTTAGAAACAATGGAAGAAATTGTCAAAAGTGAACACGCAAGAAAAACGACAATATTCTCCATTTTATTAATCATATAAGGGTTTAAAGGGTATCGTAATAGAGCATGGTCAATGTCGCTTAAAAGCAGCTTACATACGTGAAGGGAACGACATTTTGTAAACGTCGTTTTAATCAATACATCATCAAACCATATTTCCGACAAAATTCCTAGTTCTTTTATTTTTGAATATAAAAATTTGTATAGAAGTCTTCATTGAAATTTAACGCTATAAATCTAAAAAGCCTAATACAAAAGACAACTGCAGCAAGAGGGATTAGATGTCAAAATAAAAATGGCGACTGAAAGGGAATGTAAGCGTAACTTCGAGTGACCCTTTATGCGATTCACAATGGTACTCTTAAAACCTTTATCACAACTAAAAATTATCAGTGTTCAATATTATATACGTTATTTTTTCTACTTCATACTTGATCAGACAACGCTTTTAAGGACACTACTGTGAATCGGGCATTTCCATCTATGCATCGAGGGTCACTTGACAATATGCTTACAGTCCCTTTAATAAAAAATGATTGAATGTTAAGCTTGAAAATCCTACCTCATCATTTTATCATCAATGTACGGAGTTCCTGTGCCCGGTCCTTGCTTCTCCCATCGTTCAATAAAGTTCTCTAAAACATCGCGGGCAACAGGACCTTCAACCTACAGTATTATTATTATCAGCGTTATTATTCAAATATTTTTAGAAAAAGGTTTAAGCAAATATTTTATCATTCGAATACTAAAAAACTGTGTTATTTAAAACATTTAATTCTAGAATTAAAAACAAATCAAATGTTATAAAAATATTCATCTTTCACTAAAATAATTGTAAAAATGTTACTCATACACATTACAATCAAACTACTGACCTTGCAATGAAAATACTAACCTTACAATAAAACTACTAACCTTAAAATGAAACTACTGGCCTTACAATGAAACTACTGACCTTACAATAAAATGTTGACCTTACAATAAAAATACTGACCTTACAATAAAACAACTGACCTTACAATAAAACTACTGACCTTACAATAAAACAACTGACCTTACAATAAAACAACTGACCTTACAATAAAACAACTGACCTTACAATAAAACTACTGGCCTTACAATGAAACTACTGACCTTACAATAAAACAACTGACCTTACAATAAAACAACTGACCTTACAATAAAACTACTGACATTCTAATGATTTTGCAATGAAGCTATTGACCTTAAGATGAAATTGCTGACATTAAAATGAGACGACTGTCATTACAATGAAACTACTTAACTTACAATGAAATAACCGACCTTACAATGAAACTACTGACATTAAACATTAACTAATAACTTTACAATGAAAAAACTGACATTACAAAGAATTTTTCACCTTACAATCAAATCAAAATACTAGCTTTAAATAAAACTACTGACCTTACAATGAATATCATGCCAGGGTTCCCTAGGCCCAGTATGAGGAGGAGTCCCTTTGGCATTAGAGTTTCTATATTAAACAATTGTTCAAAAAAGAGATAAATTGAATAAGCATTTACCTTAAAACGGAGACGAGACAGTGTCCCGAATAAAATATGAAAATTGATTAAGACTTTAAATCTACTAATTAAGGGACATGGTATTCATGATTTTTAAGCCAAGAAATAAACGTATCTTTATTTTAGGCTGAATCCAAATTTGAATTATTTTCCTGAAGTCTCCGTCATGATCTGTCTTGAGAGTAGAGAAGAGAGGATGGTATGGGGTATCATATCTTCCACCTACAATCAGTATTATAAAAAGTTCAGTTCAGTACAGTACAGTACAGTACAGTACACTACAGTACACTACACTACAGTACACTACAGCACACTACAGTACAGTACAATACAGTACCGTACAGTACACTACAGTACACTACAGTACACTACAGTACACTACAGTACACTACAGTACACTACAGTACACTACAGTACACTACAGTACACTACACTACAGTACAGTACAGTACAGTACAGTACAGTACAGTACCGTACAGTACACTACAACACACTACAGTACACTACAGTACACTATAGTACACTACAGTACACTACAGTACACTACAGTACACTACAGTACAGTACAGTACAGTACAGTACAGTACAGTACAGTACAGTACAGTACAGGACAGTACAGAACAGAACAGTACAGTACAGTACAGTACAGTCAGTACAGTACAGTACAGTACAGTACAGTACAGTACAGTAAAGAAAAGTACGGTACAGTATAGTACACTTTGTTTTGATGTAAGAGTGTACAGTAGAGAATTAGAAAAAAGAAAATTTAACAATACTTATACGATGTATTACCTGATATTGTTATGTACAGTAAAATATACGGTACAGTTATAGTATCATGAACCTTGAGTTCTTGAGACTATAAATCGCTCGTAAAATGTCAGGTTCAGTTTATCAAAGAACTATACTAAAAGTTTACAGTACAGTACAGTACAGAACGTTTCAGTATAGTACAGTACAGTACACCGCCACACCGTACAAAGTAAATAAACAGAAATGGGGCGGTCTGGAACCTATTTAAGTCATTATGTTATTTAGCTAAATAATTTTATTTTATTCTGTCTAGTATGTGGTGTGTAATTTGAAACAGTACATTAAAAAGCCACCAACCTGTTAAATCAAGGCCTCCAACGTAAGCAATCAGCTTTCTTCGTCCATCAGGCTGAAAACTACATTCCTCGTCCAAAATCACTAAAATTTAAATATTTTTAAAATTCATCTTATTTCTAATTCTTGTTTTAGAGGGAGGAAGGTCTACTAATGGTATGTTGTGTACAGTTTGCATTGTCCAATAAAATAAAAATTTAAATTCCGCTATTTATCCTAGAATCCCAACTGTTCACTCGTTTATTCCTCTTCTTTGGAATCTGTGTCTACAATTTATAGTTTAATATTAAAGAATCTTCCTTGAAAAGCCTTCTTCTATATATAAAAATAAAGAAAACTTTGACTAAAAAATGTTGACCCGCACACGCCATGGAACTATGTTGTATATATATTTAGTATTTATGAAGAGATATGCATACATTAAAAATTAAACCTGATTTTTGATGGTGAGTGTACATAGATGAACTGAACTGGTTCTGTAGACTGTCTGTTAGCTCCTAAAAGTAAGTTAATGCATAGCTGTTAAAAAAACCTGTTTGTTTGAGTTTTTCGAGTGCACACTGAAATCAGTCAAGTCTCAAATTTTCCGCATTACATTATAAAAAGTGAATAAAAAAATTTGGATTATCCTACCAAGTATTCAAAGTAAATATTTTTATTTGCAACCCCCACATCTTAGATCTTAAATGACGACTGAAAGATTAAAAAAAAATAGTTTCTTTAAAGTATATTTAATGAAAAGCTCCCGAAGTTTATGACTGAAGTAAACCCTGAATGTAAACCCTGACCTGAATGTAAGAATAAATTTCGCTGAATCGGTTTAAAGTCGATTATTCTTAGTGAACATTGGTAAAACATTGGTTAAACAGTGGTTAAGCAGTGTACTTGTACTTTTACGTGTACTTGTACTTGTACTTGTACTTGTACTTGTACTTGTACTTGTACTTGTACTTGTACTTGTACTTGTACTTGTACTTGTACTTGTACTTGTACTTGTACTTGTACTTGTACTTGTACTTGTACTTGTACTTGTACTTGTACTTGTACTTGTACTTGTACTTGTACTTGTACTTGTACTTGTACTTGTACTTGTACTTGTACTTGTACTTGTACTTGTACTTGTACTTGTACTTGTACTTGTACTTGTACTTGTACTTGTACTTGTACTTGTACTTGTACTTGTACTTGTACTTGTACTTGTACTTGTACTTGTACTTGTACTTGTACTTGTACTTGTACTTGTACTTGTANTTTTTTGTCCATTTAAACTATTTTTTTGTTCATTTGAACCAATTTTTTTGTCCATTTGAACTATTTTTATGTTCATTTGAACTATTTTTTTGTTCATTTGAACTATTTTTTTATTCATTTGAACTATTTTTTGTTCATTTGAACTATTTTTTTGCCCATTTAAACTATTTTTTTGTTCATTTGAACTATTTTATTGCTCATTTGAGCTATTTTTTTGTCCATTTGAACTATTTTTTTTTTCATTTGAACTATTTTTATGTTCATTTGAACTATTTTTATGTTCATTTGAACTATTTTTTGTTTATTTCATTAATAATATTTTAATAGTTCAAATGAAAATAGTTCTAATTAAACTGAAAAATAGTTCAAATGAGCAATATATTTACTCGTTTGAACTATTGTTCATTTCAACTACTCACGTGGTCCCACGTGCAGTAGTTGAAATGAACAATAGTTCAAATGAACAATAGTTCAAACGGCAGTAGTTCAAATGAGATAGCACCTAGAATATACTGCCAAGTTCCTGCGTTTAATGGTCCAGAACAGATTATATAAAGATTAAAGATATAAAAGGATTTTCGTCCAGCATAAAAACAAGATTAGATGACAATACAAACAGTTATTCCATTAGTTTTTACTCAATTTGATAATGTTTTGAGGTTTCTATCGCTAAATAGATTCATTTATCATTGGGGAAAGGTTTGAAAAAAGAATAGAAAGTCTGCAAGTTTCGGCGTATTTTTGATTTTTTTTTCTCGCATAAATAACTTTTTCCTGAAAGTTTCAAAATAATAACAACAAAATAACATTACAGAGAGGAAACACTGGATCTAAAGTTTATATTGTGTAGTATTTGGTAAAAATTTAAAAACATTAAAAATTCTAATAAGTATTCAGTTTAATTCTAAGTTTACACGGTTCAAAAATTATTTAAGAATGGAGTTAGAACTTTTCAACATTAGAGGAATACATAATTATGAAACAACACTGATATCGTTTAAATTTAAGCATGAGCGAAAAATAAAGGTATGTTCTGTAACCAAGAACCAAATTTTATAAATAGCTTGAAGTAGATTAACTGTGTAGATTAAGTTTACCCACATTAGTTGTGAGTAGGGTTTCCAGAGAAAAGAAAAATAGTTTTTAAAAAATTTCGCATTTTTCGTTATTTTTTTTATTCGCTTTATTTTCGCCTTTCTTTCGCTCGCGAAAAATGCCAAAATTTTCGTTTTCTTTCCACGAAGTTTCGCTTCAATCTGTTCCGCGAACAAATTTGCTAAAACTCATAAAAAAGACTAAATTATGAGTATACAAGACTGAGACTCATTATCATAGCCCAATTGATGGATTAACACAAAATATAAATATGAATTTAAAAACAACTAGGAGATATCAAACATTTCGTGAAATTTCGCTTCGTTTTCGCTTTATTTATTTTCGCGAAAAAGTTTGCAAAATGTGACCAAACATGTTTGCATTTTTTCGCGAAACGTTCGTTTGCTGGAAACCCTAGTTGTGAGCTGGTTCATGTTCAAGAGAAGCGGTTCAACTTGCTCTATTATTTTGACTAAAACAAATGTTTAGCAGTTTTTTAAACATTTGCTTAATACTTACACTTTGTCAAATTTAAAATATGCAAAAAACAGTTTCCGGATAATTTGATCTCTATGATGAAAGTTAATGACTAGAGAGAATTAGCTCAACTTGCTGCAGATGGTCCGATAAATAAATCAAATGAGAATGAAGTCAAATGTTTACTAACCTTAGTGTCCAATTCTCTAGGAGTTAGAGCACAGATGACCTAAAAATATATTTAGGAAATTGTAATTAAGATCAATTTTAACAAAAAAAGGACATCTTTTGGATAAACTGTAGAACGAGAGCACTGTTAGCAAGCAATAAATGTTTATATTTATTTATTTTGTTTAGTTTTAATGTTGGTTCAGAGGAAATTAAAGAAAAACAAACACCGGAAAACTAAAAAAAAAACTTTTCGAATATGTACAATATATCTGTAACTATTATTACTATATATTACTGGAACTACAGTGATGACCAGAAAATTCTGGAATAGGAATTCGACTTTTAAACTCAAGTTATGACTTCATGAGGCACAGTGCACAGTGCAGTGTAAGTGACTAAATAACTTTTTAGTACAGCTTTTTGCTTTGTAATGCACTTCAGTATTACTTTAATATCATCTTCCCATTCTACAGCTTTCTGGTTATTACTGTATGAGTTAAGAAAATAAAGTTAAGAAGTTAAGAAAAAAATCAAAAATAGTAAATGAAACATTACAAAGTACGTCTTTAGTAAAACACAGGTGCATTGCAGAGGAAACATGATGAAATATTACGTATAATGCCACGTATTATTCTTCCATATTTACGCAACATTATTTATCATCAGTTTTACAACATTTCTTTGCGTGCAGATTATTCATCAAGATTTTGAGCGTTTTTATTTTTATTTAAGTTTAAAAATACCTTATTTTGGGTTTGGTAGTTTTTAGGATCCTTAAAGAATTTGTAGGTTTCCATATCATGGGTTCCCATCATACCTAACAAACAATTTAAAAAACTCTTGTTGTGATTTTTTTCTTTTTCTCTTTCAAAGACGTTTTTCAGCTAGGTATGTCACGGTTGCATTTGCAAAACAAGCCATTTTTATTATAAAAAATATACTAGTTTTAGTATAATTAAGCTATTCGCTCTATTTAACAATTGAGAACTGAAAAAGGTGAAAAATTTAATTTTGAATTTTTGGACGAAAAGTCTGTACATCATTATAGTAATTTCAATATTGCAGATTGGTTAATAAGAATGAATTGACGGTTAAAAAGTATAAATTTTATGAACACTGTGCTTTTTTACTGGCAAATTATTTGAATTGAAAATAATAATAACAATAACTTGCTATCAATTAGTTCGTGTAAATTAAGGCCAATCAGAGAAAACGAAACTACAGCGATCTGCGTTTATATCAATAAAATGAAGACGACTTTTCTATTTAGATATAATTGACAGTTTCTCGATGTATGCATTTTCATGTTTTGTCCAAGCTGTTTAAAAGCATATTATAAATCAATATCGAAAGTCGTCTTCATTGTACAAACGACAACGAGTGTCAGATTTTTAAAAAACCGATTAGATTTCTATTACCTTCATCGCCGAAAATATCCCCGCTGGATTTCTCACTCCAGATCATTACTCGGACCTGCAAACACAAGAACTTTTAAATGATTATATAAGTTAATCTTTATAAAAGGAGATTAACCAAACTCTCGTGAGATTTTACCCAAAAAATGACCTTTCTGTGAAAAAATGAAGAATAAGAGAAATTCTTAAGAAAAACTTGGACTTCAATTCAAACTTCAATTCCTACATCTTTGCAACCGAATGGTGAAAACTTTTGACATTTCAAACTCTGACTTCTAATAAACCTAGCAAAATTCACGGTTTGAAAAACAAGTCTACAGCGTCAGGTTGCAACGATGTAAGGATTAGAGAATTTAAAATTCAGGCAGTTTCTTTTGTTTGTTTGTTTAAAGTCCCTAAATTTATCAAATTGTCGTGAAACTGCGAAAAGTCCCCTTGTATCCAAGTTATATTAAACAGTCTTTTGAATTTTCAAAATTTATTGTAAAAAATCATCAAAATTCTCAAAAAATCACAAAAATCTGAATATTTTTTGTTTAAACCTAAACAAACCTTCCCAAAATTTGTCCAAATTTGGCATCAAATATCTAAAAAACCAACCTGAACTCCTTCGTCGGCTTTTTCACATAGTAGTCTGCCAAGGGTATCCCCGTATATATTCAAGGCATCTTCACCTCTGTACATTTATTAATATTATTATTTATTATGATCTGGGGCAGAATTTAATGAATTTGCGCTAGATCGCTAAACTACCTTCTGTCGGTTCATTTTTGAATCAGTAAATTAAAAAGATTTCATTAACTGATTTAAGATTTGAACCGGTCGTATGTAGTTCAGATACTTCTTCAATTCATTAAATTTGGTCCTTATACATCTTGGTTTCACATTTTATACTTATGTTTTACTGTATTTCTGCTAGAAAACTGTATTTAGACCTTAGAATTTAATTTTCATCTAATCCGCTTTTTCAGAAAAAAAAAATAATTGGAACGGAATAAAAAAATAACTATAATTATTTTTAAGTTAAATATTTATCATACAAACATCTTGTTAAATGGCCGAAAAAACGAGGAAGCCTGGTTTCTAAGAGAATATGTTGCTTGAATTGAACTTTGAATTTAAAAAAAAAATATATAATTGTAAATTCAAAAGTAAGCTGGGATAAACGTTTTGAAAAAATATAATTGTTAATTCAAAAGTAAGCTGGTATAAACGTTTTGAAAAAAGTACAATTATAAAATCAAAAGTAAGCTGGGATAAACGTTTTGAAAAAAGTATAATTGTAAAATCAAAAGTAAGCTGGGATAAACGTTTTCAAAAAACACTGACAAATAAATTTTATAACAAGAAAGGGAAAGGCTGAATAAATATTTGTAACTAAAAAAGGAAAATAACAGAATAGTTTTTTCAATATTCGTGACAGAAACAATCTCAAGAACTGACGAGGGTCAACCCAGACCGAAATATATTTTCAATAAATGTGGAACTAACATCTACTTTTTTTACTCTACAGAGGTTTGGTCCATCACCATCACCGAATTTTAGAATAGTTTTTAAAAACAGATGTGACCTTATTTATCCAAAACATACTCATGTTATTTAAATAAAGATGTTATGTTACATGAATGAAGGGAAAAAGCAGTGTTTTAATCATTTTAAAAATAATAGTAATTTTAATTGAGCTAAGACTTAGCTGTAATGACTTAATCTAATATCTAAAAAAAACTTTTAAATTCAAGGGATTACTTAATTTCTTGAAAATGAAGACTTCACAATGTTTTCATTAAACGAATCAGGACAAATTAAGAGTTCATCGACGAATAACCTTAATCCGATAAAACACAAGAGAAAATGTTTATTGTTTAAGGATTAACCAATCAGAGTTAATCCTTTCTGATCCAACTGACCTGCCTCCTGCTATAAAATTTGCATTCTAAGGCGATAAAATCCACCAATTTTCAACACATATCTGCCGATAAATACCAGTATTTTGACCCCCTGACCTTGCAATCTGATCTATTTAAACCGACAGAAACTACTTGTTTAATGACCGAGGAAACGAGAAAGCCTGGTTTTCCAAGAGAACATGTTACCTGAACAACTTAAGCTTTGTCCAGACTGCCCACCCAGTTATACATATTAGATGCTGTGCCCCTGAACAAAACAAATATTTACTTTAACTACGGTATGCTTTAGATAAAGAATAAGTAGTTACAAGAAATTATATAAGATGTTGAACAAAAACAAGTCGTTATTACACTATAAGTAGGCACTAGTACAATTAAACCCTAAATAAGCCATACATCGAAAGAATTTATTAAATGTCGTATTCTTCACTTTCTGATAATGAAATGTTGCAGATATTTGGTTTTTTAATTAAAGGATTACATGGAGCTCTTTAAAACTGTTCCCGCATATTCATGGCTATTTTTTTATTTTTGCAAATACTAAGATTTACGTAAAATAGTATAACCCCATCGAAAAAATGTCAAGACGACATTTGAATAATTCTTTCGATGTATGTACTTGTAATGTTAGAACTTCACTGATGAACTATAATATCAAATACAGGATTTAAGATTTGTTATAACATCATTAATCAGTGATAAATTGGTTAATTTGCAGTTTATGTAATAAAGTAAACAGCAAATAAAATAATTAGACCAATTCTCTCTTGTTTTTCTATCTTAATCTAAACTTTAAAGAATAAGTATTTCAGCAGAATTTTCGTTAAAAAGTAAATGCAGTTCTAAGAACTAAAGTTGTCCCTTTTGTTTATATTTAATTATCTCTCTACTTTCAGTTTAAAAAAACTAGTATAAACTTGATAGAACAAGTATTCAAATACAAAAATACCTAAAATTACTTAAAATGATCTCGATGAATCATATATTTTGATGAGTTAAGAATACGGATCAAAATCTGAGCCAACACAAATGAAACATATACGCTTTATGATTTTAGAAATCCACCAAACAATAGAAAATGATTTAACGTCATCAGATATGTTAATAAAAAAGTTTTAAAGGGACAATAAGCGAAATTTCAAGTGACCCTGCATTAGAATTTCCTATTAATATACTGTACAAGCTTTGACTGATCACGTTTGAATAAGATATCCATATTTTAAAAAAAACCGACGTTCTCTTCTAAATTATTAGTCAGATAAGAGCTGGGAACTTTTGAATGGTGGATATCGGGATTAATGTTTGATCCACTCTTTTTCTTAATCTCGAGATTAAACAATGCTTGTTCCCCTCTTGTTTTTAATCTCCAGATTAATTTACTGATCGGGATTAAGAATATCCCATTATAAAGTGTTCAGCTAAGGGCTTTAAGGGAACTGTTATGAATCTGGAATGTTCCAGGTTCCTCTTTAAACCTCGAGAGTCGCTTAAAATCACGACGATATTCCATTTCAGGAATGTTTGGATTAGTTTGATCCTTCATTCTTGTTTTAAAAGCGCGGATCTAGGATCCGGATTCCGAATCCACAAAAAAGTCCAAATTTTGAAGTTTTACTTTGAAAAATTCAAATATATCAATTTCATTGCAGGTGCAAATTTGCTAGTGCAAAATAAATCCTTATGACGTAAAAAATATTTCAGTTGAATGGTAACTATTGATCCTAAGTTTATTGAGTACATAGAGCTTGGAACTTTTGTGTTAGGTATGCATAATCCCGATGGCTTGATCTGTATATCCACTGCGGGCACTTAGACTTTTATTTTGAGAATTTGTAAAAAAAATATCTTTCCACAACATCATGTCATATATTCCTACCCTGATCTAAGCTCCCCTCAAACCCTGACTGGGTACAGTTATCATGCGGATTATCAAATAAAGATTAAATTAATCTGCAGACTAAGTAAAGATCGATATCAAGCATTGATCTTGATATCCACAATACAAGAGTTTTCAGCTAAGTAAAAATTATTCTTTGTAAATTCCAAAAGGAATCTATTTTTACACGTTATCTCTTTGTATACAGTGTAATGATAAATGAATATATTTCTAATTAATGAGTCTATTAGTTTACCTCTAATGGAATAATATAAATCCATCCAGCAAGATCTATTCTCAGGAGGAATACTAGGGGGCCCTTGGACCTAAAACAAGAAATTAAACTAGGGGTCCCTTGGACCTAAAACAAGAAATTAAACTAGTGGTCCCTTGGACTGAAAACAAGAAATTAAACTAGGTGTCCCTTGGACCTAAAACAAAAAATTAAACAAGGGGGCCATTGGACCTAAAACAAGAAATTAAACTAGGGGTCCCGTGGACCTAAAACAAGAAATTACACTAGGGGTCCCGTGGACCTAAAACAAGAAATTAAACTAGGTGTCCCTTGGACCTAAAACAAGAAATTAAACTAGGGGTACCGTGGACCTAAAACAAGAAATTAAACTAGGGGTCCCTTGGACCTAAAACATGAAAGAATATTTGGGGGCCCTCACACATTTAACAAGAAATTAAAGTAAGAGTCCCTTGGACCTAAAAAAAAAATTTATACATGGGGGCCTTAGACCAAAAACAAGAAATTATGCAAGAGATCTTTAGACCTAAATCAAGAAATTATGCTAGGAACCCTTAGACATAAAACAAGAATTTATACTTGTTTCCCTTTGACCAAAAACGCGAATTTATACCTAGATCTCTTGGGTCTAAATTTATAACTAATGTTAATGGACCTTTCCAACTTGGGGGCCCGTGGCCCTAAAAAAAACTCAAACTTAGGGCCCTTGGACCACTGCCTGTGAGATTAGGAGAATCAAGATGAATATGGAACTTCCACTTACCATATTAAGCCAGGGTATATCATGGGTACAGTGAGCATCCTGGTACAAAGTAACCTTACATCCACGGTGCATTGGGAAGTAGCTCGTCACCTTAATCAATCAATCAATCAATCAATTAATCAAATTATTTGAAGACGGCGTTTATTGTGGTGCTTTAATTGTGGTGATGGTTGGCCAGTTGCAGTATTCAAATTTCTTCTTTTAAAATATGGTTAAAAGATCAACAAATGTTCTGTACTAATAATTCAGAATTTGTTGACGAAATTTTCGTATATACAAGTAAATTAATTGCTTACTTCATTAATGGAACACTTATTTAATTAATTAAAAGCGTTTACAAAATCCATTTAAGAAAATATATTAGGGAAAACCAGAGAGTATTAAGAATTATGGAATTTGCAAAAATAAAATTAGAATTTTTTCTAAAACTTTTTTTTTTAATGACAAATTGATGAAGACGCACACTAGAAGCAGAGGCGTTGTGGGGGGGGGGGGTACCCCTGTGCACCCCTTAGGTCCTCTAGAGCCAGAGGTAGGCTCTAATATATTAAACTTACATATATACTCAGATTTTTTTCTTTTCTTATAAATTGACAATGTCACAATTTGTCCATTTTATGATAATTTCTCAAACTCTTTCTTGTACCCTACTCTTATTTACAATATTTTTTTCCCGGGGTTTCATTTAAAATCCATTTCAGTCACTCAGAGCAAGGTGATTGACGCAGAGTTTTGTTAAGCTTTAAATAATACTGTCTCTAGTGTAATCTAGTCATAATATGATTGAAATTGATATGATTTATGAAAAATGATACAAAAAATAATAAAATATATTTTTAAATTTTTTTTTTGCTCTTTACTACTAGATTTTATAATGGTATGATTGGTAATTATGGTCAGATCACTAATAATCAGGTATAGATTTTAAGCTTAATTTTTTTTTCTTAATACAGTTTTATAGGGGGGTGCACATTAACCGTTAGGGGGGGTGCACAAAAAAAATTTCGGCGCGCTTCAAAAGGATTAAAAAGGGGTATGCTCGATTAACAGCTGTAATCAATAATGTTAAAAATAAAATCATTTTTTGAATTTGAAAAGTGAAAAATTCTGATACCGCACTTATCAAGTATCATGATATGATAGGACTTTAAAAAACTGACTACTACAAAAAAGTTCTGAAACAAAGGCATAAGAAGTATAATGAAACAAATTAATCTTGCAAAACAATAATGTTTATAAGATCCAGGAGCATTTATCGAAAAATAATTAGTTTTCACAAACTGTAATTTATCAAAATTTGATCAAGAAATTTTAATTTTTTAATTTAACAATTTTTAAACTAAATGTTTTTAAGTTTAAAAAATGTGAAAAAGTCAATATTTATCTTCTGTTTTGTAAAAAATAAATTAAAACTTGTTCATTTATAAAGTTTGATGAGTTTTCAGTATATTACGAACATAAAACAATTTTATATTCTAGTAAAATTCAAGGAGTGTCGAACATGACGCATTTACAAGGAACAAAAATAAAAAACATATTTTTTTAAAACCTCTAGAATCATTAATTCTGTCGTGTAACGTCGTGGGGGGGGGGGGACAAAGAGAGAAGATTAAACTATTTTTTTTTTATCTAGAAATCTGTTAACATATTCTTTTTTATGATTTTTAGAATTCTGTTAACATTCTTTTTTTATGATTTCTAGAATTCTGTTAACATTCTTTTTTATGATTTCTAGAAATTCTGTTAACATTCTTTTTTATGATTTCTAGAAATTCTGTTAACATTCTTTTTTATGATTTCTAGAATTCTGTTAACATTCTTTTGAAGGATTTCTAGAATTCTGTTAACATTCTTTTGTATGATTACTAGAAATTATGTTAATATTCTTTTTTATAATTTTTAGAAATTATGTTAAAAATGATTTCAATTTCAGACAAAAGCAAAAGTTCTTTAGGCATCAATCTAAGAAAACGGCTTAAGGGATCTTCTGTTTTTGGAGGACTAATCTCTTTCAGTAATTGACTAAATGTTGTGTTAAGAATTGGACTATTAATAAAAAAGTTTTGTTTACTTTTTCTTATCAAGTCTCTTGTGGATTCATTGCGATTTATTATTGGCTAATGTACTCCTGCACAAGGATATTTATGATGTTTTTAGGGAAATAGAAAAAGGAAAACATACTAAAGTAGCTTGAAGCCTTTTGTTATTAAGTATACAAAATAAATATAGGCCGGCTTCTACATATGTGAAGTAGAAAGCTTTGTTTGTATGTCCGGACAAAATTCTGAGACTCCTGGACCGATTTGCCTCAATTTTTAATTGGTGAACTGAGTAGAATCACGGGTCTCAGCTTGGTTTATAAACTCTAAATTGAGTGTTTCTGCTTTTACAGGGACAACACCTTGCAAAGCTGGGTTCCCCAGCTTGCATAATATAACTTGGTATAGTTGCCAAATAATATTTGAGAAATCTTTTTCTTTTCAATAATTCAACAAAAACAATATTAACATATACTAAATACATACATTCATTTTTATCTCTTATCTTTCGTTATGGAAGTTTCATATTCAGCTAAATTTATTTTATAGCTAAATTATTTTCCAAAAACATCATTCCCCTTCTTTTGAACATCATTTTTTCCTCAAATTTTTTTTTTAAAAGTATCAAAAAGAATAAAAATTACATGCCTGTTGATGTCCAGTTATTCATCTTCCCCCCCCCCCCAAAAAAAAAAATCATCAAAAATCATTTTCCCCTAAATTGTGAAAAATATACACCCCTGTTTTGTTGTAAGTTGAGGGGGCCATTAATCATTCTTACTGCGGGAGCAGCCAACATTTGTGTCACTCAAGTTTTGTAATTATATGCTTACTTACTAGATCATGTACCCAGAGCCAGTGTACGGTTAAGTTTTGTACCATGATTTGAAAAATAATGCATAAAAATCGTCGTTTGTCTATCTACAAAAGTTTTCCTTATCTTTTCTGCAACATAAATCCGCAGATGATGGCTTTTAGAGAATATTTTCAATTTACATACAGAAAAACGAGTTGCTCCACACCCCATTGCTTATGCTCAAAGGGACCAGTACCTCATAAATCGAGTATGTAATTCTTTCATTGAAGGCCTCCTTTAAAATTATGTTGACAGTCCCTTTAATTGCAGATCGGTAGCGTTGTTTTAAGGGTTATTGTCGAGTCATTTTCATTTGAATTGGTGTATATAAAAGCCAACAGGGGTGTATATTTTTAAATTACCCAGAAGAGGGGTTGAATAATTTTGATAATTAGGGGGGGAGAATGAAAAATAGACATGAAAAATAAAGTTTTTTCATCATTTTTGATTCTTTTCCCCCAACATTTCATCATTTCAAGTAAAAATCATTTATTTTTACCAATTCAACGAATAAAACTTCATACGGGAAAAAATGATTTTAGGGGGGGGGTAATTTTTCAAGAAAATAAACACCCATGAAGCTAAAATCTAAAACGTGACATCTAGAACTAAAACATGCAATAAAATTGCAATAAAACTCAAGTGAATCCAAAACTAATGTGATTTACAACAGTTTTAGAACGTGTATGCCCTTAATCCTCTGGCTAGGTCAATACACAACTTTTTAGGATTTTTTTTACAAATGCCATTGGGGCTGAACCATATTCATTCTTTGGAAAATCATGTGTGTCCCCACATAATGGAAAAACAATTTTCAGTGAAAACGAAAAACATGGCACACCCTTACCCCCCTCCACTCAACATCTCATCAATTTAATTGTACTAAACCTAAAATCTTTGGAGCCTCATGAAGACTTTTGATATTTTAAACGATTAAATAGGCCAGAACAAAAATCTAAGTTTGAACTACCAAAGATAGAAAGTAAAAAGTTTGAGTCAAGTACTCAGCTCTTTTAATCATTGACAAAGCAGGTTGAAAGAGAGCGGGGGCAGTGAGTGTATTAAAAGTTCCTATTCCTATAAACTCTTTATTTTCTGTCAAGTTGTGTGAAAGTTAAATCTGTGAAAAGAGAAAAGTATCTCTTCTCTTGACGGACACTATCTTTCACCCCAGACTAAAGGATTGAAGTAACAAACAAAGGCTAACTCTGAAATACTTCCTTCAAAGCAGAAATCACTTCAATTTGATTCAGACTTTAACGGATAGTCTTACAGTAAGTGAAATAAAGGGATGGTTCATGAGTTTTCAGTTGAGTAAAGAAAAACCTAAGATAAAGGTTTTGTAAATAATTTTCCAAAAATATATAAGATTAGGTCATTTCTACGGCAAGAAGTAATAAATTTTGTTGATTTCTCCATTGTTTCTAAAGCAAGAAGTACGCAATGTATCACTTATGTAAAGAAAATAATGAGTTTTCAGATACAAAAACATGAATCTATATATAAATTTGTCTAATCTGTCTGGGTGTCTGTTTGTTTGTCTGTTTGTTTGTTTGTATCCAATAAACGTCAAAACGGCTGAACCGATCGGGCCCAAATTTTTTGTGGGGCCTCACGGAGCCCCAGGGAAGGTTTATGTATGATCAAAATTTCAAATATTTGTCTCCATCAAAATTCGATCTTCATTAATTTTTGAAAATTTTGAGTATCCACGAAATTTTTTGTGAAAATCCGCAAACTATAAGGCTAGTCTATATATAAATTTAGCTTGTCTGTTTGGGTGTCTGGGTGTTTGTTTGTTTGTATCCAATAAACGTCATAACGGCTGAACCGATCAGGCCCAAATTTTTTGTGGGACATCACGTGACCACAGAGAAGGTTTATGAATGATAAAAATTTTAAAAAATGTGTTTTAAAGGTTTTTGATTTTGTAAAAAAAAATTTAAATTCTTGAAAATCCGCATTTTTTTTTAAATTTTTTAAATGTAAACAAAATAAACATGTTCACAATTTAAATAGAAGATGGGCACGAAGCGCCCTAAAAGCCTAGTAATTAATACTCTATCAAACAAAGCTTCTCAGTAACCGTTGTGAATCGACGATGCCACTCTATTGATGAAAGTTCAATTGATAATACGTTTAAAGTCTATACAACCGTTTAATCAATGTGTGTGAGAACTCTTTTATACTAAATCATATTCTTAGATCCGATTCAACATGGTATTTTCTAAAGTGTTTACCTCTGAAGTTTCCGCAACATCCGACATAGAAACATACTGAACAAAAAGCTCGAGCTGCCCATTCTCCTAAAATATCAATATATTCAAGCTTCATGTCATGTTAAAGGTTATACATGAAAAATTACGACATAAAGATATTTTTGAGGGGTAAAGGGTGGATTTGGGGCCACATGACCAAACCTATCTATGTTAGTAAAACAAAATAAGCCAAATTCAGTTTTAAAAAATGATCAAATTTTTTTAAAAATAATTTACAATACCATTACAATACAATATAAGTTGACAGACAGCGAAAAATAAAACATTGTAGTTATTTTCTAGAGTAAGAAGGCACAAAATAAAAGGGTGCAAATCTATTAGAAACGAGGTTTTCGTTAGAAAATATTTAGAAATATGTGAGTAAATACACAACACATTATACATTATTTGCATAGAAAATTGTGTTTAAGCACGACAAATATTTACATCTGACTATTTGAATTAAATTCAGTTAACAAATATTTTTTGCAAATGCTCCAAAATAAAAACTCAATTTGAATTCCATACGAGTAAAAAGAATATTTTTCTCAGAATCCAATTCCAAACTGTTTTCGTTCTTATTTTATCTTTCTCAAGAGAGAACTATCTGAAGATAGATATACAACATTTGTTCAGAAAATTGGAAGAAACCCCCCCGCCCCCTTCTTTATAGTGAATTAAAGAGACTCGTCAACAAAACTCAGTCATCCACAGACATTTGCGGATTTCTTAACCAATGGTGACTCGTAATTTGGCGATTTCTCATAAATTAAGAGCAGTTTTTTTTGCTGGCTTTTAATTGGTCAGACTCGGAACAGATTTTGAAAATTCAGAAGAAGTTTAACCCCCCAATGAGTTCCGATGGAAAACGTTATAAATTCATGATTCAAGGTTTTAAAAATAAGTTACTGTAGAAAGTAGATGTGATTTCTGTTTTCAAATTTTGCGATATTTCAGAGGAATGACAGTAAAACCTGCCCCTTACATCCTCGAAAAAAAGCACTTTAGGAAATTGTTGTTCTAGAGATTTGATACACTTGCTTTAATGTCTATGTGAAACAAATCCTATTTCTTGATGAAAAAGTAAAAAATATATATAATTGTATTTACTCACTAGCGGGAAAACTATAACGATTTGCACTCGTACAATATAAATTCCCTCAAATGATATTTGAAATATATATTCAATATCAAAATTAAATTTGAACTCAAAGTCAGAAATATCAGAATCCCCCCCTCCCCTGGCCCTGTTACTTTTTAATTAAAAAAATATTTTAATTCTATTCCCTTAAACTGAATATTATTTTCATGGTTTAAACTTAGGAATTGCGCTGAAGTTAACGAAAAAAAAATACTTTGTCAAATCAAATTAAATCAGGCTTTCAAGGAGGTCCTACTTTCCACGATTCAATCTCGAGATGACATTACTAAATACAAGGTAATAATGCAAGTAAAGTTAATTGCAGTTGCATATACTCTGTGCACATATTGAAACCAGTTCTCTCTGGGCGGAATTTGTAAACAAGAATAGATGCATCAGTGTTCGTTTAGTATCCGAGGAGGTTGAAAGCATTAAATTTTTATAATTTTGATAATTCACGTAATAGTTTCCTAGGACAAATATTTCATTGATTTTTCATGTGAAAGATGGATCCCATGTCAGGCTTCGACATCCGTCTTGTATTTGCATTACCGCCCAGAGACAGTACACTGCAGTACAAAAGATACGTACACCTCTGAAATAAGTTTCCTTTCATTATGACCTTGACTAAATCAAGAACAAAACAAGGCATTATAGCTTATCTTTTCTACTTTTTTACTGTTTTACTTTATGGCTAATAAATTTTGTTAAATTTTTGTAATTTGTAAAGGCGGACATATTTAAACCTGTATTTGTTTTGTATTTTGGTCATTGATTATTTCAAAATCGATTTAAAACTTTGTCGTTTTTTTAGACTTTCAAGATTTAGATTTTACCCATTTGAAAATTGAGTCATAATTTTGTTTTAGAAACGATTCAAAATTTTGTTTTCAGTAAAATGTCAACTATAAACAATAAACATGCACAAAAAATGTAGAAATATTCTAAAATCTATATGATATATAACACATGCATGCATTATCATACAATTTTTAATCAGTAAAATTTCCTGCAATTTAATTAACATAGCATTTGTTGGTGGGAGTGTAATTCCAGTGAGAGCAGAACTAGGAAGTTAACATTTCATTGGAATTCATGTACAGTAGGAGAATTGATTCATGTACAGTAGGAGAATTGATTCCTTTTACATGACTTTATACTCCTCACATCCCTCTTTCCCCCTCCCTCAATCCCTCCTTCAAAACCCCCTTCCTACCCCCCTCCATGGCATTTCAAGTGCATTTGACATAAAATAATAACTTTTGAAATCCTAGAAATTGGAGAGTGCATGTGGGACACCACAACCAAGCAAAACAAATAATGCTGTCCTAGACATTGTCCTCAATAAGTTCTTTCGTCCTGGTCTTTTTTCTTCCATTTGTCCTTTGCTGTTTTTTGTCCTTAAGTCCTAATCCTTTCACTCATATTGGCCAAGTATTTTTTGTATGAAAAGTTTTTTTTTCAAATATTAATCGTATCTCATAATGTTAAACTAATTTTGTGCTTTTTTCTAGAAAACATATTTATTCGTTGAACTGGTCCTATTCTTTTTATTGTAATTTTATTCTCTCAGAATTATTCTATTTGATATTCTATACCTTTTAGGCTATTTTGCTTTAATACCGTATTTTTTCTGTCTTTTTTCCCTTTACTTAGGTTCTATAATTCCTTTTCTGCAATATTACAGTTTTCTCTTAAAGGCAATGGAAGCGTAGTTTCAAGTGACCCTCCTAGCAGAGAACAATCCCCGATTTACAACAGTACCCTTGAACCACCTTTAACTGTTCATCGAGTTAAACAAAGAGAGAGCTCTGTGTTTCAATCTCTTGAAAACCACTTGAATCCCTGTAAAAGTAAAACGCGGTGACCGCTGTGTACATTTTGACCTAAACACATAAGATGGTTACTTCTAGGAAGTGAATATGAATATTTATAAAGCTTAAAACATCTTGCAAACAAAGTGTTTTACAATTAAACGCGTTTTTGTAAATTAATGAGAATAAGTCCCATGACATTGATAATTTGAAGGTTTTAAGGGTTCCATTGTAAATAGGACATTGTCTTTGCGTGGATGATTAATAGACCCTTTTTATACATAATATTGACGTCCTTTCAATGTTGGTTATTGACCCTTTTTAATTTTATACTTTTCCTAATTTTTCCATAGAATTATCCTATTTATTTTTATTATCCTATTTATTTTTCCCATAGAACTATCCTATTTTTCCTTTACTAGTGTCCTACTATTTAATTTATATATTATCAATATATCAATGTATTTATATATATATATATATATATATATGTCCAACACATTTGTCTTGTATATTGTTTAAAATATCTGTGTCCCAAAATGGATTGAAATCATGCACTCAACACAATAATGCCTGTGGTCTTTCTGAACTGAACGTGCCCGTTTTCAAGACATTTTGAAGAGTGTCAAAAACGACGTCCTGGAGCAAAAAATCACTTGTCAATGACGCCCGAAATTAAAGAGGTCAAAGACACCCTAAAAAGCAGAAATAAATTATTTGGTTCAAACTTTTTAAAGAAAACGTGCCGTTACTGTGTTTAATTCCAAAACCTTTCAAATAAACGTGCAATATATTAATTCTAAATTAGTGACTTTAACAGATAAGCTATTAACTATAATTAAAAATGAAAGAAAAGACAAAAACATCATTTTATTAATTTTGCAAAAATTAGAAACATTTAAATTCAAATAGAATTTGAATTTTTCAATTGATTTTTAAATAAATTAAATTGACCAAAAACTAAACATTGTTAATTAATTGATATTTTGATGTTTTTGTGTTCGAAAAAGAATAAAATTTAGCAAATTAGTTTCTTAACTCTTCTTTTAGAAAATTGGCACTTTTCGTGCATTTTAAAGTTTTGTCTGATTTAGCTGTTTACCTTATTTCCCTTGATTATAGGGAAGAATCCTTCCATGGGAGCACCGTCTAGAAGCAGCTGGGTGTTGATTTCAACCTTAAAATATAAAACATATTTTCATATTCATATTCATATTCATATTCATATTTTCATCTATTTGTGTCGATTAGCAATTGAACTTCTACGGCCGGAATTTTGTGTTTATCTCACATGAAAATATTTATGATTTATTATATTTGAAACACTTTTAAACCTAGAAAATGATAATATCTTCCCAATAATCGATTATCAAGGTTTTTGCACCGAGTGGTGTAAACATTTGATATTTCAAACTTGGAATATTTTACCAAAAGAATTCAAAGTTTGATATCTACGAGTACTATAAACTCAATACAAATAAAATACAGTTCAGAACTTTTTTTTTTACATTAAATGTTTACGATAGCCTTTAGCCTTGAAAATTGAGAAAGCTAAAAATATTTTTTTTTAACTAACTATAGTATAATAAAATTTCTACAATAACTCTATTGGTTTTCTTATTCCTGTGATACTGATTTTCGCCATTCTTTCTTTCTTTTCATTCTGCAGGGGGGGCGCCCCCCCTCTCAGGTGCTTGGGGAGGGCGTGCGCCCGGCCGCCCCCCCCCCCTAGTTGCGCCTCTGCCCTCCATGCAAGGATGACAATGTCCGATTAATAACTAGCGAATTTTTGCTTATGTAAGAAACAGTGAAGAGATGATTTGAATTGAAAATCTTCAACATTTTTAGTCAGATTAAGGTTTTTTTTCAAAGGTACTGTTGTAAATCGGGCACTGCCATCTTTTGTATATAGGATCACTTGCAATTTCGCTTTTTGGTCCTTTAACCTGTATTTATCAAATACATTTCCGGGATTTTTACCTTCCCAATCTCCTCTGTGTAGGCATGATCCTTATCTCGTACATCAAAGATTAAACTATTGCTCTTGTGGCAAACCTTAAATAAATAAACATAAATCCGCTAGAAAACTAAACTAAAATAATTAAACCTAAAAAAGGAATAAAATCCAGAAATTGCTGTCAGGAAAGAAAAAAGGAAACTATTCATTCTGATATATTATTTCCTATCAAAAACAAAGACATATACATCATTGGTTATTGGATAAAGATATGAGAAGTGTTGAGGATCCGAATATGGTTACATTGGATACGAATCCGGTTCCATTGGATCCGAATCCAGTTCCATTGGATCCGCAACATCTCCCTGAATCAGGATCCAAGTAGTACTTTAGGCTCTAAAGCACACATTTTTTACCTATGAGATATTTGTAAATCTTGCTTAGCATTGAATGGTAAATAATGTTTCTGCATTTTAAAAAACGAAGAAAAGTTCTAGAAATGTCATTTTTTAAATTTTATTTTTTTTTTTTTTAAAGAGGTTTTGCAAGAATCTGAGATGCACAATGCACATCCTAGTTTAAAACTGCATGCTTGACAACAACATGTTTCCTTTTGTTACATTATGCAAAATATTTACTTGGGACAAAGATATTACCAAAAACGATGAATCGTTTTAAAAAATTGTTTTGGTTAATATCTTTTATCTGAGAAAAAAACATGCATTTTGTAATGAAAAAAAAAACATTCGGAAACAGTAATTGTACAATGAATTAAATATATCACGTTAATATCTTTTATCAGTGAAAAAACATGAATATTGTAATGAAAAAAAACAAACACATTTTGAGACAGTAATTCTGCAATGAATTAAATTGATTACGTTCTTGTGGACAGTGGATCCCTTGAACGTCAAAAATAGTGAAATATTTTAAAACGGATCTCGAACAGTTCAGGTTTGAAACTGGATAAAAATTTATTCTTTTTCACATATTTCATATATTTAATATATATTTAATTAAGATAAATTCTGAAAGACCTTTAATTTGAAAATCTGAAACTATTTCGTGGAAATAAAATCTAATCCAACAAAATTATTAATTAACCTCGATTCTGAAAGCTTCATTCCACACAGGATTAAGATCGTTATCGATGACGGCTGTTTTAGCAATTCTCGACCTTAAAAAATAGATGATTATTGTGTATCCTACAGAACTTTTTTTAAAGAAAAAGAGTCTGAGCTTGGAACTTGTGTGTGGATATTGTTAATCTTGAACACATTTCTTTCAAAAATTCATGATCTAGTATAAACTTTTTTTTAACTTAATCCAATTCAGAATTTCTTATCAAATAAAATTTTGTCTTGCTCAAAAATATTTGTTTTTGGACGTTTTTCTTGAAAGTAAAAAAGTACAACTATAATCTTTTAAACTACTTTAATGTCTGTTTTAGACTGCCGTTTTTATTATCATTTTTGTACTTACTTGCCGAGCTTGACATCGACAAAGGCATCAGTCACGTCCTTCTTGTTAACGATCTTGCTGTACCAGTTCTCCATATCAGGAATATCTCTAAACATTCAGGATTGTTAATTGCGTAGGGGGGGGG